AAGTCAGCACTGAAATTCTTTACACACTTTTGGAGGCTCCAACAACTGTGTCCTTAGCTTTGCTATCTTTGCTTTCAGCTGACCCAGATGATATTCTACACCCAAAATACATATAATTTAGCAAATAGCAATGAAAGAATTGAAGTGACACCGGCAGGAAAATTCTAGTTTAAAAACTAAAAACTAACCCGTGGCTTTATTCTTTTGGGTGCGTGCCATTTCGGCTTCAATTTCTTTGATCCTCTCTATGATACCCATTGCTCCTTAATTCAACTGCCACACCAAGAAATATGAAATATAAAATATCCAACCCACTATCCATGCTATGTAGGAAAAAAAATACAAATTGTGAGAGAAACACAAGCTTTTTGAAGGAGAAAAATCTTCTTAGCAAATTAAAACAGATTTTTATTCACAAAAACAACTAATACTCCGTAATCAGTATTTAAAAACTCAACAATCCTAAAGAAAAAAAGCTAAACTGTTCTTCTTGATCTAAACAGTGAACATATAGCTGAACATGCTGATGCTGAAATCAGGACCGTTCACTCAATCGTTAATAAGAACAAAAAAATAGAGTGAGAAATATCAACCAGTTCTGGAATCCTTATTTCATTCAAGCAAATAAATACCCAGAACACACAAAGATTGATACTCCGTATTTTTTCTGAGAATCGTAGAAATTGAAGAGAAAACCTTGCTTTAGTTTAGTTCCGCGTCGGGAGTGCGCTTGCGTCGGAAGGGATGGGCTCGCGGCGGCGGGTATGGACGCTGACGGCTACGGAGGTTTGACGGGAAGGATAGCGGAGATCTGTGCGTGACGTTTTTGTAATTTTTTTTTTTCTGAAAATGTTTTTTTCCTTCTAACTGTGCAGGGGTAAGCTTTCCTCTCGTATTTTTGACTTTTCGAATTAATTACCGTCTCGCCAATGTCAAATTAATTTCTACCGATTATTATTTTCTTTAATTATTTATTTAGTTTTGATTTTTTATATTCAATCATGTGTCATCTTTGATTTTATAATTAAATAAAAAATTATGAAAAATATTTGATTAGTTAAAATATTATTTTAAAAATATTGGACGAAATTGGAAAAAACTAGAACAAAGTAGAAAAACTTGAACAAACCGGGAAAATAAAAAAAATTCAAAAATTTGTTGAAATGTATTTTAAATAGTTTTCTTATTATATTTATTAGTATTATTATAATTATTATTATTATATTCATAATAGGTAAAAAATAAATAAAACTAAACCACGTGAATAGTTTACATGTCATTTAATTGACAATGAGATAGTATCATTATTATTTTTTAGTTTAAAATATTGATTTTTTTCATGACAATTCAGACTAATAAAATATCCATAGTTTTTGAAACATAGTTCAGTGCCATGTAAATTTAAAAATAATTTTCCCAATAAAATTGCACTTCGTATTATTTTTATTAAAAATGAAAAATAATAATAATTGTGAATCACAAAATAGTGGCATAGAGCAAATAAAAATAAAAAATTTAAAATAATTTATAAACTATAGTTATAATAATAGTAATAATAATAATAATAAATACATGAAAAGTATTTTATTTTTAGAGTCATTATTTAGGAGTAAAAATATTGAAAAATGGGAATACTTATAAAAACCGGAAGAAACTAAAATAAAGTTGGAAGAAACTGGAAAAGACTAGAAGAAACTGAAAAAAACTAGAAGGAACCGTGAGGAAATGGAGAAACTAAAAAAAATTAGAAAAAACTGGAAGAAACAAGAACTTAAGAATTTAAGCTCTAAAAAAAACTCTCTAACTCGTTAAGCTTGTATGCACGTGTATATTACATTAATACTCCTTTCGCCACAAAGAAAAGATTCATTTTTTATGGAAAATTATGAGCGACTCACAATCTTTTTCTCATCTGTACCGCTTTCAACCACAAATTTTTATTTTCTTTAAACTTTATACATAGTCAAACTAAAATCTTATTTTGGGACAGAGGAAGTATATACATGTTACTTATACATCGACATATTCCTTTCGCCACATATCTTTTTTTCAATTGCTATTATGACATCTCGATAAATTATAATTACATGCATATCTTTATTTATCATTTGATAAAATTTAATACTACCTCCGTCCCAAAAAGAATGGGACGGTTTGACTTTTTGGGAAATTAAGGAAGGGATATTTTGGTATTGACTTTTCAAAAATACCCTTGATATGATGGGTAAAAGTAGGATGTGATGGGTAGATTATTAGGAAAAAGATATGATGTGATAGGTAGGGTATGAACAAGTAAGGAGTAAAAGTGGTTTTTTAATAAAAATGTAACGAACTTTACGGGACGTAATTTTTTCTAAACGTAACAAACTTTTTGGGACGGGGGGAGTATTTTTTATGACCTATAAGTCAGCTTTTAAATACATAAAAAGATGTCATCAATTGACTTATATGTTAAATCAATTTATAAACAATTGTGAGGGGCCTATAAGTACAAAAAAACACTCAGATTATCAAATGCAATTATAAACACACGGAGATCTTGTTTGTGACAATAATTTCAATTATACACTTTTTAATAATGCAGATTAATTTTCAAAACACTTAAACTAAACACTATCTTTAGATAATGCTTTTAAAATGATAAAATTGTTGTCAAACGAGGAGTAATTATTAACAAATGTGTACAACAAACTTCATTTTGTGTGACGTGCATATTTCAAATTTGGTGTGATGTACAAACTCATTTTGACCGAATAATATAAGTATCGAGCCTTTTGCAAAAATGAACGGATCCCTAGTTTTTTTTAAGTTAAAGTTTAAGAGCTAAATGTCGTAAGAAATTAAAAGAAGTTAGAAAAAACAGTATGGAGTTAGAAAATGCATATAGAATTCAAATGTTACAAAATATCTCAATTAATTGATCATTCAAATAATGAAATAAATATGTAAGAAAACTTTAATTTTGAATATAAAAAATTTCCTCATTGATTGTGTTTAAAATGATTTATTATAAATTTAAATATATAATACTATTATATATTCATCATATGAAAATACCTTTTGAAGTCGTGAAAAAAAATTGGAAAGAATTGAAAGAACCGAGAGGAGTTGAAAAACGAGAATAATTGAAAAGTTAGAAGTTAAATTCAAAAGAACATGGCCACAATCTATAAAAATTATGTGAGAAGATCCACATTTCAGTGCGGACCTTAAAATTACAAAAGCCTGACTCTATTAATGAAGCCTTCACATTGATTCACCGTTGCAAATTTTGATATGAAAATACCCTCCATCATATAATTAAATTAGGGGTTTACTTCCCAAAATTGAAAAAAGTTATTGAAGAGTAATAAAAAAAAACTATTTGCATAAGAATTGTTCACGTGAGAGAGACATAATGCAAGTCACTTATTCCTTACAAAAAAAGGAAGGATATGATTTTGTGACAAATAGAAAAAAAATGAGAATTTTATCTAAAGACACGGAATATTAATACCACACGTAGAAAAATAGGAAACAAATAGTCTTCCAAAATTATTTTTTGGAAAGTAAACCATAAACTTAAGTTTTTAACTTAACAAATTTTTTTCTTCCCTTTTTTACGTCAAATTGATAAACATGAAGGCCTTCGAGTGTTTCTAAATCTTGTTGAAAAGTTATCACGCATAATTACTAGCACGCATTGGATTAGGATTTAATTACTTATATATATAACTAATAAGATTAGTTGTATGTATAACTAATTAAGGCTGGATTAAAATTATGGCCATGAAGAAGAGAGACAATAATACCGATGATGGCTTCTTCCAATTTCCCGACGATACAATACTGGAAATTCTCAAAAGAGTTCCTGCAAAGAGTCTAATGAGGTTCAAGTCTGCATGCAGGGGCTGGCGAGACGCAATCGCCGACCCCTTCTTCGTCGAATCCCAACGAAGCCACGCCCGGAGCCGACCGGGCGGGACCCACCTCGTGTTTCTCAACCCGCAGTTGTTCCACATCTTGTTGGCCTATGTTGCAGACAGCGGCTCGAAGCTCCGCGTCGTCACACTCTCCTCCAGAAACATGACCCTTGATGTCTCTGCCGCCGCCACTCCTCCGCGAGATGGGCCCCACAAACCCCTCAGGCACTCAAATGTTGCGTGCGGTCTCGTATGTATCTATATACACGAGTTCGATTCTACTCCCGAAGGAGAAGAACCCACCCTTTGGTTGTTGAACCTCACCACCATGGAAAAGAAAGCCCTTCCGACGCCGAGGTCGGACGACGCGTGCCATGACAACACAAGGTGCACATACTTTCTGGGGCTCGATACGTCAGCGAAACATCACAAGATCCTTCACTATCACGAAAGCGAGTGCCATGTCTTGACGGTGGGAGACGGGAAATGGATCCGAGTCGTGGGTCCCATCCCTCAACAGCTCGAAGTGGTCGAGGCGGTGTCTATGGAGGGAAGAATCTATTTCAAAAGTGGAAACATGGACCTTCGTGCCCTCACGTTCTTTGATTTGAACGAGGGTAAATTCCGTCATATTCCCTACCCACGAGATTATCTTCCTCGGCAGATTGCTACCGGTTGGCTTCACAACCCTTACTATTTACAAGAGATTTTCGAGATTGGAGGGAAGTTGGGTATAGTGAACGGCCTGAGGGTTTGGGTATTAGAAGACGACAATGGCACTTGGGTTGAGAAGAAAATAACCCTTCCCAAGGACGTTTATAACGGAGAGTTGGTTGGTGTTAAGGGCAAAAATGAGATCATTGTCAAGTCTTCTCAAGGGAGGGATGTGATCCCCAGGTATTACATTTATGATTTCGACACGGGTGGGTGTAAAGAAGAAAACGAGATTGCTCTCCACGACTTGAAGTTCAAGAAATATTTATCTCAATCAAATCTCTCAAGATATTGTAGCCCTACACTCCTTAGCTATATTGAAAATATCACTCCATTGTAAGAAGAAACTAGTCTGTTATGAAGTTGATCCTATATGTAATATCATGCAATCACCAATATTTGTTGCACACCCAATAGATCTCTAAACACATAGGCACATATACTATATGATGGAGCAATGATGTAAACAGTAGTACTCGTGATATTTATCCAAAATATGTAGTACGTAGTACCTATTTTTTTCAGATAGAAGTTCAGAATGTTACATGCATCCAACTTTTTCTGCATCAGCAATTCTACCTCCTCCGCACTTGATTTGGTTTGGACGAGGTGAAATATGGCCATTCATTTCAGCAAGCTCCCGCACGCGTAAAAGAATTGGAGCAGGGATAATAATAGTTGCGTGTTTCCTAGAAGCATTATTCTGCGTCTGTATAAACAGTGCGCAAACCAAAAAATCAAAATTAAAATCCATACATGAAGGACCAGAGGGAGAATTATCACTATTATGATTGCGATTATTACTTTGCATATCATTATAATATTATAATTATCCTTATCATCATCATCAAGCAATAAATCAATGAACTCTCACCCCATTTTCTCCAGGCAACTGTACAAAGCTAGCTTTCAATAAGTTTCTCCATTTGTCCTGCGATGGAATGAAATGTTTCAGTGAGAGAATAAAGCCAAAATCGGTCTGATGATACTCAGATTTCAAATGTACCTTAAGGTCAACTGGAGTCCGATAGGGCGCATTTGAAAAAGAAAGCTTTTTAATCTCAGACCATCTACCTACGCCAAACTTAGATACACCGTCAACCAATTCGCTGACCTCATCGAGAGTCCAAGGCCGGTGGTGTTTTCTTCTCATTCCAACTGCTGGTGCAGCCATCTCTGCCATCATATTATCATCTGAATGATCATCTTCATGTGTGTCTTTGTTTTCATGCTTTGAAACAATCTCCTCTTCATTTATTTTCCTTTCAGGGAAGTGCTCACTCTTCTCAGAAGTAGAACTAGTAACCTAGAAGACAAAAAAAGGCCCAATATCATTAGTGTTGCATCGTCATTACTTTTTAAATAAGAAAATTGAGAAAATGCAATCAAATCAAATTATCAAAATGTATTGTTACAGTTAATAACATTTTCCAAGGAACATGCTTTGTAGACCAACCTAAAAATGTTAATTTTCCAAATATGAAATTCAAGAATCATGATACATTTCAATCTAATACTGTTTATCCCAGTTAAAATTTCAGTCTTTACTTTCACCAATTCCATTCGTAATAGACTAATACTATAGGAGATGGAGTGATAACTATATTATTTTATCAAGAAAAGTGACCATAAAAACGAAAAATACTAACACTCTTTGTTTCAAGGAATTTGAAAGGGAAAAGAAAAGAAAAGAGATGGAAAACATTTTTCTTGATTGGTTGGAGAGGAAAATAAAATAAAATAAAACTGAAAGAAAGAAGAAATAAGAAGGCAAAATGAACTAAAAGGAGGGAAAACAAAATTCCTCCCATTTTGGTGAGGAAATTGAAAGAAAACAATTTTCTTATCTTTTCCTTCCTAATTCATTGAACCAAACATAGTGCAAAGGTCGTTGACTCTTTCCATGAGGGAAACATGGTTTCAAGACCTTATCTGTTTTTTCAATTTCCGGGTTGCTAGCATTAAGCGGTTCCTTCACCAGTTCGGGTCCCATGCTTGTGCCATTGGGCTGATCATTCTACAGCACAAACGAAAAGCATTAGAGAATAACTCAACATGCTCAAAAACATACACTCACAACATCGCTTGAGATTATCCTTACCAAAAGAGTCGTGTAATTTTCCCTAGGACGTCCTCTCCGAATCCGAGAAACGCAAGGAATTTGAACTCCAGAACCTCCAACCAGATCTTTCCCCATCAAAAGAGGTTCTCCATCTGGCCGGGCTTTTAAAATAGATATCACAAGATTATGTGGATGTGTTGATTCATAAGCACAACTTTTGTCTGAAGGCATTGACTTCCCACTAGCTTCCCTTAATTCAACTTCTGAAATTTCTTCAATGTAGCGTTTTGTAGGTTTACGAACTCTTTTGGATGCTCTTTCTTCAGAGCTAAGTTCCTCTCTAACATTACAACCTTTGAATGGTGATTTGGGACTATTCCCTTCAGTAGTATTACCTGGAACCTCTACTTTTTCTTCATGGCCACCAGAGTTAGTATTAGCCAATGCAACTATAAGATCCTCTCTGATTAAATTACTGACATCCACAATGCTTTCTTCTTTAACTTTCCTCACGACTCCATTGTCCTCAATCACAAAACGGGTACATGAAAAATCACAAGAATTTGACAACCCCATGGAAATCCTCCTCATAAGCCACGATTTGTCCTTAACTGAAGTTGCTCGTCCAAAGGTTGCTTTAAAAGTTTCCTGAAGTTCTTTTACTGTCAAATTCTCCAAATGTATTTCCCCCTTTAACTTTGAAAAATCGGGCATTGAGCTAGCCCCAGAAGTGGAAGCTGACATATTATTTGCACTTGCATCTGAGGAGTTTGAACATCCATCAGTACGATCGAAGTTATCAATACGGATATATTCTGAGGTTAATGGATGAGCAGTTGCCTGCAAATCAATTCTAAATTGGAGCTGCTATCACGAGAAAGAATAAATTAAATAATACTGGTGTTACAATGAAAATAACGCAAACTGTTCTGGACAAAAGGCTAGCTGTCTTAATGCATAGCACACTAGCTCATGAAACCCCCCACAGAAAAAAATACTACCTCCACCCCAAATTAATGTTGATTTATTTCTAAAATATTGTGTCAAAATAATTGTTGTTTTAGGAATTCAATACATATTTTCTCACTGCAACAACCGAGTACAGCACCAAATGTGAGGACAGTGGGGTCTGTGGGGGTGGAGGTATGCAGAAATCGCTCGTATAAACTCCAATGGCATTAAATGCTTTTGGACTTTGAAAATGAAAAAAATGGATTACATTTTATGCTTAAATAACAATGTCAGTGTCATTTCATTAGTTTCCATAGCAATGAGTGCACTTTTATGAATAGTGAATTATATTGAGAGAGATGGGAGTAGTAAATAAAATATATTCCTCCCATCCTAAAAAAATTCCTTTATTGTTTACGATGTTGGACTGAAATTAATTTCAATCCAATTTAAGTACTAATTTGTATAAATAAAAAAAACTATATATTTAAGAACTACATCACAAGTTCTAAAAACAAGAGGTGACATTACTATATTATTTTATCAAATGAGTAACGAAAATAAGCAAATAAGGATGATAAAGTTTGACTATGTAAATAGTACTCTGTAATTGTGAAGTATTTTTTGGGCCAAAGGGAGTAGAAAGTACACATTGGGAGATTACAAAATACATACATTCCCTTGAGTATTTAGTTTGTCACAATCAGGCAACATTTGGTGTGACAAATTGTCTGTTACGACAGCTTCGTGTTTTTCAGACGCCGAATGTCCTGGCCCCCAAGGAAATACAACTCAGTTGCAGATAAGGTAGAATTCCCACATGTCATAACTAGTCATAGTTCAATTTAACAAAATAATGCAATAAAAAATGGAGGTATTGTGACCTTGGGGTTCATCAAGCTGCATTTTTTTGGAAGAGCATAAATCAGTTCCATTGTACTCCATAGTGTGCTCAGCATCTATGACACGACCAAATTCATACTTCTCATCTCCAAGTAACTCTTCAACTGTCATCAATTCATCATCTGTTGCAGGCACTAACCGACCATCCCCATCAACCTACAGATTTCATATAGCATAGAGTCGTTTCCACAAACCATAACTCAATACACGCCACATTAAACAAATCCCATACTTCGAGGTTGGATGAAATGCATTGAATTATTATCAAAATATACTGAAAAAGTATATGCTCTATATCCTAAAAGTGAAGTTTTTGGTTCTTTACAAGAAGTATTTTTTAACCTTCCTAAACTTTCAAGTTTGCACAAAAATATGTCATGCCATATTGCCATTTACAAATGAATATCTTGAAAATATGAAAATTCCACAAACACGCCACACTCACGAGTGATGAACACAGGTAATCGAGCCAAAAAAATGCATCACATAGAAAAAATGAAATCTTTTTTTCAAAAAAAAAAGGTAAGGCAACATCCCACCAGCAGAGTTTACCATTCGAACAAAAAATGTTTCATTGTTTAACATTTGGCATATCATATGATAAAATTAATGAATCTATTTGAGCTCAATAATGCATATATACCCGAACAAGCTGGTAGAGAATCGGTTCAGCAGTTTCCTCTAGCAAACTCCCACCACCCTCAACTCTATCTTCACCATTTCTCTCCACTCCAGCAATTGACCCCATAGCCAATCCAACGCAAACCGCTGAAACGCACAAAACATCATCATTTCATGCTCCAATTCGTATATCCAATTCTAAACCGCAATCAACCCACAATTACGAGCAGAAATTTACACAATCTTCAAAATTGAGCAGAAACAACAATCATAATTACTCAGTAACGCGAAATCAAACTGAACGCAAAGCTTCAATCACAATTCAACGAGACTATCATCTGTTTCGACGCTGTTGATGTTAGAATTGCTTGGCAGCTGTTTCTCGAAGAATAGATTCTCCGTAGAAATGAAATTTTGATGAATTCGATTTTTGAATTTTTATTTTTTATGAACGATTAACTGATGAATTGAGATGTAAATTTTCGTTTTTTTTACTCGATCAACGATTGGAATTTGGTTTTCCAGTACCCTGTTCTACACTGCGCAGTTCGGGCCTACCGTAAAGATGACGGATTCGAAAGGTTTATGAATTTGGGCGTGAGAGCGCGTGGAGTCCGATGGTTCTGGACTTCGGGTTATTCGGAAAGGCTTTTCTGGAACTAGGCCGACTTGTTTGGGCCTTTGGGCCTATAAATGGTTTAAGCTCGTTTCAAAGCTTCTTTGAGATCGTGTTCGATTTTTTAGAAGATGATATCGTGCTCGTAAGGCCCCGTTTGGTACATGGAATTCAAACTATGGAATTGAAATTGAGGATTTCAATTCCAATTCAGGTGTTTGATAGCACAAAAATTGTGTGGATTTAGAATTGATAGTACAAAAAATGAATTGAAATTGGTGAATTTAATTCTATGAAATTGAATCCCATTGGATTTTAATTCCAATTCCTTCAATTCCATGAACCAAACGGACTAAGTGTATAGACCCGAACCCGTATAATACTCGTAATTTTTTAGCGGGTTTAGGAATATAAAAAATATTGTTTACCTAAATCTTTACTCGCTATTTAAACAAAATAAAGGATCGGGTATATGAAGAATAGTCCTGACCTGTTTAAAACGCGTACATGTTAAATAAATAGATAATATAAAATATTACAAAATCATACCCCTCTTTTCGATATTTCCTTTCTTCGCTGGTTGCGTGACTTCCAAATCCGTGTATATTAATTTCACCATATTAGAGGCATGTACAATTTGGTTTATGCAGTAGTATAAAATAAATAGTTTGGAATGAGCTCTAATGTTATTAACAATATTCTTGCAACATAAATGAATGTGACAAGAAGACCAATTATGAATTTAGGATTTTTGTTGTAAATTTTTGGTAAAGTTACCGATTTTTGTTGTAGTAACGTTTTAGTCTTATTTTTATTTGTTTTCAATTACAATGTTTTTCATTCGTAGTATTTTCACGAATTGTTTTTCAATTATATAAAAACAAAAAATGTCAACTTTTATCATGGTATACCTGACCGATACCAAGACTGAATGGATTCAGATCTATGATTGAACTTCAAGACCCATTAGGTAAACGTGCGGGTCAAAATCAATTTTTTCAAAAAAGGTAACGGTATAGAACACTATGGAACGACTAGACCCGACCCATTGACAGGCCTACTCATAAGTTTGTTAAAAACATTTATAAGCTATTTTTATATTTATAAGTCAACTAATGGCGTGTTTCGCTATATTTATAAGTTGAGTTATAAGCTATTTATATGTCAGAAAAAATAACTAAATCTTACCTTTTTATTTTAAGCTAGTTTTTTATTTCTTCGTTTTGACCAGATTAATAACAAAACTGTCACTCACTTATTATTAATATCTCCAAATGACTTATATATCGTTTAAGTCATTTTTTCATACACGAAAAAAAATTTCAGCTTATAAAGAGTTTATAAATTAAAAATTATTTATAAATTATACTACCTCTCTGTCCTCCTGTATTTGTCCACTTTCATTTTTACACACCATCCAATGTACTTCTTTAATTCATTTTATCTTGTAATTTGTATATTAAAAAATTATAGAAATTAAATATTAATAATTTATATGTTAAGACAAATCAAACAAGGTTACACATGATTATATTTAGGTTTACATATTGAGAGAATTTAATGAGTCAAAGTGTTTAGATGAACAGTTTCAAAAGTCAAATGTGGACAAATACAAGGGGACAGAAGAAGTAAGTCAACAAGCACCAGCATCCATTAAGCTCTTAAATGGAAGGGTGAAGTTCAAACACTAGATGTAACTTCTTTGCCACTATGTGAACATTTTCCATGTGAAAAATAATACTCTAGGCTCTAAGGCTCTGTTTGGTTGGGGAGGAAGGGAGGGGAGGGGATGGAAAATAAATCCCTCCTCAAATTCCCTCCCTTCCCCTTATTTTCGTTCCCTCCGAACTGCTTCCTTTTATCATACGGAAAAGCTGATTCTAGCTTTTGTTCTCTCGCAATAGAATCCTCCTCCTTCAGCGCCATCTCTATCATCCTCCCTCTCAAGCCTCCTTCATCGGCTTGATCTGCTCTCCATCAGGTAAATTGATTTACATCTTTTCTTATTTTCCAATAATTTGTCTAGTTTTTTTTTGGGATAAGGAAAATTGATTTACACCTTCTCTTATTCTCGATCGGCTCTTCATACCTAACTTTTCAGCCCATGGCAGCAATACCCTATGATTTTGGTTTGCCCCAAATTTTTTTCCAATTCTTGTGTCTTTTTTTTTGCAATTCTTTCGATTTTTACTTTCCTTGCAATTCTTGATATTCTTCCCATTTTTCAGCAATACCCTTTCAATTTATTATTTTTTCCAAAACTTGTTCTTCCACACTTGTCCAGTTTTGGATTTATTCTTCAATTTTTTTTGCAACTTTCAAAGCTTCCAATTTTCTATTGTAGTTGGTTTTTTTTGTTGCAAAATTCTTTCATTTTTAAATGTATATTCCAATTTCATTGTTCTTCTTTTTATTTTCATGATAGGATTTTTTTGGAAATTTAATTTTTTTATGTCTTAAGTTAGCATATAGTTGGAATAGTATTTGAGATTGGGTTATTTCCGGATTTAGATTCATACCTTGTGATTTCCTTATAGTAACTTGATAATGAATGTGCATATATATTTGTTTATCTTTGTTTGTTTGCATATATGTGAAAGTATTTTATTTTAAGTAATTGCTTGGTTTAAATTTTTCACTTTGTTAGATAGACATGGAAAATCAATACTTTCTTCTTGTGCGTCGGTGGCTTGAATTGCGTCAAAGAGCAATAGTTTGGCTTATTTGTGTTTTGGCACATGTACATGCCAATGAAATTTATCAAAAAAAGTAAGATACACTTTGAGTGGCAAAAGAGAGAGGGTACGTGCAGAAATAATGAATAGAATTAGCAATTGTCCATCTAGTCAAAATATCATGAGAATGACTCCTAGAGCATTCTTAAATTTGTGTAGAATGTTAGAAAGAGAGGGTGGTTTAAAACCAACAATTTGGTCTAGTGTGGAAGAACAAGTTGAAGAATCGATGGAAGACTTTGAAAAAAAACTTCGCTGATGTGTCTGATGTTTTCAAGAATATGAGTGGATTCGCATGGAATCCAATAACTCATTTGTGGGATGCTGAGCCTGAAGTTTGAGATGCTTTGATTAAGGTATTTTTTTTCAATTTACATTCTTATTAATTATTATGTTAAAAAATATATCTTTTTGTGCTTATTGCATTTTTTCTTATTAAGCTAAACCTAAAGCAGCTGATTGGAGAAACACCCCTTTTCCAAACTTTGAAAAGATGATGATATTATACGGAGTAAATAGAGCTAATGGAGATGAGGGGGAGATAATGCAAGAGTGGAAGAAGAGACATCGTTCTTCAAGGGATAGTATGGGGACTATTCACGATATTGATCTTAATAGTGACATATTTGTTGAAGATTACTCACCTAGGCAACTAGCTTCACCTGAAGACGGTGATTCTAGTCATGTTAACAATGCCTCCAGCAAGAAGCTAAAAAAGGCACCTCGAGAACCTGAAAGCTTCAAAGAATTGACAGGAGCAATTTATGCAATGGTGGCATCACTAGACAAAGGCAATGAAGCAATTATACAAGAAAATTTGGTTTTACAGAGAGCTTCGAACAGCAAGAGAGAAGTGCCTCAATTGTCTGGTGAAGAACTATGCAGAATACTCGAAGAATGTGGGTGTGATGCTAACAAAATACCAGACATATATAGCTACCTGATGAGTGATGATGAAAAGCTCAGGACTGCAGTCCAATCTCCAGTCTCAATTAGGAAGCAAGTGATCATGAAGATGTATTATGCTTCGCTCTAACACGTCATTTTATTTCGATATACTTCAAATGTTTTTGGATATGCTCAAAATACTTAGTTATATGTTTTTTTGCATGTTATTGGATATTAGAATAAGAATAGATTTTATTAGAGTAAGAATAGATTTTTATTAGTGACAATTCAATTTTTGCAATGAATATGATTTTATTTTTTCTCATATTCATATTTAGGAATACGTTTTCATTTACATTTTATATTACAATTATAGCCAAATTATGTTTGTTAAAATTATGGATAAGATGTGTTAAATTCATTTTATTCCCTCCCCTCTTCTCTCCAACCAAACAAAGTATCATGAAACCTTCTCTTCCCTTTTCTCAATCAAACAAAGTAAATGGAACCCTTCCCTTCCCTCCCCATTCCTTTCCATCCCTCCCCTCCCCTCCTTTCCCCCCAACCAAACACAGCCTAACTATTATGCAAACATAATTTTTAAAGTTTCTTTCGTTTGCCAATTTAATTTGCATTGAAATAAATTTAAAAACGTGAGATTATCTTGTACTTCCAGCCATAAACTTAATAGAAATTAACTAAACTTTGCAATCTAAGTGCTGTGTTGCAGTCCATCACGCCCCGCATCCATCCGGTTAGACGAGTTGAACCCCCGGTCTGGTCACCAATCCAATTCTGAAAATTATAAATAATACTAAACCATTCATAGTATTTTTAAATGGGATTAATTTTTTTTTTGTCACAAACCAAAACCGAACTGTTATCAAACAAGATACAATCGTGATACAATTATTTAAAACCACAAATCAAACTTTTCAAAGCTATACTTTGTGTTGTATTATTAACTTTTAAAATTATTTTATTATTGTTGTTGAAATTATATATATTAATACTATTCCCTTAAAATGAGTAAATTCTATGGGAATTTCCCTATTTAGTCCTCTATTATCAAATATTATCTAAGTGATCCTTCTTTTATGGATATCTTTGCACAAATAGTCCTTTTTTTGATCTTCTATCATATTAGTGTTCATTTGAGGGCTAAAAGTGTAATTTCACAATGATAATACATCTTTTTTGTCATACACAATTCCAAAGGCTATTCTGTTTGCGTCGTTTGTGAATTACAGTAACTTTTTACGATAACTATAGTCTACAAATGAGACTTTTCGTCAGAATCCTAGCCCACAATCATAGTCATTATTTTTGTGTTATCCGCTTTACCAATATCAAAACACGTCACTAGACATAATGTTAACGTCAACTTATACTTTTAGCCTTTAAATTAACACCAACACGACAGAAGATAAAAAAAGACCATTTATGAAAAAGTACCCTTAAAAAAAGACTACAGGAGTAATATTTGATAATAGAAGATTAAATATGGAAACTCGCTGTAATAAATGACCAATTATGGGATTTACTCCCTTAAAATTGAATGCATATTAATTTTGTAAGCCTTCTCAGTTTTTTTTATCTTTTTAATTGAAAAAACAAAAGTTTAATGAAGCAACAAAAAGAGGCTTCTTTTAAGGACATTTAGGTGTCTGATCCAACCCGTGATCTGCCCCTACGTTCGACGACTTTCCCTCTTGACCCAGGTTTTACCATTTAACATCGCAATGGTCATATACAGAAAACATTTCTTAATCCGATTTTTGTTTGAAAAAAATGATATGTAGATATTTTGAAGTTTTTCCTTTTATTTATTAATTTTAACCGCACCATAATTCATGATTTGAAGATGAACAACACAGAGGTACCGATTTGTACAGTTCGAATTTTAAGATTTTAGTCTCAATTCAATATGGATTAGTGGCAGTGTCAGCGTAAGAAATGTCTGAGAAAGTTCCAAACTCCAAAACCACGAAAGCGGATAGAGAAGCCTGACATTCTCTGGATATTCATTCTATGCATCGATGAAAACCCGCTTCAACCTGAGAACGCAAAGGAGAGCAGAGTACAGAATCAATGCCGGAGAGATCATCTAAATGTTACTGTAAATCAATCGTAATGCGCAGTTATATGAATGTAGGAAAAATATGTAAACCCCAATGGAACGGAAAATCCGAAGGGGCCAACCAATCTCCGGCCATTAATTTAGCATCCGAATCAGAGCCCCACAACAGTCCATTCAATGGAATGAGAGCTTCGATTGAGGAATTCAAATGCACAATGAAGATATGAATGTGGGAGAACTATGTAAAACCCGAAGAAATTGGGAGATTCAGAGGGCCCAATGGATCTCCAGTTAAGAGCTTTGGTATTGGCACTGGTTTGGACCTCCTCTGAAATCTGAATACCCCACTGATTGGGTCGAGGAGTTTTAAAATTAAAAACCGTGCAAATTAATTGAAGATTACGATAGAATTCATGGAGTTTTGAGGATCGAACCTCCATTGCGATGGAGGAGGAGGAGGCGGCGGCGGCGGCATCACGGCTGAGGTTGAGAGATGAAAGAGATACGATTCAGACGGGGAGATTATATAGGCAGACAGAGAATAAGGGGTGTGCAGCTAGGGTTTAGGCCCGGCTCCGCTTGACCCTTGCCATCTCTGCCCATTTCGGCCCAGCCAAAAGAAATGAGAAAAGAAGATTGGGCATTGGAGCGGGTATCAAACGGAATGGACTAGATTCCGATTAAAAGTGTTTCGCCTGTTTGGGAATAGCGTTAGAGATTAGCGTTAGCGCTTTGAAAAGGCTATCTACGGCCAGCGTTTAGCGTTAGCGTTTTCAACGTAATCTGAACCGTTAAAATTTTATCCAAAACGCTAACGCTAATCTCTAACGATATTCCCAAACAGGCTATTAATATTTCTAATTTTGACCTTATACGCAAATTAAAAACAAATAAAAAATATTTTGACTTTCCATATTATTTTTAGATCACTGTAAAAAATGAAATAAAATGGAGGTATAGATAGTAATTAATAAGTAAAAGTGATGGTAGTAACGTATTTTATGAACATACAAATAAACAAATTGAGAAGATAAATTATGAACAGAGAAAGTATTTAAACGACTTCAAACATCAGGCTTCCAAATCTGACAACAAAATCTTAAAGTTTATGATAAAATTTGCGAATAGATATCTATAAATCTATTTATATAAATTCTTTTAGAATCCTTCACAATCCATCAATTACAAAAATTTTCAAAAGTTCAAGCATTTTTAATACCATTAGATTTAAATGCATATTTTAAAATCATTTTTGAATCCTTCAATATTTTAAATGATTTTTCAAAGTTACAATTGAACACTTTCAAATTTTAAATGATTTTCAAAAACCTCAATTCAATATCCTCTAACTTTTAAAATACAAAAATATTTATAAAAATTCTAATTAAATACACCTCTCTTAGTATTTACGTGTACAATATTTTAAAAAACATTTAAAATAAAACATCCATTCACATTAATTTAAAAATAAACGATAAACCAGTCGGAGTGCAATAGGTCAAACATTAAAGTCTTTAAAACATCATCAAACATTCTAGTTTAAGCAAAATAAGTCAATAAATCATTTAATTCAATTCCAAACAACTTCGGCCATCCACCAGCATCAACCTTGCTTTCCTACGGGTCGCTCGTAGTACTAATTCAAAATCTTTGGTCCCTACCTGCACGTAGTACATAGAATTGAGCATGGAAGATGTAACGTTAGAACTAATTCATAGATTAATTAACATTCATTAATATATAACCATACAATATCAGAAGAATCACCAATTATAATTATTCAACATTATAACCAATTGTTCATCCATTAGTTCGTTTCAGATCCATACATAATCTTACCATACTTAGCATCTGCGACTAGAATCTAACTAAAGACACTAATCATGGACACTCCTGAGGCACCGCTTGTAAACCAATGCAAGGTGTCCTCCTATTGGGCAATGCAGACTCTCGTACGTACGCTTTAATCCTAGAGGCCATCAAATTTCTTCTCTCCTCAAGTCATTCAGATTTCTAATTCAATTCGGAACTGCCTAATACTCAAATATTACTAAATGGCCTATTTCTCAACCAGTTCAATTTACAATTATCACTATTTCACTAGTTGCAGCAGAAATCGCAAGTCACAAGCCCAGCTTAAATCTCTTCATTCCCCCCCAACTCCGTCCGTAGCGAAAGACGGCAGCCCACTCCAGGCAGCACACGGCAGTAGCTCCAGTGAACAACAACAGCCCCAGGTAAATAGAGACAACAAACAGTTTAGCAGCAGCAAACTGTTTGTGCACGCACAGACATTAAGTGTCTGTGTGTGCCTATTTTTGGCTTGGTGTACATGTGGTGTACCCCAAGTGGTGTTCACAAGGCATTTCTAATTAATATAGCCTAATCTACAAATCAATTCTAACAAGGGATAAACCACGACTCACCTCAGCTTAATTAACACAGAAATCACAAGCTAAACAAAGAACTTTTCTGGCAAAGCTCTTATGAAGTTTAATCATCTTGTTCGTCGCGTACAATTGGGTAGAGGAACACTGGTGTTTCTCTGTTTTTGGGGAATTCCGCCACAAGGACCAATACTAGTCGCAGTAATTGTTCATTTGAGAGCTACCGATGATGCCTCAAACAGTCTAAATTCAAGGTCTGTGTTTTTACCCTAATAGAGATTTAGAGTAGCTGTTTGTCTTCCTAGACGAAAGACTTGGATTATGCTCTTGTTTGTCAACCGGTATATAGGAAGATTGAATGTTTTACGAAGTATTTTGGAATCTGTTCAATCTCTTGATACTTTTGAGTTTAGATCATTTGAAAATTGATATTTAGATTATTCTAAATTCAATTTATTTGATAATTGATGTGAAATAAAAAAATACTCAGTAAAATTTATACATTCAAAAGCCATATCAAAAGTTGGCTATATTATTTTATCAAATGGGCAAAGATAACAGGCAAACAAAAGTGAATAAAATTTGTCTATGTTAACTTCATTTTGGGGCGGAGCCGCGGAGGTACTACTATTGATTTTAAGTAGTATTTATTTTCAATAGTTTCTTGTGAGAGTTTAAAAAACTTGTTTCCCGGTTAACATAATGCAAATTGAAGAAAAAAATGAATCCATTTGTTTTTTTAAATCTTTTATAGAACCAGCGCTTATTGGTTGGATGACTTGGATTAGAGTCTAATGGTACTTTTGTTTAGCAGATTGACGCAACAGAAATTTGCTAAACTAATTGAATTTCTGTGCAGACAACTTCACGGGGAAAAATTAGGCAAAAATCCAAATATATAACAAACTTTCACATTTATTGGACAACAACAATATTATTAGTCGACAATAATACCTTAAATATTGCTTGGGTACATGAACACACGTACTTTATTTCCCTACAAATCAAGAATAAAAACCCAACATAAATTATAAAACAATACAAAACCTTCCAAAGCTGAAATAGTTAAGAAGGCAATTCAAACAAACCATTGATTTCGGCGGCAGGTTGGACTTGAATTTAGCACGAACCACACCACTGTTTCCATGTGGGCGGCAAACCTTTCCCCAGATACATCGATACAGAGATCCATTCTTCTTCGTCTTAGCCTTGTAGACATAAGCCATCCTCTTTCCCAAGTACCAGCTGACTTCCTCCTTTGTGTTCACTCCCTCGATCTGAATCAATGAGGTGTTCGGGTACTGGTTCGACTTCGATCTACACTCCGATTGACACAAAAAAATAAAATAAAATCTTTGAAGGAAAATATAAATTAATAAAAATAAGAACATGAATTCAATGAATCACCTCTTGTAGCCGAGGACAGTCCCCCTGACATAGAGTCTGCAAAAAAATGAGAGAAACATTAGTCTAAAAAAAAGAAATCAGAAATCAAAAACTCCATCAAAATTGATGAAGAATCGGGATTGATGAAGAGATAGGAAACCTGATGCGCTCTCCTTGGCGTCCCTTGACCATTTTTGGGAAGAATGGCACCAAAACTGAGAAACAATGGAAAACCACTTCAACCTGAGAATGCAAAGGAGAGCAGAGTACAGAATCAATGCCGGAGAGATCATCTAAATATTACTGTAAATCTATCGTTCTGCGCAGTTATTTGAATGTAGGAAAAATATGTAAACCCCAATGGAACGGAAAATCCGAAGGGGCCAACCAATCTCCGGCCATTAATTTAGAATCTGAACCAGAGCACCACAACAATCCATTCACTGGAATGAGAGCTTCAATTGAGGAATTCAAATGCACAATAAAGAAATGAATGTGGGAGAACTATGTATAACCCAATGAAATTGAGAGATTACAGAGGGCTCAATGGATCTCCAAAAAAAGGTGAAATTCTAAGTGGTTACAGTACATTATCTCAGAGAGCTGGAATTCTAATTCTAAAAAACACAAGTCTGCAAAAAGGATTGAATTTCAAACATAAATTTGACAAATTCTTCTTCAGATGCGTACACACATCAATGAATAAATAAGAACAATACGGAGCAATGATAAATATTTGAAGCATAAAAAAGGAATAAGCAACAAAAATCGATCATTCATAAGGGAAGAACCCAGAAAAATTCAAACTTTGATTAGAAAATATGTCAACAAATCTCGGGAAATTACAGGAACTAACAAACACCGACAAAAGCATGACAGATAACTGAGTCATACAAGAACAGAAATCAGAGCCGGGCAAGTCAATGAGCAAAGATACGAAAGTGAAGTAATGGAGTATCGAACCTGAACGGAGGAAGAGGAGGAGGAGGCGGCGCCGGCGCGGAAGATGATGAGGCGTAGGGTTTAGGCCTGGCTCGGATCTCCTAAATGGACCGACCCTTGCCACCTCTGCCCATTTCGGTCCAGTCCAAAGAAATGAGTAGAATGGATATTGGAGCGGGTATCAAACGGAATGGCCTAGATTCCTGTTTTTGGTTAAAAAAATGTTGAGTCATTGGTCCTTTATAATAGGAGGGTTTCCATATTTAGTCTTCTATGTTAGAATAAAAGACCAACGCTAGAGGGGGGTGAATAGCGTTTGATCAAAAATCGCAAGAATAAAAATGAATAAGCGAGAAGTAAAAAGAAGAGTAAGAGGCACACCGATTTTACCCTGGTTCACCACAACTTGTGGCTAATCCAGCCTCCCAACTCCCAAGAGACTCTCTCGAGCTACACTACTATCTCGTTAAGCTTAACGGTGCTTAACAAACCCATACAACTTGAGAGTTCGAGTCACACGAACCTCAACAAACCTTCAAAGGAAACAACCCTTCCTTCGAACAACAAGAGACATACTTTCTCTTGTCAAGTGTCTAAGAACACAAAAAAAAACTCTCAAGAACAATACTCTCTTTTAGAGTGGATAATGAGTAACTAAGTACGCTCAAGAACGCAACACAAGCTTCACAAAAATGGCTCTCAAAAAACTATGAAAAAGTGATAAATGATTTGCAATGAAAGAGTAGAAGTTGTGAAGTTATGTGATGATTAAAACAGACCCAAACACCCATTTTATAGTGGAAAAATAGGCTCCAACGGACCAAAACATTTAAGGGGTGATTGGCACAATTTGTGGGATTTGATTAAAATTGGATCTGTTGAAATTCACCTAGACAGCGTTGTCCTAGGCTTGGACACCGCTGTTCTAGGCTTGGTTTTTAAAAATTGGGAAGCAACGGTCATGCCAACAACGATGTCCAACACCCCTACATCGCTGTTTTGGCGGTTGACTTCCAAACAAGGAAAGTTTTAGCCTTAAATTTCTTCCAACGGTCAGGTCCCTACATCGATGTTCATTGCTTGAACATCGCTGTTTAGGTCTGACTTTTGAAGATGGAAGTTTGGCCTGACAGCGCTGTTGCTGGGTCAACATCGCTGTCCAAAAACTTTCTGCCAATGCACTGTATTTTTTGTTAGGTTGGACAGCGCTGTAGGGAAGCCTACATCGCTGTTCAAGAAGTTTCTGGAAATCCAACCTTGGCTCAACAGCGATGTCTAACATCCAACATCGCTGTTGGAAAACTTAACGCCAAACCATGGTTTTCAGCCACCCAAGCCAGACAGCGCTGTTGGTTTCACCAACATCGCTGTTGGGCTGGTTTAGCCAGACTCATGGTTGGTTTAGTCAGCCGTTAGCCGATGTCAAAAATGTAAGTTCTCCAAAATAAAAACCAAGTATTGAAAATGTTTGTTTATTGTATTTTGCTAAGAAATCAAGTAAAACATTTTGAAAACCACATCATTTAGTTGAAAATCACGGCTAGCCAAGTTTACGCCGTTTCACATGGTTTTCACTAAACGACCAAAAACGAAAGGTGGTTTTTGAAGCGTTTTTGTTGGAGAACTATTTAAATGTGCCCAGTAGTAAAAACCAGTCATAAAAAGTTGAAAACCACTTGGTTGGTTCGGACGCCAAAAACCAATGCCGAAAACCGAGAGCCGAACGCCGATTTCTGAAAACCGAATGCCGGATGGCTTGGTTTTTGGTCTGGGCAAACTCCAAGTGTTTTTGGGTAGATTAAAACTTATGAAAAACATTTTTGAGTTTGTAAAAAGAGTTTTGATGAAATGAGCCTAGAGAGCCAAGTTTTGAAATTTTGTGCCGGTCTTGATCACATTAAGACCGACTCAATACAAATCTAATTCTTCGTTCTTGATTCTGGATTCTTGGTTCTCAAACCATCATGCCATGTTCCTTCGCCTTGGTTTTGCTCACTTTAACCTTGTTATTGTCACGGCGGTTTGGTATGATCAAAACCTGTCATAAAACGAACACAGTTTAGTACGACGTAGGTGTACACCCGTGTTCCAACATTCTATTATCAAATATTACCCCCGTAGTCCTTTTTTTAAGGGTACCTTTCTACAAATGGTCCTTTTTTGATCTTCTGTCGTGTTGGTGTTAATTTAAAGGCTAAAAGTATAATTTGACATCAACATTATGTTTAGTGACGTGTTCTGATATTGGTTAAGCGGATAACACAAAAATAATGACTATGGTTGTGGGCTAGGGTTCTGACGAAAGACCACATTTGTAGACTATGGTTGTAGTAGAAAGCAACTGTAATTCACAAACGATGCAAACGGAACAGCCTTTGAAATTGTGTATAACAAAAAAGATATATTATCATTGTGAAATTACACTTTTAGCTCTCAAATTAACACCAACATGATAGAAGATCAAAAAAAGACTATTTGTGGAAAGATACTCATAAAAGAAGGACCACTTGGATAATATTTGATAATAGAGGACTAATTAGGGAAACCCCCTTGTTATAAAGGACCAATTATAGAATTTACTCAAAAATGTTTAATGGGAGCATCATTACAATGTGTTTGGCAATTACACACTAAGAGCATTAGCAATGACAAAGCAAAAATGACATAGGGTGACATGGATTATTTTAAATGATAAAAAATAATTCAGTCACCGTGTGGCAAATGAGTGGAGTGTCGTAACATATAGTGGCAAGTCATTGTTTTTGTCCATTTTTATACTTTTTAATGATTTTTAGTTATCAAAAAACATTTTACACATTTATTTTATTATTAAAATATGTCTACTTCTTTTAAAAAATATTTTTTTTCAAAAACTAAAAATATTAAAAATATTTAAAAAAAAATGAGGAAGTCATGCCTTGCACATAGAATGAAAAGTGGTGGAATGACCATGGAATGTCATGATTTGAGTGGCAATTGCTGACATGGCTAGGCAAGGCAAGACATTGCTTTTCCATTGTGAATGCTCTAATACTTTCTCTGTTTTTAAAATTCATTTTTAAAATTTTCATTGTTTCAAGGCGTTGCACTCATACCAATTTAATTATTTTTCGGTCATTTTTCTAACGAAGAAGGAAGCAGTAGTGCTATTTTTCAAAGCATATGGAGCACTCGTATTCGTTTCTATTTTTTTTACTCTGTATCTATTTTATGTTTTTTCCTTTATTTTCTCTTTATTTGTTTCTTTTATAAATCAAAGTTTTTTAATTTTTATAATTGTTTTTATAATGTTCATAAAATTTAAAATGATTTTTGTTTGAAAAATAACAAAAATAATTAGTACATCTCAAGTTAACAATTTTTAGATTTTATTTTCTAAAATAAAAAAGTACGGAGTACTCTTTTTTTGAGAACTTCAAAACATGACGCATAAATATAAGAAATAAATTAAAATAAAAGATAAAAATAAATGTTCTTGGACATCCCAATTTTAAGGGCACTTTTAAATGTTTGAAAATTCCTTTTATATATTTTTGATGTTTCTACTCTTTTATTTTGTTTCCCCATATTTTTATTTTGATTTTTTTATTTTTGATTTTCTTTTTAAATTTACCAAAAACGATATTCTAGAAAACAAAAAATTAAAATATTAAATGTGAGATAGATAGAGTACGTGGATGTTAATTCTTTTTATTTTTACTTTTATTTCAAACATAAATAATTTTGATTTAAAAAAAATTATAAAAAACTTAAAAGATATTTTTAAAAAATTTAGAAAAAGAAAACAAAGAGATAAAAGAGTTAAAGGAAAAAGAAAAAAATAATGTAATAAAAATGAGAAAAGGTCAGCAAAGGATGGTTTACAAAACGGATTAAGCTGTGTACCCCAACATTTATAACCCAATTTGTACCGCAGGTTTGCACCAACATTTTGTGTTGGCGTAAAATTAATTTTTGTTAATGTCACAACACTTAGTGTCCGTGTAAACTTTTGTTAATGCACCAACACGTGTATCGGTCTAAACCATTAAAATGTTTGTGCATAACTCTGGCGTACAAATGGATACATTTTTTGGTTTTTTGGTGTAAGTGTAGCATGGTCCTTACAAAACAACAAAAACAAAAGGAGTAATGCGTTCTGGTTTATGATTCTGTGCTCTAAACGATTCCATGGCTTCCGAACCGAGAAAAGGTCAGCAAAGGATGTTTGATTTCGAATCTCGTTGAATTTTGCGAACTTTAGTGATAAACTGTATAGTAATGTAATCCGTAGTTTGTTAAAACACTTTTTCGTTCCAGATTAATGGCTCTATTATCTTCAATACTGATTGAGATTTTCGATTTCATAATCTCATTTGCAGTAATTGTTCACTTGAGAGCTACCGGTGATGCTCCGATCCTCAAACAGTCTAAATTCAAGGTCAGTTTTTTTAAACCCTAATTAGACCATGGCGATTTAAGGTTGCTGTTTGTCTTCCCAGACGAAAGACTTGGATTCTACTTTTGTTTGTCAACCAGTACACAGGAAGATTGAATGTTTTACGGAGTATTTTGAAATCTGTTTAATCTCTTGATACTTTTGAGTTTAGATCTTACTGAAAATTGATGTTTAAGTTATTCTAAATTCGAAAATTGATGTTAAATTAAACAAAAAATACTCGTAAAATTTGTATATTCAAAAACCACATTAAAAGTTGGATATTATATTTTATCAAATGGGTATAGAAAATAGGCAAAATAAAGTGAATAAAGTTTGTTTAGCTTCATTTTGGGGTAGTGGGACTAGGATTCTTTTTAAGTAGTTTTTTTTTTTCAATAGTTTCTTGTGAGAGTTTAAAATGCTTGTTGCCCGATTAACATAATGCAAATTGAAGAAAAAATGAATCCAATCTCTTTTTTTAAAAAATCTTTTATAGAACTTGCGCTTATTGGTTGGATGACTTGGATCATAGTCTAATGGTATTTTTATTTAGCAGATTGATGGAACGGACAAATTTGCTAAAGTAATTGAGTTTCTGTGCAGACAACTTCACAGGGAGACATTGGTACTTTTATCTAACATTGCCAATATTATACATAGACACGGTGTATAATGTTTGTTTTGGTAAACGTAAACTGAGAAAATGATCTTATACATATATTTTTGTCGTTTCAGTTTGTGTATGTCAATAGTGCCTTCTCACCAAATCCGGATGAGTTGATAAATGACCTATATAATGTAAGTTGTTTTGATTATCCGCGCTTCCAAAACAATTTGTTGGAGCACATAACTTTCTTTTGGTGTCTGCATAACTTTCTTCAAACCTTTGTTTCAATAGATATTAAGGGAGGAAGAAGTCAGCGTTAAATTGATGGAAGAGAGGGGTAAAAAATGTCGGGGCTCACACTGAAAAAAAAATCACGTCAAATATGGCCAGATTCTGAAAAACAAGAAGGAAAAAAATTGTGGGGCATGATGAAATAACTATTTTCCATCATATTTTAAAAACTTTTACGACATGAATATAAGAGAAGGGGCAAATATGTGAGAAGCCGTGAAGGGATTGGTCAATGGTCAGTGTATGTCACACAGTTAACTCATTGTGTCTAAAATGCAGAATTTTGGCTTTGATGGGAAGCTGGTGGTTAACTATGCATGCTCCATGGCATGGGGCTGAGTGCGGCCAATTGCTTCCTCGATGAGCTCTATCCCATAAGCACCATGGATTAATGCTTATGTACATTCTCGAAACCTCGCTCGTGTAAGTGTTTGACAATATATCATTTCCCTTCAAAGTCTCTGATTACTAGGGGTTAGTATTGCGATTCTTGTATAACCCCCTAAAGACTAACATGAATTAGTTGGAATGATTAATTTTATGTGTTATTTTCATTTTACCCTTTCTAAATTTTACATCTTATGAAGGATTAGTATTGAATTTAGGCGGTTGTGTTCATGTTATTTTTGGATTTCAGTGTTTTTTAAGGGTTGCAGGGGGAGTCTTGTGCTTCATTTTACCTGTGACCTGCAGGCTTGATGTTTTGTATAAACTAGATTGAATATGAAGATGGAGAGCTCACCATCTTTTATGCCAGTTTAGTTCTGTGTGATTTTTATAATCTCTCTTTCACCATAGAAGAAATCATGCTTATCATTTAAATGACAATATAAAAGTTTGTTTCTCTATATTACTTCCGAATTAGATTCATATTCTATTACAATTATACGTTCTTGTGGATTTACATCGATCATTTGGTGCTCTGTTGAAGATTGGAGAGTTGCCGCATACAACAGTGTCCTCGAGATAGCTCAATTTGCAAGCCGTTTTAACGAGCTGATGAGGAGAACCCTAGCGGTGGCGTTAAAGTTAGGTTACCATAACACAATTCCATAACGATTGAGGATATCATAGGATAGATGGTGGAATGACAAAACAATGCCTGGCTCGTAGCGAGAAAACCTTCCCAAATATCAGGCAGCTGCGGTTAGATGATCCACTATATTCTCGTCGTTTGATGGACTATGTATTGTGTAGAGGCTCTCGAAGGTGATCCTCATATTGTCAAATTACTCCTAAATAACGGTAGATATGGGCCCTCTAAAGAGTATTTCTAATTAGATGCTCAACGAAAACTGTTTAAGCTAAGATCTTAAGAAATCGGGAAATTGAAAAGCATATGTTGCAAGACATAAGGAAATATTTGCAAAAAGTACTTGAGCTATTGTGAATCTTAAAATAATAAGAAGACGACGACGCCACATTCATAGAAAGAGATCCTCATAAGGATGATGTATGATTGTGCAGACACACTTGGGGCATCGACTACAACAATGGTAGTACGTTGGGAAGGCAACACGAGCAATCATGTGCCCCCACACGTCCAAGTCGACATTTTGAATCCCCGTGACATTCCTAGCTTCAAATTGTTCTATTTTACTATGAAGTATTTTTATCCACCTTAATAACAATTTCTTGCATTAACTCTTTTATTAAGGCAAATCAAGAAAGTGTGGCTTTTGAAGAATATATTAAGAGTTGACTCAAAAAGTTGTGATAATCCAAAAGCAATGTCCAATCTTGCAAGGTGCAAAGAGGCATGCAGCCAGATCATATATAACATCACGAAGCTTGTATTATAAATATAACATCTTCTTCATCAAAGAATTGATCGCATTCTTTTTATTTAAAGAGCAATACGAAATTTGATACATCGGTATTTTCTTTTTTGACGAAAATTACTCATCATCATTATTATTATTCTATATTTTCCATGGGTTAACATCAATGAGAAGCTAAGGAGAAAATACCTTCTCCACTTCTCACTTAAAAGACTTAGGGGCTGTTTGACAACTTCTGAATGGGTAAGTGCTGAACCAGTAAGAGGTTTGAACCATTAAGTGCTGAACCAGTAAGAGGTCTGAACCATTAAGAGCTAGTATATTGTTTAACTATTTAGAGGCAAATGTCTGATCAATTCAAATAAGAGGTCTTAACCATTCAGACTCTGTATAATACTTAACCATTCAGAGGCAAATCTCTTAACCATTCAGACATCTGAACCATTAAGAGGCTGAAACAAACAGTCTGAACCATTAAGTGCTGAACCATTCAGACATCTAAACCATTAAGAGGCTGAAACAAACAGCCCCTTATTCTACCTTTATGTTTCATTCTATACATGGATAAAAATGGAATTTGTGAATTGAACAAGTCAATCAAAAATTGATATTTTCAGAGCACTAATTAAAAATCCCCCCCCCACCCCCCTATAGTACTAACCGTTGACTCTCCTTTTTTCCGTCACTTTCTTTCCCCTTTTTTTCCTCTCCCACTTTTTCCCCCCTTCCTTCGTGTCCCCATTCTCTCTCTATCATACTTCCACGCCATCGCCATTTTTGAGAAACTGGGGATCACGAAGCTGAAAAGGAGGGGAAAAAAAAGGAAGCCAGCCTTGCGATTCCTTTCTTCGATTTATCCTTATCGGATAAACATATATTCCGCACGACTTTCTGTTGAATTCGGGTCGGAGGACGCGGCGGCAGGATCCGGTTTTCCCGTGTCGATGCTTAACCCTAGTAGATTGTCCGGCGCCGAGAATTCCGATCGTTTCTGGTAGATATTTGGCTGTTTGTTTGGTTTCTGGATTGGTTTTAGGGCGGGCGGAGGAGGTGTTGCTGAATCGGAGTCTGACCCAGATGCGGGGAGGCCTCTGGGAATCAAGTTCCGACGATCCGTGTTCATTGTGAAGATGTGCGTGGATTCGCCATTCCCGACCTCAATCGCATTCGCATTGGGGTTTTTGCTTTGTTTTCTCGGGATCGCCGTGCAGTCTCAGGAAAATGTGAATCCTGGATCGCAATCAACAACTCAGCCGCCGCCACCTCCCGTTTTCCCCCCTCCACCTCCGCCGCCACCTCCAGTCTCACCTCCTCCTCCACCGCCGCCTGTTCAGTCGCCGCCACCACCACCTCCCCCTGCATCTCCACCTCCTCCATCCCCATTTCCCCCACCTCCACCCACACCGCCCGCGGCTACCTCTCCTCCTCCTCCTCCTCATCGGAAACTCTCCCCCGCACCCCGTAAACCGGTCCAATCTCATCCAGATGGCTCAAACCAAAGGGAGAATCGCAATGGCAGGCAACATACACCACTTGGAAACTCAAACCACCGGCAGAAAGAAAAGAAACTGAACTTGGGGAAGAAAGTTGGGTTGCTGTTTGTGGGAATCGGCGGGCTTTTGCAGGTCTTTGTGGTCACATTCTTGGTATTCAAGAGGAAACAACTGTTACGGTCTGATATCAGGTTGTAAATGCGCAAGAAATTCAAGATTTTTAACTTTCTCATCAACGGATTTTCTCTCTATTCATTCGATTGCTGGAGTCTACTAGCTAACTGGAGTTGTACTGATTGAAATTCTTTATAAGAGCTACTTGGATACGAGAACGGTTCCCCCCCACACCTGCTGTTGTAAATTGGTATTTCTTCCTCAGCTTGCTGCCTTGTTCAAATTTTTTATTCTGTTCCACTTGAATTATTTATGAATGGAATGTGGTTTTCCTTGTCCATTGAGCTGTGAATGTATTCTATTAACATCTATGAATGATTTGAATGGTTTATAGTTTGGAAACAGTATGGTGTTTCAGTTTCATTCGCCGGTTGCAAAGTACTCCGTTCTACAATGTAGCTGGTATATATGTAGGCTTTAGAATGTAGTTTAAGGTAGGGTGTTTTTACGCCATGATGACTTGGTCTATTGAGTGGTGTTTGCGTGTTCTTTGTGTTTAGTGTCGAGTTGCTACGTTTGGTTTGTGTGCATTTTCCCTCTGCGCGTAGTTTGTTCGTGCTACTATCGTTTCTTTGTCCGTACTTCCGTTTTTAAGTCGGTGTCTCTTAGAAATAATCCCTACTTACTACTAGGGGTAAATTCCCGCGCACACACACCATCCCCAAACCCTACTTTCATTGAGAATTCACTGGTGCTGTTCATTGGCTTTGAACCTATCTTTCCGATAATCAAGGCATATAAAACTCAGTTCAGCAACAATATTTTTTTGGTCCAGTTACTCTGTTACTGTATTATTAATTACTTCTCCAAAAAATTTCTTCAGATATGACTTTGTGCAACAATTTGACCATTGTATGATAGGTACTATTTTGAAAAAAAAGAGAAAAGAAATGGAGAGTAGTATAATTAAAATATGGGACAAATGAAGCATTCCTACTATTTCTAAACAAATTCTCAATTACCTTATCGCATCAAATAAAACTAAATGTTTTTTCTTACATATTTGCACTAGTCATTTGATAAAGTTGCATCTAGTTTTATACGGAGTAGAACTTTTATGTACGTTTGAAATATATAAATTTTACTCATGTTTTATTCTTACATTAATTTTCAAGAAATTGAATTAAAAGTGACTTCAAACAACAATCATAAGTTAATATTAAATCTACAATCAAAATGATTTTTAGAAAATTTATAGAAAATGATATTTCGTCCAAGAGACAGAGCATTTGCGCGCTTGGCGGGTTTTTCACCCACCTTTAGAAACCAATATTTCCTTTGTACGAGTATTTGCTTATGGTTCAACGAACTTGGTTGCTCATGCCTTATCCCAAGTGGTATGACTTGTGTCACCTTTCTTTCCCATCTTTGTCGGATAATTGTACATTTATTTATTACAAAGCAAAGACTTCATTCATAGTTTATATTCATACAATACCCTTAAGTGGTAACAATGGTGGGCTCCCAAGGGGTCTCTCTAAATTAGTTACCTAACCTAAGATATAGAAATAGCCACTAACTAGACGTTTCTTGTACCCTAAAAAGTCCTACACCACACTCCAAAAAAGCAACTGTCTTTGTTTGAGCACCCACAAAAAAAACTCTCACTTTTTTTCTCAACCTTCCAAAATTATTCTCATTATCTATTTCTCTATTCTAAATACTCAGTTTTTATTATTCAACATTTTTTTAAAAAATGTTTTTTAAATCTATCTATAGTCAAACTGGGAAAATTAAATGAGCTTGAGGCATATATATAAGTGGAGAAAAGAGAGAAGAAACAAAAGAAAGAAAAGTCATGCACTCCATATCAAACCAACCACAGCATTTTTCCTAGCTTTTTAACACACCCACACTTTCTATACAAGTGGCCAACTGTTTTTTTAACTGCATATATTTACATACAAGACGACGACGGCGTGACTTTCTTGCTACAATTCCACATTTTGAGAGAAAAAAAAGAGGAGGGAAAACAAGAAACCCGTCGTCAACTTCTTGAACCGGCCATGGCTGTGCCGGACTTGGCCACATTTGGTGGGGCCCCGTCGTACATGCGTTTGATCTCGTCCCTGTATTCTACAAGGGATTTGTGAGGGATGGCTGGGGTTAGTTCTATCACATCCCCCATTCTCAGCTTGCACGCGGGGTCTGTGATCGGCTTGTGGTTTAGCTGCGGCCTTAGCTCTTCCTTTGCCAGGAAACTAGAAGGGATCATCCATCGGCAGCTCCCCCTAGCAGCTTTCTCCAACAGATCCTTAAGCGTTGAATTTGCAGAAAACTCTTGAACAGACATCTGCAAACAAACACAAGTGTTGCTACACAGAATCAGCTCATAATTGATATCAAAAGCCCTTTGGGCATGCCAAATGTTTGGCTTATAAGCCATGTTTTCACTAGGAAATACTCTCTGTAACCTTGAACTGACTAAAATGGTCATATTCAGCAACTTCATCTAAAGAAAAATACCTTCAGCCCTACTATGTTTTGCATTATTAACCGACTCAGCGAGCATGATCAAATAGATGAATTAGTGTTTGGTCAACAATTAGAAGGATAATAAGGCTGGTCTGGCTAAATGGGATGAGAAATAGTTGTACATAAGTTACTTTTGTGATTGAAATAACTGAAGTTGATACTTTTACTTTTTCAGAAGATATTTTCTTTGATTTATTTAAACATACATTTCAAAGAATCTATTCATATAGTTGATCAAATCAAGCTATACCCTAATGAAGTTTGGCAGATTTAACGTCTTCAATCATTTAACGCCATACCAAACGGGGTCTAAATGTCACAAAGCTTGCAAAACAAGAAATTAAGGTTGAATTCTAATTCTAGTGTCAAGTAAACTAATGTAAAAGATGCTACAAAATAGACTGAAAAATGTCAAGAGGCAAACCTTTTCATTCTCAATCAGGATCACATAAACAGGGCCGTCAGAGACACAATCGGGCACGCAGGAGTATGGACATCCCTCAGAATGTAAAGGAAACGTGCATGGTGGTTTGATAGGTTGAGAGTTGTTCGAGCCCATCGTTTCACAATGCCAGGTCACAACCCAGCGGGCCCACTCAACCATCTGAAGCACAAAGGAAGAATGTTTGCAACCTCCCTCCTTGTATCTCCAATGAGCTGCAAACCCACACTCTGCTTGCAAGTGCATCTCCTTCGTCCTAATTTGAACTTCAAATGGCACCATTCCTTCACCAAAAACTACAGTGTGTAGAGACTGATACCTACAAACAAATTAAGCGTCAATTAGAATTATAAGCTCTATAGCTTCTTCATTGTTTAAGGGAAAAAAAAGAAGAATCTTAATAATACAGTCAATGTTCAACTTTTAAACTATTAGAAATCCTTAACTCCTACTAATATTTTTTATAATTTCATTGTTCGTTAAATTGATCATATTTAAGTAACAGATTTCTAACTTCTTGAAAATCACATGTAAAATTGGTATCACTTAATGATAGGGCTCTCCTTTGGTACAAAGAAAGAACATTTGAAGAGAGAATATTGCATACCCATTGAGCTTGGGATGCAGAATATAGTCTTTGAATTTTCCAGGCACTTTACGCCATAGCTGATGGACAACCGCAGCAGCTTTGTAACAGTCTTCCTCATTCTCAACAATTAACCTCAACCCCCGGATATCGTGTATTTCTTCTATGGTGAGCTTTTTTCTGAAATTGTAAGATATCATACATAAAGATTTAAAACAATATATTAGGGAGTACGACTTACGTCCCAAAGCATGTTTCATCTAGGTAACACTTTAACTTTAGCAAGGTAAACTCTTGAAAATATCCTACTTATTCCCCATGTCAAGAATTATGTTTCAACTTTCTTTTTTTGTCCATCCCAAAATTATGTTTCATTTTCTTTTACTCAGTAACATTTAACGAAAGGAACATACGATTCATATTATTTCTCTCTCCCAGACATAAATCTCAACCATACAATTTACATTTTCTTAATTCTGCTGATCTAATTATATTACAGGAGTGTGGTTTTAAAATTTATTGATAAAGTCGCAAAAAGTACCTTAAGCCCAGGGGAAATCAAACAAATTAGTGTTCGGTTTTTAAAATGGCTAATAAGACATACAGAAAGTGGCTAACAAACTGCAACTAACTTCAATGAAAAATGAAAATTACTTGTAATTTTTTGCTGTTGTTGAAGTATGACTCTTTGTTTTGGACTAAAGTAATTTTTAAAGTTGTTTTTGGGATAGATGCATCATGAGTCCTTGTTTATGAGAAAGAGAGATGTACTTTAACATTTTGCGGTGGATGCTGTATAAGCTTTTATGCCTTCCTAAGAGAGCATGATAACAAATGGCTTCACCCTTCAATGCATGTTCCAATTTCTCAACAGCAGAAATAACTATGGCCTCATCAAAGGTCTTTGCGACTTTTGAGGACAGTTCCTCGTGCTGAACCGGATTAAGATACTTGAAACAGAGATTCTCAAGCTGCTCCTTCCAACTAGAGATGCCTAAACGATTTGCCAATGGGGCAAATATTTCCAATGTTTCCTTGGCAAACCTCTGCTGCTTGAACAAAGTAAGGGCATCCAAGGTCATCATATTATGCAGCCGATCAGCTAGTTTTATGAGAACTGCTCTTGCATCTGCCATTGCAAGGAACATCGTGTGCAATCGATCTGCCTCAACAATTTTATTTGCTGTGTCATTCTCTCGTGCAAGCTTGCTCAACTGACTAAGCTTTGACACCTAAAGAAAACACTAATGAATTAACTAAAAGAATATTATCAACGATTACTTTTACACACTAAGCAATTCCTATATGTCAGAAGAAGAATACTCTTTCAAAATACTCTGTAAAAAATATATCCTAAAAAACTCCAATGCCAATCAAGCTAAAAGGGTCATTATTGGCAGTGTTTTGGACTTAGGTAAATGATGAACTAAATAAAGATTGCACATTGAACTTCAGTTTTGGTTAGTAAATGCATCAAGAGTCTAACAAAAAAAAACTTGTCTATTTTTTGCATGGCCAACACTGTGTACATCTTGATCCTCAAACCCACACTCGTTTTTGTTGTTGTTGTTGTTACTAATACTTGTTACTTTTCGAATTTAAATATGATCAAGAAGCCTAACAACATATAAGAGCCAAGGGAGTCTCAAAGGAGCAACACATTTCTAAACTTTGGCGCTTGGAGACAAAACTATTTCTAAAACTCTAATAGAAGATAACAACACGAATTGCCATATACAAGTTCTATTATCCCAAACAAAATACAGAGTTCATAGAGTTCGTTGCATACCCCTTCAACCAAATCAGCAACCCCGGCTCCAAAAACCCCAACAATATAGTCATAAGTCATGAACGTATCATCAAGTGCGTCATGTAAAAGACCTGCAGCAACAACTGTTGAGTTAGCTCCAATCATTGCTAGCAACACACCAGTTTCCATGCAATGCTGCAAATAAGGATCTCCACTAGCCCTCACCTGCACAGTTATCAATATCAAGACTTCATATACTCATAAGGCGATATGTAGGCATCATCAAAATGTGAAGAAAGTATAATATACATGCACTAACACAAAATCTCACACCTGGCCTCTATGAGCTTTCTCTGCCTCGCAGAAAGCTTTGACAACAAGGTCGTCATGGAAGATCTCATGCCTTTTTTGTGCATCCAAAAGTAAAGCTTCAGCATATGGTTCCATCTTGAAACACCCAAAACTCTCGTCCATAGTAAATGTTAGTTCATCTAGATGCTGAGGAGGAGCAGAATCTATGTCATGTGTATAGTCCACGCACGAGCCCAAAGCGTGCCGGACGAACCTATTAAACATGTTACCACTCCCAGGCCGAATCGAGCAGAAATCTCCAGCAATTCTCTTTGAAGGACTCTTAGAACATGATCCAAAACCACTACTAACACTGCTTCCCGGGCCTTGAAGCACAGAAATAGGGCTCCTGGAAGCATGATCTTGCTTCAAAGACGAGCTGAGAGACGAACACTGGAAAGAGCTACTCAATTCATCGCCTCTATCATGGCGCAGATATCCCAAATCCTCTGCCCCGCACGAATAAGTAGAAGGCGGCGAGCCGTGCTTCACTGAATGCGAGGAGAACAAACACGACAGCCCTCCAACGATTGGTTTCTGCGAAGCGGAGGGGGGTGGTCTGCTGCTGAAATCAAAGTCGAGCGAGTTGATCTGGCAAGAATACGGCGTGGGGCACACGTTACTCGCCGAGCTCGCGTACAGTGCAATGGTCGGAACCGCCATTGATTCACCAGATGGGTGCTCGAACTTTCAGACGAAAATCAAACAATTGCCGAGGCAAAGCCAGACCTTTTCCACAATCCAAGAAACGAAGAACCCAGGGTTGTGATGTTTATGTACTACACGTTTCCATTGTTTTACCAAATCTACAAACAATAAATCTGCTAATCAAAAGTGGGTTGCGGGATATATGCAACGATCTTGTACAGATCTGATGAAATTATGCAGCTTTAATTGCCTGAAATGGAGGAAAACGAATCGAGATTTTTAAGCAAATAACGAGGAATATAAAATGTTTAGCAATTGGACGGAATCAAATATGGATTTTGGGAAATGGGGGCGATGACGATGACCCAGCTCGGGAGAAGAGAGAAGAAGAAGAAGGTTTGAGACTTTGAGTACACGTCAGTGTCGGACAGTTATGTATGGCCACTTTCCTTATTTATCTTCGAATTTTCGAAATAAAGTGACTCATAAACAACCTACTCTCTTTTTAATAAGTAAAAAATTTAAAAACTTAGTTTTAGTTATGATACTCCGTATTTAATTATAATGCTACAATATTATTATGTGTATAACTACAATACCAATTTTTATTTCAAGCAAAATAGTTTATAAAATCTATGTTGTTAGGATCAAAATCCATTTTTTCATCTTGTTCAGGACCACGAATTCTCAAGACCGGTCCCGTAATGAATAAAGAATATCCGTACTTCATCGGGGTAACAATATTGTTGACCACCTTTACAAAGCATATGCTTCTTTAAAGTGTATTTGTAAAAAAAACTAGCAATCAGTTTTATACTTTTATGTTTGGTTACTTCGATCATAATATTAATTGTAAGATGAGATCTTTTATGGAAAATTATAGTTCAAATCTTTGTATTTTTGAATAAATATTAAAAGCAGACCAACACAATTTTTACAAATCATGAAATCAAAACGATTAATACAAAATAAAATGACCATTTTAAATACGGAGCACTAAAAACTACTCATAATCACTCGTATTAATTAAGAGTGTTTCTCACATTAAAGCATTTTTCATTTACTTTTTGCAAAAAAATAAAATAAATAAATGTTGATCACGGTAATAAATACTCTCCCCGTCCACAATTATTTACATAGTTTATTATTTAAAAATCACAACAATTTTGATTTATTTATGTTTTTTTATTGATTTTTTTGATGAAAAATATTTTTGTCATCTCTTATTTTTTAAGAATTTTTTATACATACTTTTCAAATATGTAAATTTTATTTTATATTTTTATGTCAACTCTTAAATAAAATAAGTTGAAAAAGTTAAGATTTTATTTCAGCTCGTGTAACACATGATTGATTTATGGGCGGCTCCATCCGCGAGTATTCGTCCTGTTTAATTTTTTCGAATAAATTTTAATGGAGTAATAACTACTCTCAATTTGCCAGTTGTGCATTGTGCAATTGGCCAATTCCCTTCCACAAATCGATGAACAGTCAGTAAGTGAAAAAAGGGAATGTAACCTTCTATTACTGGAATCGCTCCGCTGATCACAAGGTATTCTCTTGCTGCTACTTTTAATTGGGGAAAGCTAAATGGTGGACAGACTGCGTTAAGCATGATGTGTGCTAAGCAATGAAGCCTCGATCTCAAATTACAATGGTTTTAGAGCATTTCTTTTTCTTTCCAGTTCCAGTCCATGGGGGTTTGGCTTTTTAGTGCCTCCAGCCTCCTAACTCATATCAGATTAGTTCTGCTAGTGCCCATCAACTGTTCGATAATATTCTTCACACAAAATTTAGTTACTTTTGAAGGTCCTTGTACTAAACAGGGCAATCCCTCTTACCCAGTATCTTTTTGTCCTATTCCTTAGTTTTAATTACTCAATTCTGCAGTTTTTTAGTCTTACACTCTTTTTCAAAGCCGAATAGGTTTTATGCAGGTTAAAGCAGAGTGGTATATACATTCGATCCCAAAGGATATATAAAGAAAGCTTTTTTGTGAGTGGAGATAGCATTATTCTGCTTGTTATGTGCCGTCTATTCATGCGCTTACTTTTTATTTCGTTTGCATCGTAATTTCAGCGCTATGGCGGAGCAAACCCTTTTCAGTAAATTGATGATAAATCTCCGTGCCACTTGCAAGTAAGAATGTCTCAAATTTAAATAGTATACATGATTTGTTTGTGGTTGGGCATGCTTAATGTCATGTGCGTAGTGGAAAGTCATTCTCTCTTTTTTTTGGTATCAAATTGTTGGCTGCATTAGCTTTCTATTGCTAGGTGTTTTAATGTGATAAGCATTGTCTGTGGAGATACTTTGCTTCTAAGATGTGTACTTGACAAGAATTAATACTCCGTATGAATTACGTCGGTTATAATGATCTATTATCTCATTGATTATAAGCTATCTTAGCCCCGAGTAACATAATGTTTTAATCTACTTAAAGGTACTACACTGGCTACCCGAAGGATCTTGGGCCATCAAAAGTTATCCACTTTACGTCAGAGCGTGAATTTGTCCAGCTTCTTCATCAAGGAAATCCTGTTGTTGTTGCATTCACTATCAAGTAATTTCAAGCTGATTATTTCATTCGGCTTTCTTCTCCTTTCTAGTTCATCATTCTAAATTTGTAGAGGATTAATCCGATTGATTTACTATGTTGTGTGCATGTGTATACATAGGAGTAACTATACAAGACATCTTGACAAAGTGTTGGAGGAAGCTGCTGCGGAATTTTACCCGAATGTAAAGTTTTTACGAGTAAGTGGTTGTTTATAACATCAGAGGGCCAGATCCATTCATGTCCAGAATACTGCTATAACTTACTATCTTTCTCTCTACCCATCTGGGTTTGACATTTATTTCCTTTGTTTGCATGATCTTTCTACTGGTCGTCAAGGAGACACATTGTTTTTTTGTTCTCTATGATGACTTTCAACAATTGCATCTATGGCTCATGTTTTCTATATATTTCTGATGTTTATTCTCATTAATCTCTCATACTCCGTAATTTTTAAGACCTGTCCCACTCCTCTAATCTAAGCATTTTCTCACAATCTTACATCAAATATCTGAAACATTGACATTAAAATACTTGCCCTAGAATTTCATACCTTTTGGGTTTCTCATTTTTTTGGCATTGCGATGGATTTTAGGTTGAGTGCCCAAAGTACCCTGGATTCTGCATAACACGACAAAAGAAGGAATATCCTTTTATTGAGATATTTCACAGTCCAGAGCAAGTATGTCCTCCATCGTATATTTCGTGAGAATGTGATAAAAGCTACTCCGATCCAGTTAGTTTCTTCTTTACACAACACACATGACACATGTCTATGGCACATCAAGATGTTACCTACAATGATTTCTGTGAGTGGGTCATATTGTCTTTATACTAAAAACATCTATACCTTGTCGGTTACTGGATGGTGTTTGTTTCGTATGCTAGAATTGTTACTTGTTGAAACAAAATAGTAGGGAGCATTTGGAAACAGGTGAAACTGAAAAGTACACTCTGCATTTGTAATTAAATTGATTTGATCCTAGGAAAATATGATTTGTATTGTTCTTTATGAGACTTGCTATTTCTTCTATTCGGTGAATTTAATTGTGTTATTCTTTGTGAGAAAATATGATCCTAAGTTGATTTTATTATTTGATGTTTTTTTCCTTGGTGACAGGCATCTAATGAGGGCAAGGTTGCTGATCCAAATATTACAAGATACTCCGTGAAAGTCTTACCTGTAAGTTTATCCTCTCTTAATAGTTGATTGCTCTTAGGAGTCTTAGCCCGTATATACTTTGTTCTATTGCCATGCATGAGATGATGGGCTAAAAACGTGGCACCTATTGCTTCAAAAATTAGTACCTGGCATAAAGTTCATCTTATCATTTCACCTTTGCTGTGAAACACTATTCTTCTGCTTTATCTTAGGCTCTTGCTTCACACTTCCATTCTATAGGCTTGGTAAGATGAACACATTTGACCTAAGGATTACACATTTTGGTAAGAAGAACATACGAGTTCTGTTGGCTTGCAAGGACTTTATGCCAGTTCTTGCAATCATTTTTAAGAAATGTGTTTAAAATGTCAAATAAGTCCTTTCATGTGAGTTTGTCACTCTTTCATGTCAACAATGTTCACACTCTATAGCGCTCTGTGATGTTTTAGTCAGTTCATCGTGATTTCTCTATTGAATATGGTAAGTTGACAACTAATTTTGAAAAAATAAAAACAAGAAAGTGGACAACAAAATCCGGGTCGAGGGAGTATTGCATTCTTGCCACTTACCATTAGTAGTAGATGTTGGCTAAAGTAGCTGTTGAATAATTGAGAGATTAGAGAGAACATATGATAGTGTACAATATACTGCTATATAGGGTAGATAAAGCATTAAACCAAGGTTCCAAAAACATTGTGCTACACTAAAACTGTGTTATTTGAAGCTGTTTGGTATGCTTATTGGGATTCATGATAATACAATAGCACTACCCCCAAAGAGTTGGAACATTATAGTTTTAAGAGATCATCAAATTTAGCGTTTGTTTAAGATGATCTTACTCGTGAATGGACTCGAATACACTATTAAATTTTGTTATTGTTCTCACATATGTGTGTGAGATGGTATTTGAAGACAAAACATTTTAAAGTTTTTCTTTCAAAACATTTATTGCTCGATTTATTATTCGTTCGCCTCGAAAAAGGTTTGGTTTCTTGGAGCTCTCTATTTCTTTATCAAAATTATGGAGATGTGTTTTTCTTTTATTTTTTTAAATTTCACAGTTCAGCTATGATATCAGTACTTATGGATTTAGAGAGTTTTTCAAGAGGCATGGAATTCAATCATCTGGTGGCCCTCATCAGTAAATTCTGTCAAATTCAGATTAATATCGCTTGACAACATCTCCTACATCGATGTTACATTTTAAACTTTAAATTATAAATATTATTCCATTAGGTGTTTGGGGTGGGGAAGAGGGATGACGGGTAGAAATCATTAATTTTTGTGTGGGGAGCTTTTATTTTTGCCATTTATATGTTCTCATTTACTTATTAATTTGTTCACAAAACAAAATAAATGAAACAATGAGCGTGAGATTAAATGAACATTTATTTCACAATAACTTTAGAAGTGTGGAATAATTATAGCATTTTAAGATTTAACTTGCATCTATGGGTAGATCTAAATATAAATTTCACCGGGGACGTATCGGCCGTATGCTATACTCCCTTCGTCTTTGAATGATTTACATATTTTACTATTTAAAAACTGCAAGAACTTTATTTATTTGTGTGTTTTTATTGAATATTTGATGAAATAAAATATTCTTGTCAGCTCTTGTATTGTAGAACTTTTAGTGTACCTTTTAAATTTGTAAGTTTTACGGAGTATTTTTTTTATGTAGCACGGGAGTCGGGACGGAGGAAGTATATGTACAAGAGAAATTTACCTAAATAGGATTAAAACATAATGACTTTCCCAATATAGGACCATATGTTTTTATTTCCCAATGTAGGACTTTTGGTCATTATCAAGTAGTCATTATTCAAGTAAATGTCTAGCATTACTGACATTATTCCTCCCACTAGGTCATTATTAAGTCTATTTAGGGAATAAAAAAGTTTAAGTCCTATATTAAGAAAGTCATTATGTTTTAGTCTTATTTAGTGCAAATTTCACTATGTACAAATGTTTTACTCGGTTATTAATTATCAATCCTTGTCATTAAAAACTATGGAGTACTGCTTAGAGAGTTTTTTTTTTGTGAAAAGAGAGAATATATGTTCTTTTATGTACAAAAAAAGCAAAATAATACAAATGGCACCTTTTTATTATTTACTTCAAAAAATAATTCATCCGTCTCCCCTTTTTTTTCACTTTTTTATTCAATGATCGTTCCAATTTTCCTGCATTTTCTCTTAGGATTTTTTTTTAGAAAAATGATGTAAGATTTAAATATGTGAAATTTGCACTAAATAGGACTAAAACATAATGACTTTCCTAATGTAGGACTTAAACTTTTTTATTCCCTAAATAGGACTTAATAATGACCTTGTCGAAGGAATAATGTCCAGTAACGATGGACATTTAGTTGAATAAAAACTACTTGATAATGACCAAAGTTCCTATATTGTGAAATAAAAGCATATGGTCCTATATTGAGAAAATCATTATGTTTTAGTCCTATTTAGGTAAATTTCTCTTTAAATATTACCGTAAAATGATTACTTCTTCCAAACGAATTTTAGTCACTCGGTTTTTATTTTCATAACTGTTTTTTAATCTCTATGAAAATTAAAGTCAGAAAACTAATCGAAATGGAAAGAGTGTGTTCTTAATGTATAAGAAAAAAATTGGCAAAGTTGGCCCAAATTGTACTTAGATCATATCTGTACCGTTAGAAATACATAGTAATAAAAAACGTTAACATGTTAATTGAAATATATTACTCGTTTTACTCGTATTATCCTCGTATTACTCGTATTACATTCTCGATATATAATTTTTGTTTACTTGTATATTTTCATTGATAATTTGATAAAATAAAATACTTTTGTCACTTTTTGTTTTTGAAAGAGTCGCTTCCATCATGGGAGCATAAGACTATAAGAGTAAGAATGTAAGATCTAATCTTAAATTGAGTGAGAGTGAAATTTGTCAAAAAAAAAAAACCAGTGCTATGCATCATCCTTCTAAAAGGATCATTAACACTATGTTTGGTTCAAGAAATTTGGATGGAAAAGAAAAGAAAATACCTTTCTCTCATTTTCCTCACTGAGATGGAAAGAATTTAGTTTTCTTTTTTTTAAATATATTTTGTCTTCTCTTTTTTTTTCCTTCCACTTTTTTTTCCCTCTGATCAAATAAAAAAAATGTTTTCTTTCTCATTTTTTTTTTCTTTCTCTCTTAAATTTCTTAAACCAAACATAGTATAAACTGCTAGAGAAAGAAAGTGAAAACTGAAAACTACAAATGAGAAATGCACAAGCAATTAAATAATTAAAGACCCATCATCGGAACGGCGAGAAAGGTCTCCACGAAAAGCATTTGCCGGAAAGAAGCCTGATAATCATCGACGGGTCCAACTCCGGCGCCGGCTGAAATGTCCCTCAGCAAAGACCGGTAGTAAGCTTTCATCTTCTTCAACATGCTCCAATACTCCCACTTCACTCTCACTCTCCTCAAAATCTTCACCAGGAACCGCCGCCGGGGCGCTTTCTCCCCTCCTCCTCCTAGCCTCACCGTCGGCAGCTTCCGCCGCCTCCGGAGAAAAAAGATCCGCCGCCTCCCCGGGGCGGAGTTTGTGGCGGAGCTGCCGTGGGGTAGGCTCGGAATTTTGTTTGAAGGCATGGAAAGGGAGGGGCAAGGAACTACGTAGTAATTAGTTAGTGGCCCATTGTAATTATATCTATTTATAAGAAGTTGATAACTGTTAAATTCACTTTAAATTACTTCCACCTAACTTTTGACTTTTGTTTGACAGGGAATAAAAGAACATGTTTAATTTCCTCAAAATTACAGTAATTTAGAAAACATTTTTAAAAAGATGAATTATTGAATTTTGTTTAAAGAAAGAAGAGAAATAGAAAAGAAATATGGCACACATAATTTTGTTGGGACAACAACAAAAATTGTATGAATTAAATAGGGAGCAAGGAGTATTAGATTGTCTCACATAAAAAAATTACTTTCCTTTCTTTTAAAAAAAATGTAGTTCAAAACATTCTTTTCTTTTCTTAAGACGTTATAACATTTTAATTATAAACATGTCATTATATTATATATTAGATCAATTACAAATATCAACCCAAAGTGCTATTGCAATGACAAATTAGGAATAAATATAAACTCATGTGATTTTATTAGGAATATACTCGATATACATTAATATGGGACCAATTAAAGTACTCGTAAAATTCACTGTTTTTTAAATACATGATTAAATATAACAAGTATGTACTACCTCCATTTTCCAAATAAGTATGAATTCATAACTTAATTTTAAATTTTATTTTAACTTAAATAATGTTGAAAAGTTAAAGGCATAGATGAGAATAATTTTAATGGAAAAGGGAGAAAGAGGGAGAGTGAGAGTTGTTAGAGACTCATACCGGTCCCGTTTGGCATCAACGTTAGAGATTAATTAGCGTTAGCGTTTTAAAAGGCTATCCGACGGCAGCCTTTAGCGTTAGCGTTTTCAGAATTTAATCTACATCATAAATATTTTATCCAAAATGTTAACGCTAATCGAAAACATTATTCCCAAACAAGGTTATCATAGTATTAAGTATTTTAAAAAAGATAGTGGCTAGAGAAAGTACAAATTTTATTTTGAAATAGAGTATATTTTCAAGTGACACGATTGTATGAAGAATTCATGTCAATCTTGAGTATATTTTATTCCTTTGATCTCGCAATGAATGTCTTGGATTGACTCTACACGTTTTAGGATTAAACGTATTTTGGCATTTAATTTTTAAATTTTTCACCTCAACGCTCTATAATTGATGAAAGAATTGTCTGCCTCGCAAGGCAAACCAAAAAATTGTGGCTTCCTGTCGTCCGAATACAAGATAAAAGTAGAGAGAAGATCAGATAATCTATTAATCTAAGGACAAAAATGTAAAAGGATACATGACATCTAAGGACAAAAATGTAAAAGGCAGCATGACATCTATTGCGGGATGGAGAAAGTATAATCTAAGACTGGAAATTTAATTTATTACTTGATATTATTTAAAATAAAAAAAACTAAACATGCATTCATTTGATTAAATTATTTATAAATATATGTGATTGACAATAAATTTACATTACAACTCACAACCTCTTTTTTAAATACTTCTCTAACTTTTAAACAAGTGTCATTACCATTAACATTGCAATTCACAAGAACAACAACGGTTCAAACTTTAAAGGACCATCCAATATTTAAAATTATTAAAAAAAATTGTCTAAAAGAAAAAGAGACTATAAACCAACGGCTGTCACTAATTCTTGTGGTTCCGCCACTTATAATTACCTCCACCGAAAAGCATTTTAATTTACGCGATAATAATAATAATAATTAATAATTAATAATCCCATCTCAAATTTGACCATTTTTGAGTGCCAACCTCACTAATTACTTATTAGCAAAAATCTTGTGTGGGAGTTGGGACGACCTTTTCGCCTCCCTACACATGCACTTCACACAAAAAAGAAAGGGGAAAAGAATATGAAATGCTTTTTCATAATATAATTAATTCTTCACCTTCTTAAAATTATTTCTAAAATAAAAGTTTCATTCAATTGTGTTCTATTTCCTCCGTCTCAAATTTGATTACATATTCGCATTAACGAGGTAAAAGTTTTCATCTTTTGAAATCATTTCATTTACAAAGTAGTATATATCGATAAAAAATAAAAACTAGATATTAAAAAATTACGTCAAAAGTTCTACAAAACAAGAGATGACAAGAATATTTTATTTTATCAAATAATTAATGAAAACCTAGAAATAAACAAAATTTATCGAGAGGAGAGAGAGAAAACTGATCCTAACCCCAGACCTATTGAATTAGACTTCGTACCAAATATAAATTTATTTTTTTTGAATCAGTGATTTACTATTCCTTTTTTGCAAAACAATACACCACGGATTGAAACAAAAAATAATCGTCGAATCATTAATTTGGTAGCATATTAGCAGTCATTAATTTACTAGCATTTTTTAAACCTAATACCGAGTGAATTGAATCAATGAAGGTTTTGAATTCAAACTTTGTAGTCAAAATCAATACAACAATATATAACGTTATGCATGAATTGAGAAACAACAAAATTAGTAGCTCAAGTGGATGAGTTATGTGCTATCACCCAAAGGTGTTTGGGGTTGACTCCTACCTATTGCATTCCATTTTTTTAAATAAGGGAAAGAAGATTTGGGCTAGATAACTTAATAAAAAACTATCGCTACTAATCTCGAACCTAAATGGTTTGAAACTCGGTAGTGGCAGTGTGAAAGTTTTATTATTTGTAATATCTCTTTGTGTACACCGGGAACAAGGGAACCTCTCTAATAAGGACCAGATAAATGGAAATCGATCATACCATGATTTACCCACTTCACAATTCTGTCGAACCGGGGTGTGAGGACACCCAGAATGATCGTTCCACCTAAAATGGGCCTGCTGCTTATATTCATTTATTAACATTTTGCTAAGCACTAGAAAGCTGAAGTGTGGATTCCAATCTAAGACAGATGAAGTTCTTTTTTCTACATCATACCACTTTGTACATTTTTTTTTGTTTGTTTAAATTAAACAAACATTATCAAACTTAATACAAGGTTAAAATATGAGGTACGTACGTATAATTCAAACATGTGGTATTAGCTAGAACCAGGTTCATAGTAGACGGGGAGAAGGAGAGAATTATACGAGAAGTTCTTGGTGGCGCAGGAGTTCGCTGCCGCCATGAAAGAGTCGTTGCTAAAATTGATTCCCTCGCAAACTTTGTTTCGCGCTTATTAATACATGGCATGTTTTTTTTTTTAAAGGACAACCTTTATAAAAAGGGATAATAAAAATGATCCAAGCAGTATGATTAAAAAAACACAAAAACATATCGACGCCTGAGAGATTCGAACTCTCGCGGGGAAACCCCATGTACTTAGCAGGCACACGCCTTAACCACTCGGCCAAAGCGTCTTCTGACATTCTTTCTTACTTTTTATTATTTATACAATGCACAAAACGAGTTTGCACATGGCTTTGAGAAATATTTCTATTTTTTTTAAAAAAACTTTTAACTTCCGTGGAAAATGAAGAGTAAAGTAGAGGGTAAAAAGAAACAAATCTACGTATAATTTTTTTTACAAAGTATTTGGTTGACATAAAAAATAGAGAAAAGAAAATTACGTTACAGATCTCATATATATAGTTGCTCATAATTTTTATGAACTTGCATGTAGATATTTTTTTTTTGTAAAAGGTTCATTTCTTTTATTCTACAAATACACTAAAATCCATAAAATGAGAATGAACCTTAGATCAACGGAATAATTTTTTTGTTAAAATGATCATTTAATCCTCCTTGTCTTCATTCTGTTTATTTTATCTAAACATTATTATTAAAAAAATATACCTTTTAAAAAAATTCACCATTTTCTTTTGAAACTATTTTTTTCATCCAATCAAAGAGCACTATAGATAAAATGATTTTTTCTAATAAGGTGTTTTTCCAAATTAATTCATGATAAACAATACTCTCTTCGTCCAAAATTACAATGCATGTTTTCCTTTTTCGTCCGTCCCAAAATGATATGCATGTTTCCTTATTTGATATGATTATTTATGTGGACTTTCCAAAATACTCTTCCATGTAATTATTTCTACCCACCCTTTCTTACTCCTATCCACCTTAAAAAAATAAAGTGAAGGGCAATTTTGGAAAGTCATCTTTAATTTTTTTTCTTCCTTAAATATGGCCTAAAGTCAAAATAGGCATTATAAAATGAGACGGAGAGAGTAATTATTAACGTGGTCCTTTATAATTGAGATGCATTCTATAAATAGTCCTTTACCAAAAATATGTATTAAATGACAGGTCAAATAAAAGGTATATTGATATTTTCTATCATCTAGATTAAAGTATGTTCTCGAAATGCTCTTTTATAATTAAATATTTTTCGAAACTGGTAATTTCTAAGTAAATATTTTCTCAAAATGGAGTCCATGAGCCTACTTGGGGTGCACCCGTTCCTCTAACGACCACCCACTTAATTTGAAATGACCATTTTGAGGTCTTATTAATAATTTAGATGATGAAAAATACAAAAATATCTTCTATTCAACTTTCATTTGATATACATTTAAAAAAATGACTATTTAGAGAATAAATATCAATTACAAAGAATATGTTAGTAATTATTATTCATTGAAAACTAATTTTAGAAAACACCTTATTAATTACTCTTAATTTAATTAGATGAGTCATGTGTGGGGTATGCTTCAAACTTGGGTTGGTTTACAGTTACACCTTCTCGAGAGTCTTTTGCAGTGTGGGTTAAAAGCTCGCTCTACTTAGTCTTTTTAATTTGCAGGCCCACTCATTGGCAATCCATATTATTTGGGTCTTGCAAAGGGTGTTGTTAACAAATTTAAATTAGCATGTCACTTCACACTTATTCATAACAGTTAAATATAAACACTACCACTTAAATTACAATGGCCATTTATCATTTCAACCCCGACATCTCCTTCCACATTCAATCGTCTTTTAAATCTCAAATCTTTGCCTTAATCCGCCCAAACTCTTTTTGTTTTTTTGGCAGACAATCGAGTAACTTAACCCATTATCCAAAGAGGATAAATTGGTAATCAATTCACATTGCAGCGAGCTCTGACCCGAGACTCCAGACTACTGCGATCGGGCTTCTAACCCGGTGCACAGCATCGGCCCACTCAATCGATCCGAACGACGGCGACGGTTTAACTCCGTTGAATCCGACGCTACTCTTGAAAGTGATTTCGTACGACAACGTTTTGTGCTCCTCGTCAAACGCGAGCTTGGTGGGCCACACGCTCACCTCCACGCCCGGCGGGGCATGCACTTTTACTGCATAGTCAACGTCCTTCTCGCTCCCTACGTTAGTGACTGACCTCTTGTATTTTACCTCGCTGTTATTACCGTGAAAAATAACTGAGAAGGATGGGTAATTCAGAGACCCGGGTGTTCCCAGATCCCGTGCGCTGCAATCCACTGAAGTGTTGCCCTTTAAGAAGACTGAAATTCTTTTGTTGTCGTACCCAATGGAGCACAAGAAGTCTACGTAATCGCTCACGGATAGATCGTAGACCAGACCCGGATTCAGTGCCCGGTTTGGATCCACGTGCCCGGACCCGTGGACGAACGGGTTGGATTCTTTGCCGGTGGCAAGGTCGGTAAAATTGCTGCCGGAATTGTCCAGATTGTAAGCGGTTGTCATGAGGGCGGATTTTATGGCGGATGGGGTCCACTGCGGATGGGCCTTCCGAAGCAGAGCGGCCAGTCCGCTTGCGTGGGGACACGACATGGAGGTGCCGGAGATGATGTTGAACTCCACTCTTCTCCGGTCGATTTCCAGATCGGCAGGGCCTACCGCGCCGGTCCAGCCGGCGAGAATGTTCACTCCGGGTGCAATGACGTCCGGTTTCAGGATTTCAGGTGTCACGTGGTTCGGTCCCCTGCTTGAGAACGCTGCAACGCGCGGCGCCGGCGGCGAGGTTCCGATCACGGTTCCGCGGGATGAGATTGTGGCAGTGGGGGACGGATCGGATCTCACGTAGGTCCGTATTTCGTCTCCCGCGGTTACACCGACCATCGACGCCGGAATTAGATGCGCGTCGGCCACAAGCTCTTCGCCTGAATCGGCCAGGTTAGCAAGTATCATTCCGACGCCTCCGGCGTCCTTCACTGCTCCGCCTTTTGCGATTCTGGCATTACCTCCTCGATCGCACAGCACGATCTTCCCGGTGACTTTTGAGGTGTTAAGTTCACCGGAATAACAGTACTTGCTTCCGCAATCACCGCCGTAGACTACTGGAAGTTTGTTTTCCCCTAGAGATTCGCCTGAGTATAGCGAGACGCCGCTGAATATCCTGCCATCACCTAATATCACGTCGGCTGGGAACTCACGATCGATAGTGGAAGCACCGACGGTGAGAATCCACGGCGCGATGTTCACCGCCGTAGACGGACCGGGGCCGGAATTTCCGGCAGAGCAGGAGACGAGAACGCCGTGCTCCGCCGCACCAAAAGCCCCAATTGCAATGGAATCACGATCGTAGGTAGAAGCATAGCCGGACGATCCAACAGATAGGGAAATCACGTGAACTCCATCTTCCACAGCTTGATCCATGGCAGCGAGTATATCGGAATCGTAACAGCCAGAGCTCCAGCAGATTTTGTAAGCCGCAATTCTCGCCTTAACAGCCATTCCCCTGGCTTCACCCCGCGCGTACTCGAACAGGCTCGCATTCGCCACCACCGATCCAGCTGCTGTGGAGGCTGTGTGCGTGCCGTGGCCTTCCGTGTCTCTGGGCGATTTTGATTCTCCCGATTCGTCCATAGGCCTTCCCAGAGCAGCTTCATAGCCTCTGTAAAAGGTACGAGCTCCAATGATTTTCCGATTGCAGGATCCCGCCGGGAAATCAGGACCGACCTCGCATTTCCCCTTCCAGCCTGAAGGGACAGGAGAGAGTCCTTCGTCGGAGAAGCTCGGTCGCTCCGGCCAGATCCCGGTGTCCAGAACCCCCACTATGACATCGTCCGCGTACTCCGAGTTAGGCCAGATCCCAAATGACTGCGACAGCCCCAAAAACTGAGGCGTGTGCGTCGTGTGGACCCGGCGGACTTGATCCGGCAGGACGGAGATCACGCCGGGAATGTTCTGCAGCTCACTCGCCTGTAATCGCGTCAGCCGAGCAGAAAAACCGTGCGCGGCGCGCCCGTAGGTGTACAAGAGCTCGGACCGGCGGCGGGAGAGCGGAGAAAGTCTCCGGACGATGGAAGAAAACCAGTCCTCGTGGGTAGAGAAAACGCCAGGCTTCTCGGACTTCGCCACGTGGACGATAAACGTCTCCTGAAGGTCCTCCGATGAAACGGCGAGCCCGAAGCAGAGGAACAATAGGATGAGTCTGTGAGCTGCGGCAGCCATGGCGGAGAGATCTGTGGACTGAATATTCAGTGACGAGGGGAGGAAGAAGATAAATGGGCGAAGCGAATATTGACGGGCGGCTGTGATTGGGCCACGTGGACAATGGATATTGGTTGCTTTGGTAGATATATACACTCCGTATTTCGTGGCGTGGTCGTTTGCTCAGATGCTTGGAAGGAAGCTATAGCCATTGGGTTTTTTGGCAGTTGGCACCCACCGCACTTTGGGTTGGTGGTTGAATGTAGTCTACATTTTGGCCAAAGGGGGAAAAGAAACAAAATGGATTGAAGAGTAAAATGCATTCTATCTTGTTCTTTTAAGATACATTTTCATGATTAGAGGGGTACTTATCCAAACAAAAAAATGAGTCCTATCCTCGAAAACCCCTCACACCGGGCTGTATGATCACTGAGAAGAAATAAATTGAATTTTAATGATAGATTAATGACAAAGAATGGAATTTGCACCTAGTACTTGCAGAGACCATATACTTGTCATAATTGTCTCTCAATGCAATTGCCAGAAATCGAACTCGGATTCTAATCTCTTGACACTTTTTGCCAAATGAACTTATCCATAATATCCAAAGCTGCCACAAGCTTTTGAAAGCCAAAAGCTTGTTTCCAACTCATTCATAAAGGACCACTTCATTATCAAACCACAAATCATCTACTTATGATTTAGTTCTACTCCAGTTTGGGTAAATTTCCCAATCATAATTGCCACTCAAATCTAAATCCCGTTTCGGGTTTATTCAATCAATCAATACCATGTTCTGTTCAAGTGAACAAACATAACTTATTACACCTCAAATACTTTATACTTTAATCAAATCACCAACTAAAAAAATATGAGTGAAGTGTCTAATTACTCCTATCTGTGTGTATATACAAAGTTCCAAAACCTCTATAATTAATGTCTCCATCCTCATAAAAGTTTGTGTATCGTTTCGGGGGAAGAACATCCCATGTTTTTTCCAGAACTCTCCTTTTTCGCATCATCGTCGTCGTTGTCTCCATCAAGCTTTTTAATCAGCTTCTCAATTTGCCGTCTATAAACAGGCATGAAATGGTCACTGATCATGGTCTGGGACAGCCTTATTTTGCTATACAATGTCCTGGGGGTGAGAAATATCCCAAGTCCCGAATCCTGGGGCCCACCTACATCTTCCCCTCCGTCTTCTTCTTCGTCGCCGCCCTCTGACGCATTGCTCGCATCATCACTGTGCGGTTGATCGTCGGGCGCGAGGGTCACTATGTGCATTATCCTTCCAGGAGGGAAGAATCTGTGTGCCTCCTTGGTGTGGGGAACAGGGGATTCACTTTCTGCCGAGCTCTGGCCCACCTCGGCAATGGCAGCCGCTTCTTCCTCCCTGATCTCCTTTACTGTACCGGTCCCACCTCCGTCCTTGTCGTACAGCTCCTGCTCCAGCTGTTGCCACATCTGCACCTCAGTCATGTGGTCCTGCTGTCCTCGAGCAGCAATGACATCACCATTCTCCTCAAAATCATCATCAGCAGCATCATCATCATCCAAATTCTTCTGTATGCTTATTTCAGTGCCTGAATCCCATGAAGATACAGGAAGTTCCTCCACTTCAGTGATGCTTGAGATCCCTCCAATCAAAGGTTCAGAAGCTGCTTTTCTACTTGAAGAAGATTCTGAGGCTTCGTGTTCGTTGTTATTAGAGTTGTTATTAAAAGTGGTTGAGGGTCGTCGCCGGGGGCCGACGCACGACCACGATGACAAACGCATGGCGGGACCCGATAGTGCTGCATGTGCCATGCTTTGAGCTCTCCTCATAACAACCTGTGATTACAAAGTGCCGTTTGGCAACAGCTTCAACATTTAGCTTTATCATTATGAAAAGTTATCTAATGACAACGTTTAGCTTACGTGTTTTCAAGGCTAATCTGGCCATTAAAATTTATCAAAAATGCTAAAGCTAATTGAACTTTTTCCCCAAACAAGGCCAAAGTGGCACTCCACGCAATACGTGGGCACACGCTAGTTGGTCTGCAACAAGGTGTTACCTGAGTACCGCTAGAGACAGGACGTAAAATAGCTCCAGCACCAGCCACCTTGGCTTTGGCAGTTGCAATGGATGGAAGACGAGAACCAAGGGCTGAAGCAGAACGATATACAGTACTGAGAATTCTTGTGTGCTCTATCTGATTCCTTAGATCATTCAACCACGCAGATGCTGTCACCTAAAATTTCCAAACACTCCTATTCAGAAACCATACATAAATTATACTCAGTCTGTCCATATTTTAACTTCATCCTTTCCTTTTTTGCCCGTCTCAAAATTATAGGGTATCATGTTTCTTTTCAGGGTATGATATTTTTTCTCTCTGCACATGGTAAATTTCAGCTGCATAGCTCTCACTTTCCTAAGGGATTGAGTGTGTAAATAAAAACCATCAGTTGGGATTTTAATAAAGAAAAAAAATGTAACCTCTGCACGCAAATCATCCACTGATGCAGCTGAAAAAGTGGGCACCAAATCAGCTCCATTTATAACTGAGGTAATGAATTCAGTTCCTGATTCAGCCAATTCCCATGTCATACAAGCCGCTGCAAAAAGAAACTAATTTAATAGTTACAAACTCAATATGCTAGAGAAAGATCAGACAAGAAAATAGAGAGATTCATTGGAACAAGAAATTTGGAGCACAAAAAAAAAGTATAAACACAATATACTCTGTATCAAATTTATTCAAATTTGGATATTTGTTCAAGTTCAATAAATATATTTTCATTATATAGACTAGTAAATTAAAAAATAAGAAGAAAACATAAACTTTTTAGTTTCTTTGTATTTTCCAAGGTAAAATAATGCATCAAAAAACTGTTTTCCTTGACATTTTTTTGCCAACCGTTTCCCACGTTCTAAACATAGCCATAGGCCCATAATATAATCCGTTTCCTACTTCATATTTTACAAAATAATAAGAAATCGATAGCAGTTAAATATACCTGGAGCAAATGTTACACATGTTGCTCTTGATAGTTCCTTTTGTTCACGTAGCACATAAGTTAAAAGAGCAGCAGTCCCTCCACCCAATGAATGCCCAACAATCTAAGGCAACCAAACAAATTTAATCAATCACAGAATATCTGACAGCTTAAATAGAAACAAGCAGCATAGCATTATGATAAACATGATCCACTTGTGATTTACCCACCTAACTTCCCCAACGAAAACAAATCTAGATTACAATAAGATAGGACTATAAGAGACATATTGTATCTAAACTCAAAAGGGTGGGAGGCTTGCAACCAATCCACTTTTTAGGCCGATTAGGAAGGCACATAATGCTGGGGTGTGGGCTTGTGGTGGGTTTTTTTTTCTTTTTTTTGGGGGGGGGGGCTGGGATATGAATGGATATATTGAGAAAATAAGAGGAAAAAAGTAAACATTCATTTATATACCTTCGGAGTTCGGAGTAAAGGGAAAGCTCTGCAAAACGGCGATTCACCTAGGATTGTTATATGGAATTGAATGGTGGGCTCCTAAAGGGTATCAAATTATGAAAATAAAGGTAACTGAAATGTGTATCAGTGTATGTTGTGATGGATGTGTGTGCATACTACAATTGATAGAAAAAAACGAGATCATCCAAAAGAAGGTAGAAATAGCATCTGTTGAAGATAAAATGATAGAGAAACGACTGGGGCGATTTGAACCCATATAGAGAAGGCAAAGGGTATACTAATGCAGTGCTTAGAAGACTTAGGTGGCGGGGATAAATTCTGCAAAAGAGGAAGAGGGAGATCAAAAAAGACTGGGGAGGAGGTGTTAAGAAGTGGTTTGTCTTATCCGAATTTAAACATGAGTGCAACTATGGATAGAACATGATTCTCTTCCTGGTTCATGTAGCCGAGCCCAAGTTACTTAGGATAAGGCTAAATTGTTTTTATTTAAATTCATTTATTTTTCAATTTGTATCATATAAAGACTAAGAAATCTAAACACATGCAGAAAAAATCAAAATGTCTCATTTCCCTTAGTATTTTCTGTGGTGAAAGCAAACACAAGAAAATGACTTTCCATGGCATTTTTTACCTTTGACTAGCATTTTCCGGATTCAAAACACACCCTTAGCAACACACTCTTTCGGTAAGAAAAACTGGTGGAGACATGTTAATCAAAAGCAAATTGAGATGGCGGTATTCCCCAAAAAGAGGCAGAAGATACCTTAATCTTGTAATCGGGATAGCTGCCAAGTGCACTTATAAGGCTGGGAGTCGAAAGCTTAGCAATCCAACGAGCAGCGGCAACCATTCCACAGTGTGCATAACCTAAAACCAAATTGCTTACTCCCCCCTCATGTACCACAGAATGATGAAATGGAACAACTGCCCCAGTCGCAGCTGTCAATGTATCCTTCACACTATGAGTACCACGGATTAATAGGAGGAAAGATTTTGAACTGTGGTCAACCAATATTGTAAATGCCGGCTTCAGAATCTGTAGAGTTGCTTGGCAATTTAGTTTTAAGAAAAAGACATCTATTGATCATTCTGCATGACCTTAGACACTGCATTTATACACCAAAAGAAAACAGCAACCTTCCTAACCTTGTCTAATAAATGATGAAATATAATAAGATGCAATAAATGCGGGAGATAAATAGTTATGATTACAAAATACAGGAAGAAGTTCTGAGATGAGTGAGACCTCATCAAATTCAAAAACCTAAGGGCCGTTAGGTGTCCATTTGGAAACAATAAAAATAGGGAGGAAAATATACTAATAATTTGAATGAAAGAAATGTCTGTGTGTTTGTTTGGGAGGGAGTGATGTGTGTTTAACTTAAACAAATTATTTTAAATATTTGTTAACCGTTACGGACTTCAATTCTACTACATAGAGACGGAAATATAAGCGAGTAAAACACGTTTAAAACCTAATCATAATTCATTATCATTAGCATCTTTCTATTTACACTCATACACAAGAAAGTAACTTTCCTCTACATGTTATCCATTTACCTAGCATTTTCCATGATTCAAAGATACCCTATAAGAATTATAGTTTGATAAACATACATGACAACCACATCTGAACGATGACTTACTCCAGCTTTAGGTTCTTGCAGAAGAACACTTTCTTGTGAATACCCCGTCTCCTCCAAGAATAGTGGAAATGGCTTCTTAGAAAAATGCCAACAAAGTGTCAATAAGTTCAATAGATGTCTAAGCTCTGAAGCAATTTTAGGTCCTTTAAGTTGTGTACAGCCTTCACTGCCGAATATACTGCTGACATGTATATTTCCCTGCACATCATAGAAAGGTGAGATTACATATCACATAGAGTAAGAACATCAAAACATACATTTAAGTGCATGTTTTGACCCTGATAAAACTATATGCAAAAAAATGTTTCCAAAATAATAACAAGATTAAACTGAAGATGAAGAAATCTAAATATGTGTACAGTTTAAAAAACTTATCATATTAAAACTTTTCTTTCCAATTTCCAAGGTAGAAGTGTTTGGAGAGCTAGGATAGGGTAGTCGGGTAGGTATTTGGGCTTGGTGGTTTCTGCTTCTTTTCCCTTTGTTAGCCTTAGTTTGATCTTTGCTCTTTTTTTGTGCTCTGTGTTTTCGGTACTCACTTTGACGCTTGTGTTACTCGAGCAGGGTCTCTTGGAAACAACCTCTCTACTTTTAAGTAGGGGTAAGTTCTACGTACACACATCCTTCCCGGACCACCCCACTCTTGTGTGATCCGATTGGGTTGTTGTTGTTGTTGTCGTTCCATGGTAGAAGTGTAGAACCATACATAGGAGTATAACTTTCATTGGAACTTTTATTGCCTTTCCCTACTCCCTAGGATATTCTGTAATACTTGTACAAACAAATCCTAGCAGTTTTTCAGTACTACTTTTTCTCCCCATAAAACAGAATATAGATTAGCATCAAGCAAAAATAAAACATGCAGGCCGTGTGGAAAGTTACCTGTCTTTTTAGCAGAAAGCTGATGCCAAACGCCAAGTCCCCAATGGGCCACTTACCCAAAGTCTCAGAGTAAGTAAACCTAAGAGTCTCAGACAAAGTTGAGATAGTCTCCAACCATGTCGCCGGGGCTTGTATTAGTTTACGTGAAACCCTTTCAGCTCCTACTCTAACACCACTGCTATGTACATCACCCCCATTTTCATCATCGTCAACATCCTCAGTTTCAGGACTAGATAGTAACTTTCTATTTAAAGTATAATACAAAAGTGCAGCAGCACCAGCTGCAGTGGCCATTGTTGCTGTGGCCATAAAATTCCGTTGATCCCTGTGTGAAAACACATAAAGTTGATTTCTTTTCAGCTTACAGGGCTTCACAGATATTTCAAGATTGTAAATTAGTAACCCCATAACCATATTTCAAGTTCATGTCTTTATTTGATGCAACAAAAGGTAATCCATTCAGAAAAGAAGCCAAAAATGAAACAACAACAATAAAGTAATCCAAAAGACATCGAATTGCTTTATTCAATGAAATACCATTACATTGAATGAAACCCTTTATTGACTTTATTTATCCACAATAAAATCGAAGTCAAGATATTAATATAATTTTCTCAAGCATCATTTGATTCATATCTTAACACATACCTACACATGACCAGAACAACAACAAGCGGGGAAAAAACCCTAAAACCCAGAACTTTATGTAAATTCATACAAACACAGACGAGAGATAGACTGCTTAGAAGTGGTGGGAATCACGCGACGAACCTGAAGAACCCGATGGTTGTGAAACGAGATTATTCTACAATTTAGCTTCGGGTCTACGAAACGCAAAATCGGAGTTGGAATTTCTGGTTAATATGAACTGCGAATAGATCGACCATACGAGAAAGCTTACGTCCACGCAAATGCTGGTTTAGGGGGCTTGCATTCGGATCTAAATTTGGATTCTCTGGTTCGGGTTTCCTGTCGGGTATGATGAACTTTTTGGAGGAAGAAGAAAGCTTAACGAGACCCCAGCTTGGGATGAGCCCTCTCTAGAGAAATGCTGATTGGAATGACACGTCACTCCATTCTTAACACAAAAAAGAGTGACTTTAGCTACAAAAAATCATAAGCATAAAGCTAATTAGACTAGTATTTTTGTTGATTCAAAAAATATTTTCCAATGTAATATTTTTTTTGGATTAAAGATAATATATTTAACACAAAATTTTTAATATTATAGACGGTAATTAAAGTATGAACACAGTTTTAAAAAAATTATGGTAACAACTACAATTTTCTTTCTCGAAACACCGGATAAAACTAGAAGAAACTTACAAAACTTACCTCCAAGTACCATTGTTTTCACTCCGAATGTTTCATTTTTTGAAGTTATTATTAAAGAATATCATTACATTTTTCATTGTGTTATATGATCTAATGTCTCATAAGTAGCAAATCTATTCATCATACATGTTTCATCCCATATGATTAAATTTGTTTGTTCAATTAGTTCGGCTTTCAGACTTCCTTCTTTGATGACACATGTTGAGCATTCGGTTAACACCAAAGTAATTGAGAATTTCAAGTGTGTTGTCCTTTTACCAGACAAAAGCAATGCAAAATCATTCGATACGACATTCAAAACAATCTTATCATTTGATCTTATAAAAGTAGGCATTGATTTCCAAAGAAGTATTTTCCCGTTCCTCTATAGCCATGCACAAAAAAACTTTCCTCTTTAAGGTGCCACAACTCCCAATATTTCGTCGTATATCTTCCTGTGATCTTCATTCATCATATAGAGTATAAATTAAATATCCTCCAAGATCAGATGAAAACTTTTCTTTGTCATGGTTCAACTCCTCGACCAATAAATTATTTTGAAATCAATTAATAGACTATCATATTGAAGTAGAATGCCACTGAATTCTTTTAAAGAGATAAGAAGTTCTGCAAAAAAAAAAATAATTAGTTAAAATGTGACTAAATCATTACAATCCAATTCTGAATTCTAGAATTTTTTTCATACTATACATTTCATATGGATCAATATGTAACTAACAAAAGTTGTATTTCTGTTGAAAAATCTTGGTTAAGAATGATATACATATAACATTTGCTAATAAAAATTCTCCTGTATAAAATTGGGCATGCCAATGTCTTACTTGAACCTTTCTTTTTGAAAAATTTATGGGTATATGGTATTTTGAAGAACTGGCATGGGTTATCGAAGCTTTTCGTAAACTCATTTTAATTTTTTCTAAGGAAAGTTCCTTTATTACTCTCCTTCCATGCCAACTCCGTCATAATTTCACCAAATGTCATGTTCTTGCAGTTTGGAGCCAGCTTCTTATATATAAAAGATTTTTATATAAATTGAAAAATGAATAAACATGAATGAATGTGGACTATGGAATGTAGTGGTAAGGAAGCCACCCCAAACTTTTTTGGGTCTAGTGTACGAGCTCCACCATTATGCTTAAGAGGTTGAAATCATATACTCCCTCCATCCCACTGTGTTTGTCCACTTACCTTTTGGCACATCATCTAATGCACTTCTTTAATCCATTTTATCTTGTAATTTGTATATTAAAAAATTATACAAATTATATATTAATAATCTATATGTTAAAACGAATCAAACAAGATTACACATGACTATTTTTAGGCTTACACATTAAGAGAATTTGATGAGTCAAAGTGCTTAGATGAACAGTTCCAAAAGTCAAATGTGGACAAAGATAATAGGACGGAGGTAGTATAATTGAACAGATACTACGTTAATGAGTCTGGATGCTACTAAAAAATGAAAGTAGACTTTGATGACTTGTGGGCGGAGACGAACACATATCAGCACGAGGGGGTGCGGTCCAATGGGTGTAACAAATTGGGATTTGGACAAGCTACCATCATGTTTTTTTTAAAAATACTTGCACTAAATAGCATTAAAACTTAAGTCATGTCTCTAAATAGCACTTAAATTATATTATTCTCTAAATAGCACTTAATAATGTCTATAATGACCAGTGATGGCAAATATTTACTTGAATAATGGCTAATGGATAATGACTAAAAGTGCTACATTAGAAAAAAAAACACATGTAGTGCTATTTACGGAAAGTTATTATGTTTTAGTGCTACTTATCTAAATTCCTCTTTCTGAAAAAGTAAATGTTGATGAGTCGATGAGCCTCACACATGACATCATGAGATAAAATTTTGTCTCACGTGATCACAAGGCGACATTAATGGAATAATTAAAAATTTTCTAACACTAGAAATTTTAGGGTAAGAGGAGTGCAATGATGTCATCATATGAAAATTTGAACTCAATAAGGAGCAAGGGATCAATATGCATCAACTTGGAGCCATATCATGAAGAAGTCATGGATTTGATTGGTAATAACTCTAGGAGTTGACCTTATTTGATTTTTGTGTGATTATGGTTGGTTGTAAAAGTCTTTCACATTATAGTAGAGACAATTGTTTTTAATTAATGTTTTATGCGCATTAATTTGTGAATAAAGCGTCATATGCGTGAGATAATGGTTCCTTTAAACTTTTTTTATTCTGGATTTTATTACGACTTTACTTAATTTAAAGAAGAAATATTTAACTAGAATTAAAATATATATGTTTCATATACTAATATAGAACTTTCAATAATTTTATCTAAAAAAATCATGTAAAATGCCAACAAAATGCAAAATCGTAAGTATTTAATAGTGACAACGCTTTTAATTTATTTAAGATATGTAGTCCATTTTTTATTTTTTTACATAATCATTTTCTATTATTCAATATAAATCTTGTTTTGAAGAAATAAAATAGCTAACGTATATGCTTTCTGTTTTAATTTTCTTAAGACTTTTTATTTCAAGATCAATATATGTTTTTTAACGTGTCTTTATTGATCGTTCAACAAAACTATAAAATTATGTCACTCATTATTTTATAAATCTTTTGATATACTCGCAGTATTTAATTAAATATACATGCAAACTTTATCATGGTTTAATTTTTCTTAAATAAAATTAAATTAAAAATAATCTTATGTATTTTAATTTTAAATGTCAAAAATTTTAGATGACAGATATAATTAGTAATACCAAAAATAAAATGAAAAGTGTTTTAAAAAAACATAACAACTCTACCGTCTCTACGCGTATAATTCTACCTAGTATAATACTCCATTTTTTTTTGGTTTTGACGTTAACGTACTTCGTCTTGATTTGCTCGAACATGGGCGTCGTGGCAAACACAGATTCGGTAATCAAATTAAAGACATGTTAATCGCGTCTAACTTTCATTAATCACTATTATCCGCCCACCCACGTCATAAACAAACAAATTTTCCCTCAACGTCAACCTCAACCCCATTATTAACCTATCACCTTAGATAGAAGTAAAAATGGGAAAAATATAAGAGTAAAAGTTTTATATTTTTGTCTTCAAAATATAAGTCCGGACTATAATAATATGATATTGTATATGAATATTCCAAAAAAATTTTTAGTAATGTATTACACATATTGTTATGGTTGACATTGTAAATGCATTTTAATTCCTATTTTGAAAATATGAATATGGAACTCTTATTTTAATATATTTTTAATGTTTTACTTCTACTTCAGTCTTTTTTCTTTTTTTAGAGGAAAACCATTATTAACACTATTAACCAACCTAACATTCGTCATTCATCATTAAAAAATGTGAAATTTGCACTAAATAGGACTAAAACATAATGACTTTCCTAATGTAGGACTTAAACTTTTTTATTCCCTAAATAGGACTTAATAATGACCTTGTGAAAGGAATAATGTCCAGTAATGATGGACATTTAGTTGAATAATGATTACTTGATAATGACCAAAGATCCTATATATATTGGGAAATAAAAACATATGGTCCTATATTGGGAAAGTCATTATGTTTTAGTCCTATTTAGGTAAATTTCTCTAAAAAAATATTCCGCCTTATTCGGTTTTTTGGTACATTCAAAATGAAAAAAGTTAACATAAAGTATGTTTATATTTATTCAATATCATACTGATGTAGAATCTGACTGAAAAATAAATCTATACGAGTTTTGTCTTGAGCGAACATATCATTCCAATACAGAGAATTAAAGTGATCTTAACATGTCGTATCGGAGACCACGTACGCAAGGGGTAGGAGTGGTAGACGGTGTAGTGTGCGAAGTTCTAGGTGTGACAGTGTAGCAATAAGACAATGATGTTGATGATGTGTCCCGCATAGTTGTAGCGACGGTTCAAAATGATTTGGTAGATCAAATTGTGTGCCTCCCAGATTAACGGCCTGGTATGCGGTTGATGCCTTGTGTCGAAAAATCTTCTCGACAAGAAGAGGTCATGCAACGTGTCCCGTGAGTTGTAGCAGTAGTGCAAGATGATGTGCAAACCAAAGAAATTATCATTGAAGAAAATGTCGCGAGTCGTGTAGCCTAGATTTTAATGGAAGACTGTTTGATAACAACTCAATCTTACCAAAGAAAAAACAAAGTTAACCAACATAAATAAATTTTAGGCAACTATTAGTGTAATATCTTTTGTTTTGGGGACGTGCTTATCCTGATCCCAACCTTACATTAGTATGATATTGTTCGTTTTATGCCAAACCATCATGAACTAGTTTTTAGACACTAACAAAAGACCTCATACTCATGAGTTGGGTAACCATATACATTTAGGTCTCTCCTTCATTCTCTCTCCAATGTGGGAAGGGGTTTGGACTTCAACAAAGTTCCCCTCAAACCCAAATCACACAATCTCATGAACATCCCAATAACATTTATCCGAATTGATTTGTCTCCATCTTGTACTGCTGTAACAACCCACGGGACACGTCGTCCAACCATATTTTCTTGTTCGAAAGAGTTTCGACACAAGGCAGTACCATGGATCTTCACTCGACTAGCCCAGAATTTACCATCTGGTCCCGTTGGCAATTTTTTTACTCCAAACGACCACAAGGCACCATATCTAGTCCTATTCGGTTGGTACACTATCCTCCGTGAACTCCGCCTAACACAAGGCACCATTTGCCTACACTCATTGGCACATTGTCTCGCCGTGGACTCTTCACACAACACTGGAACCCTGGTCCATGAATCTTTTCTAGTCCCAAAACTTTGCATGTATCGGTCCGTCACACTAGCCCACCAAACCTAGGCTCGGATACTATATGCAGGGACCGCGGGTACCTTCACTCTAACCCCACATTAGTATGATACTATTCGATCTTGTCTAAGCTCTCTCGAATTTATTTGTAGGCACTTCTCAAAAGAACTCATACTAATGAAGTTGAGTGAATGTATAGACCACCCCAATAAGTTGTGTGATGGAGTTTAAAATTAGAATAAAGCCAGGGGTACTCATTTGTATACTAGGCAAACACAGACACTAAATATCTATGATTACAAACACTAAGTGTCTGTATTTGTCTGGTATACATATAGGATCCCCATTTTGATGCACGGGTAGCATGACCCCTAAAATTAAGTAAGATGTGCCCTCCTACAGCAATATATAGCACAGCTTAACCCATTATTTTGGGTGCAATTAAAACGCCGTATACTGCGCTGCGTCTAAACTTTTACATTAAGACTATCCTCAGCTCCTCCGCCTTCCTTCCCACTACTGCATCTGCACACCGACGCTTTTTGCTGTTAGGATTTGCCGGAAAATATGGCGGAGGATTTCGTCAGGTCGGTTGACCTGGGCCTCCAACTCACGAAGCGAATTTACTACGGGAAGGAACCGCCGGAGCTACAGGAGATGGACAGGATGGTGCGGGCGGCGGAGGTTAAATTGCCGACGGCGCCTATGATGTACGCCGTGATCAGTGACCCGGCGATTGTGGAGAATCCGGACATTCCGAGCTACCAGCCGTACGTGTACGGCCGGTGCGCGCCGCCGGCGTTGATTCCGCTTGAAATGCACGCGATGGCGATGGAGGTAGACGTCTGTTTGGACACTGCGTTTGTTTCTGTTAGCGGCGCGTGGCGCGTGCACTGTGTCTCCGCCAGCAAAAGCTGCGACTGCAGGATTGCTATACCAATGGGAGAGCAGGTTGGTGTGAGCCTCTTCTTACTCTCTAGCTCCCTTCTTTTTGGAGATAAATGATCACAACTTACAAAATTAACAAATTTGTCATTTGTAAATATATATTTTTATTTCTAATTATTTAAAATCACTTTATTCTTTTATTTAGGTTCACAAATAACAACTTTGAAAATTTTATAATCATTTTATGTGTAATTCTAACATTTCTATTTGATTTTTGGTGAAATTATTACACTTTGACAATTAAGGAATATAAAGTATGGTTTTAATTTTGAATAAAAAAATAAATATAGTATTAAAAAAATGTAGAGTAACTTAATTTAATATATAAAATTATATTTTAAAGAGTAAATTCTATAATTGGTCCTTTATAACGGGGGGTTTCCCTATTTAGTCCTTTATTATCAAATATTACCCAAGTGGTTCTTCTTTTATGGGTACCTTTCCACAAATAGTCCTTTTTTTGATCTTCTATCATGTTAGTGTTAATTTGAGGGCTAAAAATGTAATTTCACAATGATAATATATCTCTTTTGTCATACACAATTTCAAAGGTTGTTCCGTTTGCGTCGTTTGTGAATTACAGTCGCTTCGCTTTTTACGACAATTATAGTCTACAAATGTGATCTTTCGTCAGAATCCTAGCCTACAATCATAGTCATTATTTTTGTGTTATCCGCTTAACCAATATCAGAACACGTCACTAGACATAATGTTGACATCAAATTATATTTTTAGCCTTTAAATTAACACCAACACGGCAGAAGATCAAAAAAAGGACCATTTGTGGAAAGGCACCCTTAAAAAAAGGACTACGGGGGTAATATTTGATAATAGAGGACTAAATATGGAAACCCCCTTGTTATAAAGGACCAATTATGAAATTTACTCTATTTTAAAATAAACTTACATATATTAACTTTACATTATAACTAAATGTATATTTTCCATAATTTATGGTAAACATTTGTAAAATTTGAGTAAAAAGGTCAAGTTGTAAAGATGTATTTAGGAGAGAAGAAATAAATACGAGCATAAACAAACATTTAGAATAGACCTTTCAAAATTTGAATCAACTTCTTTTTGCCCGAGACCTCATCGAATTCAAAATGATCATCTAAAAGTGGGTCAAACCTGACCGAATTCAAAGTCGACCTGATCGACCTGCTAGTAACTATGTAAGAATTTTCCTAAATCATGTACTTTACTAAAAAAAATATAATGTAATAAAAATAGTGTTAGATTTTTTTTATCGCACCATTTAAATAGACCTCGCAAAACAAAAATGTAACTAATTACTCGAACCAAATGATAATCAAAATTGAAACCTAACTCTAAATGATCTGAAAAGTGAAAATCCAAACTATAACCAAATACCTGATATGATCCAAAGCGAACACAAACCAAAGTAAATATATCCAAATATACCAAACCAAATATACCAAAAAAAACCTGGAATTAGCTGTGCCTTGGTAATAAACATATTACTCCGTATAATAATGTACGCAGTGTACAGCTGCATTCATGTTATTTCAATTTCTTTTATTTTTGTATATTTAGATACTCCATCAGGCCAATAATTTTTAATAATTGGACCTTTTTTATTAAAGTGTAAATTACCAAAATGGTCCTTTCTAATAAGGTATTTTTCAAATTAGTACTCAGTAAACAATAATTACCAAAGTGATCTTTTATAATTGAGATGCATTCCCTAAATAGTCTTTTACCAAAGATGTCTATTAAATGACAGTCAAATAGAAAGTTTTTTGGTATTTTCTATCATCTAGACTTAAAGTATGTTATCAAAATGCTTTTTAATTAAGTATTTTCTAAACTGGTAATTTCTGAGTGAATGTTTTTCTGAAATGGAGTCCATGAGCCTAATCGGGTGGGTCCGCTCCTCTAGCGGCCACCCACTTAATTTGAAAAGATCATTTTGAGAACTTATTTATAATTTAGATGATGGAAAATACAGAATACCTTCTATTTAAGTTTCACTTGATAGACATTCTTTACAAATGATTATTCAGGGAACACTTCTCAATTACGAAGGACTATGTTAGTAATAATTGTTTATTGAGGACTAATTTGAAAAAACATCTTATTAAAAAGAACCGTTGGAGAAATTTACTTTTTATTAAACTGGTACACACTTTGACTTTCATTGTGGGAGATGATTAAGACTCAGCGGGATATAAAGTTAGAAAAGGAGAAAATTGACAATGGAAATAGAGATTAAAAAGTGTGAAAATGAAAATATTGGGCGAAAAAAACCGCAAAGGCGGGAAAAGTGAAAAAAGAAAGAAAAAATCACAAAAAAAGTTAGGAAAAAGGTTTACTAATGTGAGATGATAGAAGTGATGATTGATTGATCAATGTGATACAAAAAAAAACACAGAATTCTAAATTTTAATTTTAGAATAATATATATCCGAATCAAAACGTATCCGAACCAAAATATATTTGAAACAAAAATATATATGAACAAAATATATTTGAAACTGAGATCCATTCGAACCAATTTATATCCGAACTGATTCAAAACCAGAAGTGGTATGGAACCGAATTATATCTAAACTAAAATTGAACCGGATCGATCCAAACCGAGTCGATTATAACACATATTCGATAGATATCCAAACCAAATAAATCCGAACTGCCATCAATTATTTGACCTGATTGTCAGGGCTACTTTTTAGTGTACAGACTTATTTTTCAAACAAATTTTTAACGCTGTCGTTTTGTTTTCTTAATTTTTTTAAATAAATCGTACATATGTAAGTTTTTATATTATTTGTAATATGGTTGTATATATGTATAAATTATTTAAAAATTCAAACAAAAAATAGTATAATACCTTTAATGTATATTTCAATATTTTCATAATTTTTGTGCAAAAAGCAAGTACTAGGCTACTAGCATAACTTAAAGTTTTTGAATCAAAATGCTCATTATGTGTTGGGTTGATCCAAATCTCATGATACTAGGTCATGCATGCATTTCTCAATTTGAATATGAGCTTGATCTCAACCCAAAGAAAATGAAACTGAAGTAGATCTGACCGACTTGTTAGTCCATTCTAATTTGGAGTAGATGTGTTGTGGAAAAACTTCTAAAATAAGACTAAAATCTACTGAGTATTTCATATACCAAAATATTTTCAATATTTTTATATCAAAAATAGACTTATAAGTGCAACTCCAGTGGAAGAGTATAGCAAAAGGTCAAAGGCTCTAATTTCCATTTTACCCCTTTTTTCATAAAAATTAATCTCCAATAGCAGAGGTATATGATAGGGTAAACATGCTCTCATCAACATTAGGAGGTAGGTGAGGGGGAATCACTTGGAACTTGGAAGTGGCGTGAAGCAACTAAAAGAAGACTTAGGCTGATTTGTTAAATATATATCCATCATTTTTTGACTGGCATACATCCATCATTTAAATACAAATAAACTGCATTTTTAAGTTTACCTTTTTATTTAAATTTATCCTGCCTCTTTCGGAGTTGCTCTAACTTAAAAGTGTGTTGAATTATTATTTCAAAAAACAGTATAAAATGTCATCATAGTTAATGTATCAGTGATCTCACACTGAAAAGCGTCATTTGTCCAAATTCCTCAATGACCCATTTGGACATAATTTGACCCAAATTCCTCTAATTTCCATCAAAGTTCAATTGCAAATCAATATACGGAGTACTTCCCTTGTAATTTGAAATCCATAAATTCAAATTTTAGAATTAAAATCCAAGAATTCAAATGAAATCTAAGTTGTCAAACACTCACTAAAACTATTACAACTATTTGAAGTTACTTTTTGTGAAAAAAGTGCAGCATTTAGACTGTGATGCATCTGATTCTCTAGTTCTCAAAATAGAAATGATTTGGCTAACAGGGTTCAGTTCTAGGTGTAGCAATTGAAGCCCCATCAAGATCATATTTCACTGATCTGATTGCTCCTGATGAATCTGATGATCCATTGAAGCTAGCCAATGCGAAAGACGGTTTCTTGCTTGAATTCCAGATATACACATTACAGGTTCCCCAGGTAACACAACCACTTGCATTGGTGTGTCAATCATTATCTCTTTTCTCTGCATGTGATGAAGTTTTTGAACTGTTTAAGGTTGTTGGAGGGACTGTTTTATCCGTTAAAGCTCGTTGGTCCCAGAAAGTTTTATATCAAGACGGTCAAGCTTGCTTGACTATACCTTTCAGGTTTCCAGCAACTGTCAACCCTATTGAGAAAAAGAAGAGGAAGAAAGAAAAGATCATTTTGAATGTAAACTCTAGTGTTGGAACCGTTGTTTGCTGCCAAAGTACTAGCCACCCCTTACTGGTATGTCTATTTTCTTATTTGGGATTTCCATTTTGCAACCAAAACTACATTTCCTTTTCGATAATCATGATTTTATTCTTCTTTTTTTCTCCTAGGAACCAAACAGCTTTGCTGGGAATGTAGGTTTCTTATACGAGAGAGAAGTGCTTATGTGGTCCACGAATGACTTTATTTTTTCATATAAGGTTGGATTTCTCATGCCTCTATTAAGTCATCCTGTATGGATCAAATATATACAAATACAAACAAGCATATGAGGGCTTGGAGGGCTTCAGCTAGAGCATAAAGTCTTTCTTGGTCCTACATTTATAAGCTTGAGTTTGTCCTTGAGTTGGTTCCTTGACAGTTTCCCTTACATTTCTTGTCTTTTGTACTAATGCACCATTTTTGGTGGGTATTGTCCAACTTCAGGTTTCTTCAGTGGAAAGTTTTGGTAATGTGCTCGTGAAGTCTCCATCTCGGCATGATTTTGACCAGAGGAATATGTTTTGTTTGTATCTTTACCCTCCACACGATATCCCTAAGAAGGTTGGTCTTGCATTTTTTATTTTCTATATTATTCATCATTGGGAGCTCCCTAGATTTTTAAGTCTCATCTTTTTTAGTGTAGCTATTCAGAAGGGATTTTGTCTTTGTTGTTGACACAAGTGGAAGCATGGAAGGAAGGCCAATGGAGCATGTGAAAACTTCATTGCGCTCAGCTCTCTCTAAACTTGGTCCAGAAGACACCTTCAACATTATTGCTTTCAACAACACGACCTTACCATTCTCATCAAAGATGGAGCCATCTACTGAGGAAAATATTGGAAATGCAATCCAATGGATAAGCCTAAATTTTGTACCCAACGGAAGCACTAATCTTTCACGGGCTCTAGATCAGGTATTTGTGTTAGAGTCTATCCCACATCAAATGTTGAATAGAAAAGTAATCAGTTTATAAGCTCTTGAGTTGAACTACGTTATTGATTAGATTCAATATTTTAATGTGATTCAACCCAAGTGTCTTATGGCCTAGGGATATTAATTTGCCACATCTCAGTATTAATCTTGGTTCGAAAAAGGATGATTTTGGTAACTTTTTCAGTTGCACATACAGACATAATGGTCTTCTACTAACTACTTGCTTATGCCAGGCAATGAAGATGGTTTCTAATCCCAGGCATTCAAATACTGTTCTTTTTGTTATTACTGATGGGGCCGTTGAAGATGAAAGACAAATATGTGAAGTCATAAGAGGCCAGCTGTTAAAAGGAGGCGCAAATAGTCCTCGGATATGCACATTTGGCATTGGTGAGCTCACTGCATTTAATCTTCAGAATGATGTATCACTTTTCATCATGTTTTCATAAACTCTGTGAAGTCAAAGCGAAAACTTCATTTTGAGACCGGGGGGGGTTATGTACCTAGTATTTCTATATAAGTAGATTGCATTCTAAAATGCCACCTTTTTAAAAAGGATTCTATTCCTCTGTCCAGGTTATTACTGTAACCACTACTTCTTACAAATGCTTGCAAGTATTGGAAGAGGTTATTATGATGCTGCATATGATACAGGTTTGGTACTCTTTGACATAACGGTTGATTGGCAATGGGGGTCGAAGAATGAGATCTTTATTTTTCATGTTTTCTTCCTAAATCTGCTGCATTGGCAGAATCAATCAGTTCTAGGCTGGAAAGACTCTTTGACAGTTCATCGTCAGCCATCCTCGCTGATATAAAAATCGATGCTCTGCAACATCTAACTTCACTTGAGGTACACTGACCCTATCCATCATTATATATGTTGTTGGTTCTGATTATAAGTTATATGTTTACAAGGGAGTTTAAGGTTTTAAAAAATAAAAAAATCAGGGGTGTTTTGGGGATTTACGGTTGAAGGCTTAATATGGAGTATTCTGCTAAACTTCACATGAAGTTATGGTTCTTCATCTTGTGACACATCCAGTTGATGTTCATTGCTGCAGCTGTACCCAAACTCTATTCCAGACCTGTTGTGTGGGATTCCATTCATTGTATATGGCAGATACTATGGGGACTTCCCTGACAAGGTTAAAGTTAAGGGAACATTACCCAATTCAACCAACTTTGAGATAGGAGTGGAAGTGCACAAAGTGAATGATTTTCCTCTTGAGAGAGTAAGATTCCAACATTTTGCACATATGTGTCTTGGAGTTTCTGGTTTGTCAATTTAAGGCTCATGTTCATAAACCAAACTAACTAAGCCAAACAAACTCACTATATCACAATTTAACCCATATCACCCACACCATATAAAAGTTGAATTTCTTAATATTATTGCCAAGGGTTAAAGGTTTGTTGGACTTATTTAAACTTCTTAAATTTGAAAGTTTTTCTTAATAAAAAAAACTTCAAAGTTGGATGTGGTGCAAACCTCTAAAACACTTTAATTTGGCAGGTATTTGCGGGGAGAGAAATAGGAATGCTGACAGCTCAGGCGTGGTTGACGCGAAGGAAAGAACTTGAGAAGAAGGTTATGTTTGATCAATTTGTCTCAAATTGTAAATTAAAAAAAAAAACAGAATAATCAAAACAACTAAACTTTAAAAAAAAAAATATATGAAATGCATGTATTGTAACACCGACATTTGGAAATCAGGTGGTGAAGCTAAGCTTGCAAACAGGGGTGGCTTCTGAATACACAAGAATGGTTCTAGTGGAGAGTGACAGGGGAAATCACAACGCCAAACCAGAGACACTTAAAGAGGTAAACACACACACACAGAGTATATATATGTATATATATATTTGAAAATGCTAGTCACAAACAAACATGTCACAAACTTTGATACTTTCTAAAGAGGACCATTTTACCCTTCCACTTTGTTTGAAACTCTTGGTCATCAAGACTTTGATATACTATACAAAGGAACCATTTCAACCAAAAAGTAAATCTTATAGTTGTAGGTCTAGAAAAGATTTCAAATTCTAACGTTTGTATGAACACGCAATACAGAAGACAACATACCTACGAGAAACAGGGATCGGGTTCGGTAACTTGAAGGCGACGGCCGGAAACCTCCCGCCGGGAGCGGCGGCGGCGAAGCGGCGGCACCAGTCGGAAGCCGCCGCATTTGCCGCCAAGTGTTGCAGCAAGGCGGTGGACCGCTGCTGCTGCGGCATGTGCCTGCTTCAAATCTGCTCGAAGCTGAGCGACCGGTGTGCGGTCGCCTTCACGCAGCTCTGCGCCGGGCTGGCTTGCTTCGAGTGCCTCAGTGTTTGCTGCGATCTCTGCGACTTGTAAATTCATTGTGCGTACATTTTGTGATCACGCTTCACGCCACTACTTGTATATTAATTGTTGCTCTCCTTCATGGCTTCAATAAGTTTCGAAATAATTCTCAGTTGTGCATGGAAGCGTTTTTAGTGACTTTGCTGTAATAAACTAGTATCACACCCGTGCGTTGCACAAGTCATAGTTACGGTACTAACTTAAAATCATTTTTAGGAATATAAATTGTTATATAATGGAATATAGATATTTCATTATTTTAAAGTACAAAAGTAAAATGATTTATAAATTTCGAAAGACTTCTTTATAAACTACATCACTCGTATGTATAATTTGTGTGAGCATTCACTTCGTTGTATATCAAAATCTTCAAGCCATTGCGATTTATTACTTTTTAAACTGCAACATACACTGTCTCATGACTAAATACCAGTTTCCATAACAATAATTCAATATGTTTCAGATATTGTTCTTGATAATACTCCCTTCGTCCCCCTGTATTTGTCCACATTTGACTTTTGGAACGGTTCATCTAAGCACTTTGACTCATCAAATTCTCTCAATGTGTAAGGCTAAATATAATCATGTGTGATCTTGTTTGATTTGTCTTAACATATATATTATTAATATATAATTTTTATAATTTTTTAATATACAAATTACAAGATAAAATGGATTAAAAAAGTGCATTGGATGGTGTGCAAAAATGAAAGTGGACAAATACAGGGGGACGAAGGGAGTAATTCAATAATTTGACTTATCTAAGTAATAATTCAACATATTAATGTATTTATTTTGGAATTTGTATTTTTTAATTTTATTTTCGTATTTAAGTGGTACCAGTAACTTACTCTATGGTATTTATTTTCTATTCTATTTTAGATCACTTACCATTTTTACACGTATCCATGCTTGTAAATTATAGTATTGATAGTATTTATTTTAGAATACTTATACCATTGTTACATGTTTCCATGCTTATAATATTAATAGTATTAATTTATAATTTTTAATTTTTGCATTTAAATGGTACCATTTGATTAATGTACCATATTTATTTTTTAATTTATTTTATAACAGTTACCATTTTTACACGTTACCATGCTTGTAAATTGTAGTTTTAATTGATAGTATAATTTTGTAGTTTTCTATTTTTTTTATTTAAATGGTATCATTTACTTACCGTACCATATTTATTTTCTAATATATTTTAGAATACTTATCGTTTTAATAATTATTTTATTTTCTAATTTATTTAGAACACTTACCTAAATTATTTTAGAACACTTACCATTTATTTTATTTTGTGTTTAAATGGTACCATTTGCTTATTGTGGTGACATATCATCCCGTATTTATTTTCTAATTTCCTAATTTGAACACTTACCTTTTTAAAAAAAATCATCTTTTTAAAGTATAGTATTAATATTAATTTTGCAGTTTTTTAATTTATTTTCGTATTTAAATCGTACTAATTACTTACCAAACCACATTGTTTTCTAATTATTTTAGAACACTTATCATTTTAAGATGTACTCTCTCTGTCCCTAAATAGATTACAATTTTTTCTCTCCTCTCGATAACTTTTGTTTGTTTACGCGATTTTATTAAGTATTTGATAAAATAATCACTTCTTGTTTTGTAGAACTTTTGACGTAGTTGTTTAATATATAATTTTTATATCTTATTGATATATCAATTTGTAAATAAAATGATTTCAAAAAGTAAGAAATTTTACTCCATAACCCAGAATTTGTAATGAAATTGGGGACTTAGGGAGTATTTTATTTTCTCTTTTATATTAGAACACTGACCTAATTTATTTTAGAAAACTTACCATTTATTTTATTTTCGTTTTAAATGGTGCTAATTGCTTACCATACCATATCTATTTATTTTCTAATTTTCTAATAAGAACATTTGTCATTTTTAAAACGTTTCCATTCTTTTAAATTATAGTATTAATATTAATTTGTAGTTTTTTATTTTATTCTTTTATTTAAANGGGGACTTAGGGAGTATTTTATTTTCTCTTTTATATTAGAACACTGACCTAATTTATTTTAGAAAACTTACCATTTATTTTATTTTCGTTTTAAATGGTGCTAATTGCTTACCATACCATATCTATTTATTTTCTAATTTTCTAATAAGAACATTTGTCATTTTTAAAACGTTTCCATTCTTTTAAATTATAGTATTAATATTAATTTGTAGTTTTTTATTTTATTCTTTTATTTAAATGTTATCATCTACTTACCGTACCATATTTATTTTTTAATCTATTTTAGAAAACTTACCATTTTTACGCGTTTGTGCTTGTAAATTATACTTTGTGCTTGTAAACTTACCATTAAATAAATTTTTTAATGATAAATAATTAATTTGTAGTTTGTTTGAAATAATTCATTTTAATCCTGCCCATACTATATTAATATGTAATTTTTAAATTTTATTTTAATATTTAAATGCCAGTGTATTTTATTTTCATACTTCAATCCCCCAATGGTTCACTACTATTTAATTTATTTAATTTAAATGCTTAAATGGTGTAACATTTAAATAAAAATAAAAATAAAAACATACCTAAAATGGAAGGAAAACATTAAGGTAAAATAATTAAACTACCATTTATGTTGTCAACACTTTCCATATATGAGTGTCATGCATGGGCGGGAAAAAATTCATGTCTTTTTAAATAATGTATAGATTTTACTCACTTCAAAGCTTTGTTAACTACCACTGTTTTTCAGAAAATTTACTTAAATAACACTAAAACATAATGAATTTTACTGAATAACATTATATGTAACTTTTCCTAATGTAGCACTTTTAGTCCGTATCCATTAGTTATTATTCAAGTGAATATTTGCCATTAGTGGACTTTATTTCTCCTTTTGGACATTATTATGTGTTATTCAGGGAATAAAACACTTAATTGTTATTCATGGAAATGACTTAAATTATAATGATATTTAGTGCAAATATTTCTTCTTTCTAGACCATCATCCACCAATCCTAGAGGCCCTACTCTCTCAGGCTTGAGGGTAATTATATTCCATTTTCAAAAAAAAAAAAGAGAAAATAAAATTCTAGTTGGGCCAAACTACCGAAGAGAACACGCGTAAAATGAAAGTCTAAAAGACATGCCAGCATATTTATTTATCTATCAAAGGCCTGGAAGTTCTGGGTCACAACTCGGAAGCCCACTTCTACTCTTTAAATGAAAAAAGTGAAAGGCCCACAAAGCAAATTAGTTGACCCCTCGCTTCTTCAGCAGCCGTTGGATCTTCTTCGTACGTACGGACGGACGATTTGTGCCCTAATTTTCCACGTTGTCGCGGGAATCGTGGCCGTACAAATAGACTAGAATTCCGGTGCGGGTCCCAGCGCAGGCTGACACGACAGCGGTGGTCCAATGAATGAAGCGTAAATTGGCCGCTTCGTCACGTGTGGGTCCCCTCCGGCTTCTCTGCTTGTGCATGCAAGTTGTTGGTTCCGTCGGCACGTTTTCCTAATTAGTCAAAGTCGCGAGTTGTTTTCTGCAAAGTCCTGCAAACCGGTTCGGGTCAACCAGTAATAAAAAATGCCCCCTGACATAGCTAGTGATACCTGGTTCTAGTGGCATCGGAGTGTCATCGTACTCCAGTATTACTAGAACCTCACCGTTTTAAAATAGTCTATTAGTCCATGTGGTTAAAGAATTAAGGGGGTGTATTCAATTAGGATTTTATTAGATTTGTTTAGATTTCAAAAAGTTAGTAGATTTGAAAATTTTGTAAAATCCATGTAGAGTTTTGTTGATTTTTTATAGAATCCATGTAGAATTTGAAAATTTTGTAGAATCCATGTAGAGTTTAAAACATTTGTAAAATCCATTTAGAATATGATGACTTCTATTCACCCACCAAGGGAAGGACGGACGAGGACATGAGATAGAAGAAGATGACTTCTGTCCGCGAATCCAGATCCAGGTCCAAAGAGGGTGCCCTTGATCGCGTGCGTCGAGTGAACAGATACGCCGCCGGACACCAACTGCTGCCACTCAACCTGCAGATCCGCCACCAGATCCGGATCCGAACTGCTGTCACTCCTCCAGCAGATCCGCCGCCGGACACAATTAGTGACGACCTTGATGCCCACGAAAGAGAGGATCGGACTTGGATTCTTAAAATCCTCTGTTTGGAGTAGGGATTTGTTCATAAACTTTTTATTGAAATTTCTACCTTCAAATCCATTAAAATCCATGTAGAATACAAATCTTTACAAATTCATGGAGTGTTGAATATCTTTAGATTTAGATAGAATTTTTAAAATCCAAATTCAATACATCCAGATTTTAAATGACTTTTTAAAATCTGAATTGAATACACTTAGATTTTAAATGATTTTTTAAAATCCCGATTGAATACCCACTGACTTTTAAAATCCAAAAAAATCTTGCAGAGTTTGGATTGAATACACCCCCCTTAGTGTATAATTTGTCGCTTTAAGAAAAACGTAAAGAAAAATACAGAATATAAGTTTACTCTATGAAAATGTGAAGTATGTAACAAAAAAGAAGTTTATATAATGAAATTGTCCTCGTCCTGGTCAAAGACAATGAATGGTCTTTTTAGCTCTTTTCTCACATGATTTTACTTTAGAATAAAATTACTTTAAAAAAAATAATATCGAAGTCACATAGGACATTGTACTACGATTAAAAAATATCACTGTAGAAAAGATGGAGAATTCGCTGTAACAGCTAAACTAAAAAATGAAAGATATTATACAATGGTCTAAAGTTACAAATTAAAACGGGAATTTTAGATTAATTTTTTTTACAATTACATGATGAATGTCTTTAAATAATACACGTGTCTTGTGTACGTTTTACGAATTTTCTAATGTAGGGACTAATTATACTCTGATTGTTTAACCACATAGATTATTTGACAAAATTAAATTTGTTCTGATCAAGAACAAGAAAAAAAAATATTATCAACTCATTTATGAACTATAAAAATAATTTATTCAATACTTAGTTTTGATGACATTATAAAACACAAAACATCAATCTATTGCACCATGATTCCATGTAGTTTGATTAACGTGCAGTGCATCGTTTTTAAAATTTACGCCGTTGTTCCTTATATTTTTATATGGCTACGAACGCCAGTGCCCATTTCGACTAAAACATCCTTCAACTATTATGTGAATAGCTCTACTATCCCATATGGTTTTGAAAATTAGCACAAACACTTCCTCTTTACATTATTGTTTTTCTCTTTTCTATTATTTTTTCATAAATTTTTTTATTTTTTAAAAAAATATTTTTATAATGTTTTAATAATCAATTTTTTCATGTTTGCATTAAAAATTAATTGAATGATAGTATTAATTATCGTATACTTCATTTGTATCAAATTAAACACTTTCATTTTTTGTTAAAAGATGTCTTTATTAGTTCATTTTCATGATACGAAAATCAATGAAATATTTTTTTTATTTTTACTAAAGCCCATTTCTCATTTTCTATTCATTAATTCTATACCGTTTCTTTTAATTTAATCAAAATTAAAATAAAAAATTATAGAAAATAAAATTAAGAAAAAGAAAATTATATGAAATTTTTTATAGAATCTAGAAAATTAAGTCATGACGGAATTCTTTTGCGCATTGGTCCCAAAAATGTTATTAGTATATAATTAACCACATATTAAAAAGATGTTACTTAGTTTTTTTGTCTCGACATATTCAAAAAGATAGATTTTTTTAGACAAAAACAAAATATTTAATTTTACAAATGAAGCATATGTTGAATTTTTTATTTCAAACCCATACATCTTTTATTTTTTAAAACTTTTTTTAAAAATGTAGGCTTGAAAAAACAATTTTTTTTATTTCACAGACAAACTTTCTTCTTTTTTATGAAAAAAGAAAAGAAAAGAGAGAGGGGGGGAGGCGTTGGCGCCATTTTCTAAAACCATAGGGGGCAGCGGAGTTATGCACCTTATATTTAAAAGGTATTTTGTCCACAGAGACATTGACGTAGCAATATCAGAATCATGAGTATTAATTAAGTAAATTTTGAAACTATGAGAAATAACGATGCACATTTACCGAACTACCTTAACTAGTGTTAATGGCTTAGTGCAATAAACTCTTTGAGAGGGAGTAATTTGTAGTCATTATTTTCAAAAGAATTTTTAAAACGATATCAAAAGTCAAAAAGTAAGTTGATTTGGGACGGTGGGTACGCTTGAGAATAAATGAGTTTTTGTAAGCACGTGTTCCTAATGCGTTGGTTTCCGTAACCGGCCGACAACTTGCGCGTTCCTCCATTCCTCTTTCATGTGGGAACATACGTCATTCTTTATAAAAAGATCCTCGTGCTTTAATTTTTTAGTCAAATTATAGATTCTTTGATCACGAATTATTTACTTTCTCCGTAACCAAATATTTGTCACACTAAAATATTAAGTTTTTTCAATTCATTTTATTTACATATTTGTATAGAAATAAAATATAAAATTTACATATAAAAAAACTACATGAAAAGTTTTTCGAAATAAGAGATGTCAAGAATATTTTATTTTATCAAATAACTAATGAAAACGTAAAAATAAACAAAAGTTTCCACGACTGCTGAAAAAGCAAGTGTGGTAAATATTTTGGGATGGAGGGAGTATATTTTAAAAATAAATAAATACTATAAAAATTTAGTATTTCAAGATGATATACTAAAATAAAATTAATTTTACTAAATTTACATTATTATTAAATATATTTTTTAATAATTCACAACTAAAAAGTGTTAAGTTAAATTAAAAAATTAAATTGTGACAATCTTTTAGAGATGTAGAGAGCAACTTAACTAGTCAATAGTGTTACATATGTAAATTCAAATTCAAATCTTAACAACACCAATAAAAATGATTATCCTCTCCGTTTAAAAATTATCATTTTATTGTGTGTTATGATATTTGATTAAATTTATTTTCAAATGATCTTATATAAAAAAATAATGTAGAAATTTAAAATTAAAATTGCATAAATAAAAACTATATCAAAATATCTACAAAAACTAGAAGCGACATGACTATATTATTTTATAAAATAAACAACAAAAATAAGTCAACAAAATAAATAAAGTTGATGGGAAAAGACTAAATAGGAGTAAAATATTAAAAATATAACAAAATAGAAGTTTCATTTTTTTTTATACAATCTCAATTATCACCATATACATTACTAAAAATACATATTGTAAAATATTTTTGTACAGTGTCACATTTCTACAATGGAAACTACTAATTTGGAGATAAAAATATAAAATTATTATTTTAGTGTTTTCTTTATGTCTTTACTCTTATCTATGATAGATTCTTTAAAATCATATTCTGTATATAGTGAACAAAAAGATAATTTTTAAATAAAAAAATACGTATATGCCTGTAAATATTACACATACCTTAAAAAAAGTGCAGGCCCCGTTTGGTACAAGCAATTCAAATTATGGAATTGGAATTGAGGGCTCCAATTCCAATTCTGGAGTTTGGTAACACAAATATTATGTGGATTTGGAACTGATAGTACAAAAAATGAACTGAAATTGGTAAATTTAATTATATGGAATTGAATCTCATGGAATCTCAATTCCAATTCAATTCCAATTCCACCAATTCCGTATACCAAACGGACCCGCATACTTTAACTTGACACAATATTTATAAAAAAACGAAAATGTGCGCTAGAAATTGATGCGAAAAAGAGATAAAAAATTATGACTGATTCAAATTTTTTTGGAACATTTAAAAAAGAAAATAAACAATTTACTCCCTCCGTCCCAGAGTATTTGTCCACTTTCATTTTTACACACCATCTAATACATTTCTTTAATCCATTTTATCATGTAATTTGTATATTAAAAAATTATAGAAATTATATATTAATAATTTATATGTTAAGACAAATCAAACAAGATCACACATGACTATATTTAGGCTTATACATTGAGAGAGTTTAATGAGTCAAAGTGCATAGATGAACAATTCCAAAAGTCAAAAGTGGACGAATATAGTGGGACGGAGGAAGTATTTTAGTAGGGGTGTAGTATTTAAGTATTTTATTCTTTTTTCTGCGTCTTTTCCTCCATACGTTTTTTAAAAACGTGCAGAAATCAGTTACACGACTTTCCACCCCAGAATAATAAATTCATTTATAATGATTTTATAATAAAAAGAAGAATTTTTCTTGAGATTCCATCAAATGGTTTGAATTCCTCCGGCAAATCTCACATCTTCCTCCTTCCATCCATCCGCTCGCCGCGCTTCAATCGGAAGCTCGTTCCGTCCCTTCAACCTCGGCGCCGACGGGGGGCGAATCCAGGAAAAATCGCCGCCATGCAACTTCCATTCGACGGCGGGAGGTCCGCCAGGGCGGCGGAGAAGCCGAATTTCGCGCAGACTTGCAATCTACTCAGCCAGTTTCTCAAAGGGAAGGGAAATCTCAGAGATCTAGGGCTGGAAATTCGCGGCAAATTGGAAGCTCCAGGTACTACACCCCTCAATTTTCATTATTACTGTATTTATAATTTTTATTGGCAAATTCTGATTTAATTACTATAGATCTGAGGCGCATATAGAATTCCAGATATCTGTGTTAAATGAGCTCGCTTTAATTTTGGTTACTTTGGGGAGAAGTTTAATTTTGGTTAAACTAGTTTAATTGAATGCATGTTTATGTGCTACATCTTGTCATTTATTCATATTCTTCTTCTAGAGGTACAATCTATAGAACAGACCCTGTTCAAGTAAGATCTAATTCATATTCTTGTTTAATTACTCAAACAAGATGAGATCATAATAAGTTTGGAATTTATTAAAAACATTTCGACTAGATAATATAAAATTCATACCAGATTATATCGGTCCAAAATCAGATCTAGCTATTATGGCCACTGGATTATCACGTTTAAATGTAGTTTTAAATNCCCCCGATTTGCCTTGGATCCAATATGAACTATGGCCTTGTTTCTCTATTGGATCTGATTTGTCTGGAATAAGTTTTCACATGGTCTGATCTGATTGTAGTTGTTTCTGATCTAGTCTAATCTGATTTAGTTCCAATAAGAATAAGTAATGAAGAATGAGTCTAAGAGCTTGCTGCAGAGAACAAGCTCTATATGGAGAATGAAGATCTGTTTGGTAAAAGCTACTCCATATTTGTTGAAGATGGTTGTTTCTGTCTAAATTATTTTTACTCCTCCCATCCAAAAATTATCTTCTCGTCCACGATTGACAAGGTCAAACTTTATTCACTTTGTTTGTCTATTTTCGTTGCTAATTTTATAAGATAATACACTAATGTCACCTTTACTTTTGTAGATCTTTTGATGTAGTTTTTAAATATGTAATTTTATTTTTTAATTTCACACCATCTTTCATGTAAAATGATTTGAAAACAACTTCAATCAAATATTGTAACACGCAACGGAAAGATAATTTTTGGACGGAGGGAGTATATATTTGAAGGGAAAAAAAGCATTTAGTAGCATCTATTTTTTTCTCTTCATAAATATTGAGTAATAGGGAGTACAAGCACTATACCCTTTTAAAGTGTCACTCATGGTTGCACCTATATAGGAAGGATATTTACTAAACATCAAAGTCTTGAAAATTTAAGGTATGTAGTACTTTGTATAATTGTATACTATAACTAGAAAATCTTTACTAATGCTTTAAATTTACTCTCTATTTACCTTTTACTCCCTTCCCAATTATTAATTCTTTCTGTCCATTATTTTTTGTCTATTTACTTTTTTTGTCCATCTCATTATACGTAATGTTATGCATTGGGGTGTACGATATATATTGTTCATTTGGCATGTCCACTTACAAGTTAAATACTACGGAGTACTCGTTTTGCACATTGATTTTCTTTGCATATATTTACAGCGTGCAAATTATAAAATTAGTGTATGCACATTTAAAAAATGCATAATGCTCATTTCATTGCTATTTTTGTTCATTTTGTTAATAACATTTTCAATCAACAAAAGAATAAAAACAAGATCTTGAAAATGAAATTGCAAAAAAGCACAATCTTTATTTTGTTTATAATCAGAATGTGCATATCATAAAATTAGTATATGTACATTCACGAATTATATAACATTCAAAAATCAAAATAAGGAGTAACACTCGTTATACCTTTAATCCATTTTTCCATCCAGATTCCAAACACAGGCTTAACGTTTCTGGGAAAAAACCAGACGTGGCTACTGCTGCACCCACCATCGACTTTTTAGGGAACTTGGGAAAATCAAATCACTCACCACTGGAACGGGACTTGAATTTCACTGATCTGGTTCCTAAACATACTGCGATGGGCTCTCCGGCATCGGTGGATGAAGCTTCAAAAGAAGCACCAAGAGAGACCGCAGCCAAGACGGCCCCACTAACAATTTTCTACTCTGGCAAAGTTATGGTCTTTGATAATTTTCCAGCTGACCAAGCCGCGGCGGTACTGACTTTGGCACGCAAAGTGAGCTTTCAGAATGCTAATTCTGGTGTTTTCCAGACAGTCACTGCAGATGTCCAACCCACCTCTGTTAGTAACAGGACACCACAAATCCCTACTTGCCCTTCAGGACCTAATGTTTCAGGTAATTTACTCACTGATCGTTTGATCCCCCCCCCACACATTCTAGTAATCTACAGTATAAACTTTACTCATTTTCTCTTTTTGAGGTTCTAAAAATACTTCTGATTTTTTTTTTTACTTTCTTTCTTGTAGTAGTAAACTTGCTTGCTCACAAGATTTTGCTTTCATTTAAAGAAGTTGCTTTTCACTTTTCAATTTTGGGACATATATATTTACCTAAAAACGAAAATATAAAAAAATGAGATTTTTTTGGAACAAATGAAAAAGAAAAGTGATAAAATGCTGAAAATGGTGTGTTGTGGTGTTGTTTGTTTCAGATCTTCCAATTGCAAGGAGATCATCACTTCATCGGTTCCTGGAGAAGAGGAAGGATAGGTATGTATTTTGTGTACTTGAATCTACGTAACTCGATTTTTTCTTTAATTTTCATATTGGCCCTGCAAATATGAGTCACATGGTGGACATGACAATATAACAAATTCAAACTCATCTTCATATCCCATTTTCCACGAATTTTGATTTTTCATTATGATGACTCTTTTGAAATCATAATCTCTTCAATCAAGGGCAAGGCATGTAAAATTTGTTAGGTAGTATGTTCTGCACGAGTTTGTAGTATTATTGTGCAACTAATTCTTGTTCCAAAAGGTGACATCGCTCCCCCCGGGCACCCCTCACTCCCTACTCGAGGGGAATGTGAGAGGATGTAGATCATGGTGACTCAACCGTCAAGAGAGACTGGGACTAGTGCTCGCTGCGCACAAGGAGCCCCCTCATTTTTTGAGAGGTGCTCTCACACTGCCGCCGAGGCTCAATCCTTGGTCTCTTGTTCCAAATTCCACTTCTGAGACCAGTTGAGCTGTCCATGCGGGTTTTGTGCAATTAATTCTTTTTCTATATATAGTGGTTATGTTGGAGGTTACATTTACATGTAGGACAACAACAATAAACTCAGTGGAACAAAAGATTTACATTGTGTAACAAATAGAAAAAAAGTTGAAGATTTACATTATTAATATGTTTTTGTTGTTGAATACCATTCGTTCAGGTCCGTTGCTAGGGCGCCATACCAGCTACTTCCCAATCCAATGCCTTCATCATCATCTTCTTCCAAGGATGAAGTCCTAGATCTCAACTTCAAGTTGTAGTCTCTACAAGCAGCGAATATGTGAGGCTTGAATTGACATGTATTGTTCACTCAAAGCCCTTTAACTAGTTCCGCGTTGGAATTTGGACACGTGGTAGCATTTCTCATATCCCATTCAAACTTTCCGTGAGTTGCGACATTTTTGGGTCGTGACGAAGTTATTTATTGTAAATAATAATAGCCGATTGTAGGTGTGGCACCTTATTTTTTTTCTTCCGGGTACTAAAACTTATATTAATCCCATCATTTTAACACCATTTTCATCTTCATCTGTAGGAAAGTGTAGTGTGAAAGGTGATGTGAAATGTGTTGTTAATATTGCTTATCCATATTTTTTGTAGCACCCCTTTCATCCTCGTTTGCATTAGTTTTAAATGCCCCATGGTTTTACTTTGAACTAAAGAAGGCAAAAATTGTACTGTATTGAGATTAATGCAAAGAAGAGATAAATGTACAAGTCCCCCTTTGGTTGAGTGGAAAAAACTTAAAAGACCAACTTTAAAACTTCAAGGGCTGCTCACTCGGGATCCGATTTGTAGAGGAAGCAAGATTGAATGAGTTTTAAGGGAATTTTCTAACACTATGGCCCAAAGAATTTGAAAAGTAAAGAAAAAAATGAGATGGAAAATAATTTTTCATGTTTGGTTAGAAAAGAAAAGAAAATGAAATAAAAAGGTAAAATGTACTAATAAAAGGAAAGTAGATTTTGAAAATAGCAACTCTATTTTTCAATCTCTTAAAATTTTGGATAGAAATAGAGATTGACCAAAAATACTTAACTTTAAATTGGTTTAGTGACTAATAACAAAAGAATAACCAGAAACAAGATACTGATAAACCTATGAGTTGACCTTAGAAAAATGGCTAACAAAAATTCTTTTTTAATATTTAGTTAACTTAAAGCACAATCACACATAAAGCATTACTTTAAGAATTAAACAATAATAGATTAACTTAGACAATTTTGGAAAATTGAGATGCAAAATGTAAATGTTTCCTTCGCACACAGACTTCTTTCTCGATTACTCTTTATATGTGTGTATCGTATTGATGCTTTGAGAATTGAGATGCATAATGTAAACGTTGATTTGATTCCTAAACACAATTTTTTCCTTCTTTTCTTTGTCCTCATAGGTTGGGAAATCCAAACAGTATTTTAAGAAAATTTGTGATAATTTAAAAATATAATAAAATTATGAATAAAATTTGGGAAATCCAAACAACATTATAATAAAAATTGTGAATCCACAAAAATAATACTCAAAAATATATTTAAAGAACCTGCATTATGAATAAATTCTGTAAGTAATGACTAGAATGTAAATATGATAATTTAAGTATAAAATACACTACTTAACGCGCACTGATTTAATAAAAAATAAATAAAAATAATTTCAGACAAAACACTTGATAAGCAATTTTTTACAAAATACTCCGTAATATGCAATAAGAACATTTATTAGAGTAGTAAGCAAGTAGTAAGCATATGCTTACTATAGTATATAGGCATGAGGGTTCAACTAAAATGGTGTAGACCTTAGATCTAAGAAGAAAGCACTCATATACCTTTTACTACCTCCATGCCTCCATCCCAAAGTGAATGCCACATTCAATATTATGTACAAAATTTTGTCAATTTTAAATTATTTTAATAAAAAATAGGTAGAAAAATGAAATGTATAAACTACATCATTCAAAAATATATCAAAATTTCTATAATATAAGAGAGAATAAAAATACAAATCCTTCTATCCCTGAAAACTCTTCATATTTTGATTTTTTAGATCAAATAGTGACACTCTTTGGTCATACATTAAGCACAATCTAAATAGAAAGATGTTATAAAAGTTTATGTATTAAAATTTTTTTCTAAGATGAACTCAATTATATTAAATTTATATTATAATTTAATATACTTTTTTCTCATAATTTTTTTGTTAAAGAGTATGACTATTTGATCTAAAAAGTTAAAACAAGAAGAACTTGGGAAATTTATAAAAAAAAGTAAAATTTGCACTAAATAGGATTAAAACATAAGTCATTTCTCAATGTAAGACTTAAAACTTTTTTTATTTCCTAAATAGAATTTAATAATGTCTAGTGGGAAGAATAATGTTCAGTAATAATGAAAATTTAGTTGAACAATAACTAACTGATAATGACTAAAGTTTTACATTAAAAAAATAAAAATATATGATACTATATTGAAAAGTTATTATGTTTTAGTATGTAAATTTCTCAAAAAATAAATAATACAAAGTGGGGTAGAACTAGGACAAAGAAGGGAGGTACTACATAAAAGGAGCTCCGGAAATCCAGAGTTCTGGCTGTCTTCCTTATTCATCTCTGTGCTGAGCAAATCATAGCAAGAGTTTGTTAGAATTAAGCCTCCTTTGGGTTCTTCCACCGTAAATCGAACTTTCCAGGCGTTCTGCAGCACCTCCGAATGTCATCTTGTTTGGATCATCAATAATCATCAGAACGAGCGGTTGAACAATAGGCTTCCATCAATGGGGGTCTCGTTTAGGGTCTCTAAGACCGGCACAAGGTTTCGGCCCAGAATACAAGCTCAACCCACTACAGACGCCGCCGCTGACGAGGAAGACGCCGTCTCCGATGTCCAATTTCAGAAGCATAGAAATTCAACTCCGCCTCTTCATGATACGACTGCCGCATCCGCTGCTCGGAGGGTCTCGGTAATTCTGTTTTTTTTCTTTGAAAATTTTCAATTTCAAGTTCATTTATTGCATCTGCTATACATTATTTCTTGCACGATTTTTTTTGGTTATTTGATTTTATTTCAGTAATTAGATCACTTCAACCGAGTTTCTGCGTACCAGGGGTATGATTTTCTCGTGGTTTATTGAGTCAATGATGATATGATGGCTTTTTTTCCTTCTTTAAGGGCCATTTAAAAAAATTCCATTTTGTAGGGTTTATATATAAGGAGTAGTTTTTATTTTCAGCACTATTTATCTTGCACCAGTCAATGGTGAGAAGCAAGTGTAAATATAAGTTCATAGCCTAAGTTATGATTATATATGCCCAGAGAATGGACCAGATACCATTTTTTCGGTATATTGTTTTGACAAATTTATGTGATGGATTGCTTACTTATTGCCAAACATTAAAATGAACAAAAAATTTGATGGGATGTAGTAAGTTGCCACATTTACAAACCAAATATCTTATGCTGCAATGTTACCCACGTTCATGGGATTCACATTGTTTTTTTCATAGTTATATGAGTAAGTTCCTTTCTGATTGCCATATAATGAGGCAATGAGCTGATTGTGATTTAAAAGTAAAAGTGAGCAAATTCAGAAAACTAGAGGTGGAATATTAGAAAAATAACCCCTCAAGAGAACAGATCCTATGACATTTAAGTTGAATAATCCGTTAAGTTCAAACTTATCCCCATTTTCTTCCATGCCCACTAATGTACTTTTTTATTGCATAGACTGAGGTCACTGATGTCGACAATCGCACTTCTGGAGTCTCTGGTAACTTGACTATCCTAATGGTTTTTCAATTTCAAAACTGCAACCACACCCGTTTTGTTTTCTATAGCATCTCATTCTTTCTTTTACCACCCTTTGGCCAGTTGATTTTCATTTAACCTGTTTTCACCGTTTTCTTTCTCTAGAAAATGAAGTATCATTCTCACTGAACCTGTATCTAGATGGTTATTCTATTGGGAAATCATTAGAGGTGTGAAATTATCAATCCTATTTTAAAAGCAAACATCATGATGAAAACTTATGGTTTGGTGTTGCATATACGAATTAATTCCATTTAATATTTATATTTCAGATTGATCCTTCTGGCAATGCTCCAAGATTTTTACATCCATATGATAGGGCATCTGAAATGCTCTTCTCGGTAAGTGTTACTACAGGCATCATTAAAAAAACTTTCCCCATAACATCTTTTATATCACTCTCACCTATGTTTCCTTGTGCTTCTTGAGGCAATTGAGGCTGGCCGATTACCTGTTGATATTCTGGATGATATACCGTGCAAGTATATCGATGGTGCAATTGTTTGTGAGGTGAGACTTCTAAGTCCTTAGCCCTTAATTTCAACATTTAATACAACGTTTATGCCATTAGGTAGTGTAGCATCAACTACATTAAACTGCTTACGTACTTGCATTTCCTTATTAAAGTGCACCATATTGTACCATATTTATTTGTAGCGGATATAAAGGAATGATTATTGAGGTGGACCAAAATACATATTTACTTTTAGGACAGAAAGGAATGATATTTTAGGAGGAAAAATATACATATTTACTCTTCGTACGTAAAAGAAGCAAAATGGGATGGGCATGGAAGTGCAGAAGAGTTATGATGTGATACGGAAGATGCTATTAGAAAGACGGCAAAAGAAACTCTTGGAGAAATTTAACCTAACAAATAGATAATTGGTCACTCCGCTTTGCCTTTTTTTAATGCTGACCAATTGATCAAGTTTAAAAAGTGAACCAAATCACAAAAATGTTTGATAATGAGATCTTCAAAAGCAGGTAGTTTTCCACATTTGTCTACTCTGTATATACAATTTGTCTCTACACTTTCTAACATTGGGCTCTACAAATAATTAAGGTTCGAGATTACAGGAAATGCATGTCTGAAGCAGGACAAGGTTCAGATCCAGTAAATCTTTATCCTCTTATCACTAAAGTTTGCCTTAAAATGTCATTGGAGAATGTTGTAAAGGATATACCATTGATTTCTAATGGTGCATGGACATATGGTGATATGATGGTAAGCATAATACTTCACATCCATTTCATATAACTGAATTGGTTTACCATATAGTGTTTGTTACTCACTTTTGGCCAGGAAGTAGAATCCAGGATATTAAAAGCTATACAACCTGAGCTTTGCCTGAATCCAATCCCAAAGTTAGACAAGCTCTGCAACAGCTCAGTTTCCTCAAAGGTAATACTTTTTGCAAAGCTTGTGTCTCTTTGTCTTGGCTCTCTAGTTTGACTTAGAGCCCATTTTGGACTGTGTTTGCATTAGGAAAGTATCCTTCTGTCCTAACCGGCTAACATAATCTTAAATAAGTTTTAGTTTAGGAGAAGAGCTGATTTATAACCTCAAAATCCAGTCACATAAAAGTCAGCCCATTTTGGCTTTTGTGTTTAAAGAATAAAGTTTAGGTTAAAAATATGTTCTGTGTAGAAATTTGAAGTTGTAAACAGCATTTGTCAACCGCAATGCAAATAGTTAAAGCTATAAAAGACATTCTCACCTCAATTCTCAAAACCATGCATCTAAACTGCTTTTCTAAAAAAGAGCTGAGCTTTTTCCAATCGCAACCTCTATTCTGAATTCTGCCTTACCCAGCTCTCTTGCAGTTGAACTTGGCAATAAGCACAATGCGGAGGAAGAGGCTAAGGGAGATCTCAAGGTCAGGGGATGCTGGGGCCATATTGCAGCAGTCTGCTTATGGAAATGTACATTTACAAAGTAATGGTCCAAACAATATGGAAGCAGCAAGAACCAACAATTTTTGTTCTGATGTCTCTATTCCACCCGCTTCGCCTTTGGTATCTAACCAGCTAAATCATCAAATAGGGACCGGTAGTCCAAGAACTATGCAGGATCAAAGGCCAGTTGTCATAGATTCATCAGCGGCTTCTCCTGCCATGCCAGACACAATGAGTTCTGGTCCTCTACATGGCAAAAGAGATAATCCAGAAGAGCAATCTCATTCTCTTGCTAATTTCAATAAGAGAGCAAGATTTTCAATAATTGCCCAGGATGGTAATCAAATGCAAAACGCAGGGCCACAAATAGATAGTTTTGATGGATCCGATTCACACTGGAGGAATACACTATTACTGCAGAGGGGAGTTCCATATTCTAACACTGGCCCGCAGAGGTTTTCACAGCAAATGTTTGAAAGGGGTATGAACCTTCATGAAGCTGGAATGCCATCTGGTGTTGGGCAACAGGTGGCAAGATATGGTTTGAAGGAAGAACCCTCTGAGTTAGAGAAGCCAGTAGGACCTAGTAGAAGCGAAATGCAGGCAATGGACACGGATATGGGTCATATAGATCCTCAGGTATTACGGCAACACCAAAAAGCAGCACATCAGTTCTCCAGGTCAGGTCTCCCTCAGACACAGTGGAACAATGCAAGTCAGCTCCTTGAGAACAGTGCCAGAAAGGAAGATTCATTCCAGAAGAGGAAACAAGTTCAAAGTCCCCATTTTTCTGGCGGAGGTTTACCTCAATCTCCTTTATCATCTAAATCAGGAGACTTTTCCAGTGGTTCAGTAGGTCCTCACCAATATGGCTCTGCAGTGACAAGTGGACTTGCAGTGTCCCTGAAGGAGAAGCCTGTTTCTCTGCCGGGTGGGGCAACATCTTTCACTTCTGGTGTGAATGATTCCATGCAGAGACATCATCAAGCTCAGATTGCGGCAGCAAAACGTAGAACCAATTCTCTCCCTAAGACTCCTGCGATGAGCGGAGTTGGTTCCCCGGCTAGTGTTAGTAATATGAGTGTCCCAATAAATGCATGCAGCCCTCCTGTTGGAAACCCACCTTCGGCTGAGCAAATCATGCTAGAGAGGTTCTCCAAAATTGAAATGATAGTGGCAAGGTATAATGTGTGTGGAACTCACTGTATAAGTTCAACCAAATCAAAAAGAGATTTGTGGTTGCACTATCTTTTTGACGTAATGTACTCCCTCTGTCCCAAAAAGAAAATTTGTTTGAAATACCTCTTTGTCCTATAAAAGAGTCCCGGTATTATCAAATGATAAATTTAGTTACAACCAACGAATATATTTTTCATTTGAAGTATGATTCATGATTTTTCATAGTTGTAGCTTACCAAAATTTAAAAGTTGTACGTTGGTCGAACATTACTCTTTTTTGGGGGATGGAGGTAGTATATGTCTTGTGGTTCTAACCTTGCCTGTCAATCCACTTAATTACACATCTTTTTATCAACATAGCAAAACCTAAAGCAGGATTCTTTTAGTGTCCCTATGTTAACAGGCTTCATTGTTGAAACCATTTAAACAACCTAGTTAGCTCTTCTCATAAAGATGTTTGGATTCTTATATTTGCACATATGCTGTCATTTTGTAAGGGTGTCCAAGGAGTCAAGGACTTCAATTTTCTACTGGGAGGAAATGAGAATGTATTCAATTAGCCAACTAAACATATTTATCGACCAACTTTTATTATTCAAGGGGAGCATAACTCAGTTGGGAAAATATAAAGAATTATATCAGCACCAAAGTTATACTATTTTTACAATTAATTTCACTCAAAACAACTTTTTGAGTTTCAGGTATCAACTTAATTCCAAGAAGAATAAGGTGGATGATCGCCCTATGCAAAAACCATCTGTGTACCCAACTCAGGCGATTCAGAAATATTTTTCTAATGATTCAAACAATGAGACCATCATTGATGAAGTCTCTAAATTGTCGAAGACTGTTATTCAGGGTAGTGCAAATGTATGCAAAAGAAGAGTATTGGCTTGTACACAGACAGAGCGCATGTTTCAAGGTTTGTTCATATTGAGCTATTAAGGCTCTGTTTGACAAAACAAGCTGATAAGCTAGCTGGCATATGATATGTAATTGATAAACTAATTAATCTCAAATACTTTTGGAAAAAATTAGCGAATAAGTTAGTTTGGGAACATTAAATGATATAAAAAGATATGTTTAACATGTTTAAAAAAACGTTAAGGTTAAAAATTGAGCTCTAAATTAAAGTTCTTTATCTTTTTGAAAAGTTACTTCCTCCATTCTGCTGGGAAATTCCAACATGTGCAATTTGCACTAAAAGTTGGAATTTCACAACGGGACAAAGTATTCATAAGCTAGAGCTTATCAAAGAAGTTCACCAACAAAAAGATACCTATTTGAAAAAATTCGATTAAAAAACCTTATAGATAACTTAGAAGCTGGCTTTTAGCATGCCTAATATAGCGTAACTCTTCACTGATGCATCTAATCACCTACTTGTTTTTGTTGGTTGCCTTTGTTTCAACCCGGCAACACATTCTCAGTTGTCCCAAAGGCACATATTAAAATGATAATGTCAGAGAAGCCTAGTGATGGCACTGTTGCTATGTATATTGGGGAAATTGAAGATAGTGAGTACTTTGCTGTCGAGGATTACCTACCTACGTTGCCCAATTCTGTGAGTACCAAGTCATAACCATTGAATTTTCCCACTACTTGATTTAATAAGTTTGGTGTCAATTAATCCACACTGGACAACTTTAGCCTTGCCCTAGGCATTCCTAGTGCTGCGAACTGCATTGCCTTCCCTAATATCCAGGGTCCAGTATTAGTTGACTTTCAATATGGGTATGGAACCACAGCATACGGATGAAGTTGATTTCAGATCCCAGTGTTTTTCTATTTGGGTGAGATGTCCGGTGGGAATCATAGTGTGTGTGTGTGTGTAATGACATATTTTCAAGGAAATGGAAAAATGCTTTTAACAATAAAGCATTAAATTTTAATGATCACTACTCCGTAATATTTAAGAAAAGCAGCCTCTTGCAGAAAAACCTGCAAGGCAAGGTTTGCCTTCATTACACCCTTGTGGTGGGACCCTTCCCCAGACTTGCGCTCAGTGGGGATGCACTATGAAGCGGCTGCCCTTAAGAAAAAAGCAGTAGATTAGTGTTTCAAAAAACACTTGTGATAAAATCACTGATACCCTAAGTCATACCTAACATGTTCATAAAAGCTACTTTAAGAATTTAATGTGATTGAATTTGGGAAAGCCTTCATCCTCTGTTCTGATGTTTTTCCACTTTATGTTTTTACAGCATTTTGCAGACTTACTAGCTTCACAGTATTCCTCACTGGTATGTTCTATTAACAATGATGAAATTTTAGCAAGAGTACCCTTGCTTACAATTTTACATGTAACATTGTTTTTTTGCACACAGATGATCCGTGAAGGATATTATGTAGAAGATAATGTCCAATCAAAACCGAAGCGTGTTCCTCCTCAGCAACCCTCAAGTAGTCAACAACCTAATAAGAATATGCATGGACTTTCTCCGGGAAACGACATGCAACAGTATTCTTCTGATGGACTTCCTTTGGGTCCACCCCCTGAAAATTCTAAATCACCTAACAGTGTTAATGCTTCTTTCAACTCAAGCATTCAAGGCACAAGATCTCTACCCCCTGGGAGTACACAGTCATTACAACAACTACCACATAGGACACAGGAATCTGAGATGCTGCCACCTCAGCAGCAACAGCAACAAAATCAGCAGCCGTCTTTGATTCAACCCCAGCAGCAGTTCCAAAGATCACCATCCATGATGATGGCTGCTAATCATTTGAATGGAGGAGGAACTACTAACCACTTGTCTAATAAACCTTCCCCCCTCCAACTTCAGATCCTACAACAACATCAACATCAAAGGAAAATGATGATGGGTCTTGGAAATGTGAGTATGGGAAACATGAACAATAGTATGGTCGGGCTTGGTGGACTGGGCCATAATGTAATGGGCAGCATGGGTGTCAGGGGGGGCTCTGGGATATCTGCACCAATGGGTTCTATTCCAGCAATGGGCAACTTGGGTCAGAACACAATGAATGTGGGCCAGGCATCAAATATTGCAGCGATGCAGCTTCGGTCCAATCCAATCATGGCGTCAAAGTTGAGAATGATGAACAGATACAACATGTTGGGGGGGAGTCCACAATCAAGCATTGGTAAATGTCAAACTACAACTAAAACTACTCCCTCCGTCCCACAAAACTTTCTGGTTTTGACTTTTAAAGGATTTAAAGGGAGTGTATTTTGGAGTTGGCTTTCCGAAAATTCCCTTGGATGTGATGGGTGAAAGTAGATGTGATAGGTAGATGTATAGTGAAAAGATGTGACGTGATAGGTAGGTTAAGAATTAGTAGGGGTAAAAGTGACTTTTTAATAGAAATGAGAAAAGATTTTTCGGGATGGATGAAAAAAGAAAAGGAAAAGGTTTTGTGGGACGGAGGGAGTATTATTTATACTACGTTTTCTTTTCACTTGATTCTTTATCAAGACTAACTACTAATATTGGAAAATTATGTTTGGGGCCTATTTGGCTGGTGGCTTTTGGAGAGGATTGGAGGGGAAGACTTTGGAGGGCTTAGTCTAGATTCTAGATATCTTGATATATGATATGTATCTGTAGGACCATAGTATGGGTGATACACATAACATTATGCTTATCTTTTTACACATGCTGAGAAAAATATCATTTAACAAGATATATAGACCATGGTGCTACAAAACCTTGCATCCGAAGTCCAAACGGGGCCTCTAGAATATCTGCTAGTAGCATACTCTAACCTATTACATGTACTTTAACAGCAGGTATGCCTGGAGGAGGTAGACAAATGCTTCCCACCACAGCTGCTAGTCTTTCAATGTTGGGACCCACTGTTCTTAATCGTGGTAACCCAATGCAACGGACACAGTTGGCTACAATGGGCCCACCCAAGTTGATGTCGTCCGGGATGAATCTGTACATGAATCAGCAACAGTTGCAACATTTTCAACAACAACAGATGCAGCAACGACAGCAGCAGCAGCAGCAGACACAACAACAACAACAACAACAACAACAACAACTAGAAACACCGTCTTCTCCTCCACAGACCGTAGTAGCTACGCCACCTCCACAAGTAGTCGGGTCACCATCAAGCATGGGCATCATCCCGCAACAAATGAACCAGCAACAGCAGCAGTTGAGCCCACAGCAGCAAATGGGCCAACGAACTCCCATGAGCCCACAACTCAGTTCAGGGGCTATACATCAACATCATCATCCCATGAGTGCTGGTGGTAATCCAGAAGGAGGAGCTTGCCCGGCCAGCCCACAGCTTAGCTCTCAAACCATGGGGTCCGTTGGCAGTATGTCCAACTCTCCAATGGACCAACAGCAGCTGCAAGGTGTGAATAAGAGCAATTCCGCTAGTTAGTTAGTTACCATTGTATTGTACTATAAGTTTCTCTTTTTTTTGGGTTAACATGTTACGTGCCATATACGGAGTATATCTTAACTTTGTAATATTATCATTATTAGGGCGAGAATAAATTCACGTCCAAATTAGCTATATCCATGCTTTTCATCTAAATTTGCTAAATTCACACCAATATCAAACTTATATTAATGAGTGTGTAATTGGCATATTTAAGTGAAAAATGTGGATATATCCATTTTGGGTGTGGATTTAGCAACACCCTTATTGTAATTGGCACCGATATAATTCAATTTCTGAAAAATTTGTGTTACTTTTATTTCGAGCGTAGCAGAAATATATGACTAGCGGTGGTGTATTGCGAGTCCCAACCAACCATTTTCGGCCGTTTGCAATGGCGAAGAAAATACGGAGTAACACTTATAATTGTATCATCTCGTTGTTACAACGAAATTTTCAACTGGATTAAAATTGAGGAAATTTAGCTTGGTCATTCTTTTTAATATAAAAATGTAGTAAATTTTCGGGATCAAATGACTCGTTTGAACAATGCAGATATCAAATCTAAATTTTAGTTTTGAGACTCTAAGGTCTCATTTGGTATATGGAATTCAAACTATGGAATTGGAATTGAGGACTTCAATTCCAATTCTGGTGTTTGGTAAAACAAAAATTATGTGGATTTAGAATTGATAGTGCAAAAAATGAATTGGAATTGGTGAATTCAATTCTAGAAATTGAATCCCATGAAATTTCAATTCTAATTCAATTCTAATTCCACCAATTCCATATATACCAACTGGACCCTACACTTTTTTGACCAATTTTTCAAATGGACCAATAAAATTGAAAATTATAGCTTGATGGCTTCCTTTTGCAGTTTTGCATGTAAAAACATGCAGTAAACTTACATAGCCAAATGACTCGTTTGCACAACACAAAAGTCAATTTCAAGTGTTGGTTTCGAGACCCTAGGCACGTTTTTTGGGAAATCTTTATGTAAAAATATGTAATGAAATTTAAAAATCAAATAAATCACCAATACAGTGCAAAACTCAAAATCTAACTTCATCACGATTTTTCAGTGAATTTTTCAAATTCAATAAAAATTTATAAAATTCGTCTTCAATGTTTCTTATTAGTATAAAAATCATGTGGTGAAAATTTAAGACTCAAATGACTTGTCTTTACATTGCAAAATTCAAATTTTAGTTTTTGCTTTGAGCCCATAACACAATACTTTTTGGAGCAATATTTGAAATGAACAAACAAATAGAAGAAATTTTGCTTGATTGTTCTTTTTTTGCATGTAAAATATGTGGTAAAAATTCAGGACCAAATGAATCGCCTATACATTACAAATTTATAAATTTTGATTTCAAGCCCCTATGTGTACACTCACACTTTATGGCCAATTTTTCAAACGAGCCAAAAACTCACAAAATTTAGGTTGACTGTTCACCCTTGCATGTAAATTTATGTGGTAAAATTTCAGGGTCAAAATGGTCAAATGACTCGTCACAAAACTCCTTAATCCCCAAAGGTAAATTACATGTTTCGTTGGTGTGTCAAGGCAAGTTGCCTACGAAATGCAGAACTTGTCACAGAGTGGTTCAATTCAATCAACATTCCAATGGCTACCTATATGCATACTGCTTGGAGGGCCGAAACCCTAAAGGCTCTGTTTGGTACACGGAATTCAAAGTGTAGAATTAGAATTGGAGACAACAATTCCAATTCTGCTGTTTGATAGCACAAAAATACGTGGATTTGGAATTGGTAGTGCGAAAAATAATGGGAGAATTCGATTCCATCCAAATCAATTCCATAGAATTGGAGAATTTAATTCCAATTTTATTGATTCCGTGTACCAAACAGACCCTAAGGGTTAATTTCAGTGCAAATATTTGCAATTGTGTCCATAATAGCATCTACCTTGAGCATAATAAGAACATGGCCTCCTCTTTTCATGACATCCCTGTCCCCCTGTACCTGGATGAACATTTCCACCATAACCATTCCAATGATAACTAACCGCCTGGAAATTCTCTCCGACCCGATGGCTAGGATTCATGTTCTGATGCCAATTTCCTGGTGTTCTGTAACATCCATACTGTGTCATATTAGCATCTGACAGAGGAGGTTGCCTTTGAGTGTACTGCCCTGTCTTCAATGGACTCCTCGTCATAGATTGTTGTGCAGATCCATACTGTCCTTGTGGAAGAAGCCGGCTGTCGTGCAATGGCATCCTTGCAACGTGGAACGAGTTAGGCCCTCCATAAAAAGGCTGTGGCAGATTCCTTTCCCTCTCATTGTGTAAAACTGCTTGCCCTTGTTTGGTTTTAGCCATTGGATCCTGCTTCTGGGATTCATTCTTTATGTTCTCCTTATTTTCTGCGGCTGCTGTTTGCTTTTGGCATTCTGCTTTCACCATCCTGTCATGTTTTGCGATCATAGAACAAATTTACAATTCTTCCACACTAGTTTTTTTTTTAGTTTTATTGATATAGTTAGTACCCAAAAGATAGGTCCTAAATCCTAATCACTTCAGGATTTGAAAAATGAAAACCTTTTAGTTTAGGATCTGAATGATTGAAAGTTTGTGTGATCCAAGACTTCTGAATTTTGATATATAGTCCACGAAAGAATTTTCATAACATAAGAATAATTAGAATAATACTCCCTCCGTCCATAATTTATCTTCCTACTTTCTTTATTTGTCTGTTCATAAATTATCTTCCCGTTTCCTTTTTGGCAAATGCTTTTTCTTTAAACCACATCACTACCCTCACCTTTACCCATTAATTACAATTTTTAACTACACTTTTTTTTTCTTTCATTTTAGCTCGTTTTAATTACCTATTCAGCTTTGGCTCCTGTTGCATTTTCTTTTTCTCCACACGTACTCCCCTTTTTGCTCTGGCAACAGAACCCCTCCTGTGTTTTTCTTCCAGATTTTTTTGCCGCTGTCCTTCATCTTCCCATCTCTTGATCAAAGATAACAAAAAATGTAAGCGAAACATACAATGATGATCATATATACAACAATGTAGGCATGTATGTAGCCCACTCGAATGTAGAGTCTAGGAGGGGCAAGATGTTGAGACCACCCGATAAACAGTGAAAAAACATAAGAAGAAATAACAACGCAGAAGAGAGATTTTATTATATATATGTTAGCAAACAAAACCTGTCTCATTGTTTTTAACCGATAAAGGTTTCTTCCCTTGATGAGGAGGGGATGCAGTGGAGGAAGCGGTTTCTCCCCTTTGCTCCATAGTACTTCAATCTGGATTGACCAAGAACGTCCTTTTTTTTTTAAAAGACATGATAAAAAAAAAGAGAACAGAAATCCCAAGCTATGATTAATGGACATTTCCAGTTATTCTCAAATTACTTCTAGATTGATCAATATGATGGTTTTTGTGGTCAAGCAAAATTTCCCCATTTTTTCACACAGAAACCAGATCAAAATACAATGTTTTTTTGGTGTATCTGAGGAGCTCACAGTAAATGTATGTTGTTGTTTAGCCATGCCATAGCTCTCTTTAACAATTCTTCCAGCAATGGTCCTTGTACCGCATGGAGGCCCAGTAGCAGACCTGGATGCAATGTTAAACCTGCAGGTAGACACCATTCAGATCTTCAGTACCAGTGTAAATAAAAATTATGGTGAAAAACAACTTACTATATGTAGAAAATATCAGACATTTAAGAAAATAGGGTAATATTTTTCTTTTCGGGAAAAAAACTTACGTTTCATATACATTTTGTTCAAAGAAGACAACATCTCCAGTACATGCATCACCTGCACAAATTCCACCAATTTTAAGCTCTCAGACCAACATTGATTGGTATAAGTGGAGGGTGCAAAAAATTTTAAGGAGTGGAGTCAACCATAAATAAAATACGAGTAGATAAATAAAAAGCACGGAATGAGTAACTTAATACTTTCCTCATTGAATAAAGGAAAATGCTAGGGTGCCACCACATGGGTGCTACCATGGTGCACCCATGTGGTAGCACCCTAGCATGGTCCTTGAATAAAATGTCTCAATATGTTTGTTCTATCAAATACTCTGATTTCAAGAAAAGATGTCATTAGTTAAGCAGTATGTCAAACAAGAAAAACAGTATTTTTTTCTATAAAATACTGTATTTTTGTTCTATGTATTTTTTTAATAAAATAGTATGTCAAACAAGATAAATATGTTAAATTTAGTTAAACTACTTTTCTTCCAGCTAGAAATTATCCACATTCACTATAATCTTTACAAAAGGTTGGGAATTTTCAAAGAGACGGAGGGAGTAAGAAATAACTACAAAATTATACCAAGTAAATATATTTAACTTTGTCACTATTGTACCTTATTAAAGTTAATGTTAAAAATTTATTTAATTGCTATTTTTATAAGACGAAAAAAGTATCATACCCTCTCCATCTCCAAAATAAATTTACAATTTACGACATTTTTTTTCCCAAATAAATTTCAACCACACACTTCAAATTTCAATATATTTCTTAAAGTTCATAGAGTCAAACTCTGAAATTAATTTGAGAACGAAGGCAGTATTATTTTGTATAGGCTTGAATTAACTTTAAACAAGTGAAGTGATGATTCGGGGATTTCATGAAGATGAGGATACCTTTGCAGTTCAATACAAAACTAGATACAGGGTACATCTTCTCTCCATCACCATTCACAATACTGAAAGCACAAAAAGAAAATAATGTTTTAGGTACTATGGAGTAATGTACTTCCTCTATCCCATAAATATGTTCCCGTTTTGACTTTTAGAAAATTTAAGGCAGAGATAATATTGTGTTGACTTCCCAAAAATATTCTTGATGTGATTGGTAAAAGTAGGATCTTATGAGAAGATAATTAGTAAAAATGTTTTATGTGATAGGTAGTTTAAGAATGAGAAGTAAAAATGGTTTTTTAATAGAAAAAGGAAGGCTTTTGTGGGACAAGAAAAAAAAAAAGAAAGGAGAAGAGTTTTTGGGACGGAGGGAGTAAAATTTACAGTTTGTAAAGTGAAATCAAGCAAAAGCAGAATAATGGAATGGAGGGATTTACTCGGTATGCTCCTTTATGCGTTGAATAAGAGTGGCTTTGTTTCCAGTCAATCTCAACCTATGCTTTCTTAAATAGATCTTGCATTGATCAACTTTTAGCTTTTTAACATCACCAGCTGCCCCAAAAAATTACAGTTAGCTGATGATTTTGAGATCATATAATTAAATCAAGCAATGATATATTCACACCCAACATGGGTGCCATGTTATGACCGGAGAATTTGAGAACCCTATGGTGCAGCCACTTCCTAGTTTCCCCTGTTATGCTACAGTTTTGCTGTTATGTTACAGCAGTTCTGTAGAATAAAGGTGAACCCAGAAGGTGGGTTAAAAACTACTCCAGGTTCGAACGGAGCACCGTAATACCCTCAAATTGTATCAAAATAAAATCCCAGAATTAAATAATACTTGGGCGAACCTTGAATCATGCTCTGAATTTTCTCATAACTGTTCTGGTCATTTTCATCAAGTTCTTTATCGTGGGTTTCAGCCGAATCTTCCCCTTCCGCATCACCATCATTAGAATTAGAAACACGAACCCTGCCAAAAGGATAAACACCCTTAAAGAACCAAACCATATTGCTAAAAAGAACTCTGAGAAGAGACCTGCAAAGAGTCTGTCAGGAATTTCTACAAACATGTGGTGTGCCACAAGAAAGAAACATGGTTTACCTGGACTTCGTTTTCTTGGAGATGGAAATTTTAGAAAATTTAGATTGTGTGTCTTCAAGAATGTCGAAAGTTGGATCATTTAGGGAGTCGTCGGAGTCATACATGTCAGCGTCGGATTCTCCTGTGTAGTTCTCCTCCTCCTCGTAGACGGAAGCCATTTTTTCTGCGTTCACGAATCTCAGCCAGGTTAAGGTGAGGGGGTTTACGCTTTTAAAAAATTAAACTTTTATGACCGTTGCAAATCATTGCAAAATTTTCACGGAAATTTCAAATAATTATCTTTGGGCAATGCGACCCAAAATATATTTCTTTTTTTGCCCATTTATACTCCTTCGCCGCAAATTAAATTGTCTGTTTATAGGGTTAAATTTATTCACTGAATTTCCCATTTTAATCAATCATTTGATAAAATAATATAGTTATGTCACTACTAGCTTTGTAGAAATTTTAATGTAATTTTTAAATATGTAATTTATATTTTTTAATTCTACACTATTATTCAAAAAATGATTTGAAAATAATTTCAAACTAATATCATAAATTAAAATATGCAATTTAAATAGAGACGGAGAAAGTACTACGTAATTGATAATAGGATTGGCAATGCAACAACAAAGTGACGCAGAACAACTCGAATCGATGGCTAGCGGGGACTGGGTTGGTAGTAAAAAATACTTCCTCCCCTAATGATTTACATATTTTACAATTAAAAAATCGCAAAAACTTTGATTTATTTGTTTATTTTAATTAATTATTTGGTGAAATAAAATATTCTTGTCATCTCTTGATTTGTAAAACTTTTGATTTACTTTTTAAAAATGCAAACTTTATTTTTATATTTATATACCGAAAATTACTATATTTTTATGTTTTGTAGAATAATTATGAATTATACAAATATGATCAAATACTATGTGTGACAAAAATAGTAAGACGAAAAATTAACAAAAATTATGCGATGTGAAGTGGTCATTTTACTTTTAATTTGGTATTTTGTTCTCCTCTAATGTGGTACGGAGTACTATTTTAATTTTTTGTAGCTAAAAAAAAGTACCATATTGGGTGAATTAAACAAACGGGCCATATTTATAATCAAAGGGATGCCTTGAAGTAATTTATGCAATGATTTTTATTTATAACCAAAGGGATGCCTGGAAGCCAAGATCTTCTAGGCAATCTTAATTTGGGAAAAAGAGTATGAATAATTCACATCATTTCTCTCATCTACATAAATCTCAACCCACATCCCAATGGGGATGTCCATAGATCAAGCCACAAATTGTTGTCAACCTAATTTAGTACTTTCTGTTTCCCGTAACGAATGTTACATGTAACGAATCTTGGTCCAAAACTAGATTTATTAAAATATCGGTCAAAAAATGAAGAAAGTTATCTATATATTTAAAATTGATACTGAACTAATAAATCTACTCCATAAACAAGGAATGATGTGATGATAATATTTTGACAAATGAGCAACATAATAAACAAAGATGACAAAATTTGACAAAGCAATCTTGGGACACAACCCCATAATGAGACGTATGAGTATTTAAAAACAATCTCAAGTACAAAGAATTGATACAATTTCAAGTAGGATTATGCTATTTGTACCCCAAGATATATACCCCAATTTGTATCCCGCAGTTTTGCACTAACATTTTGTGTTGGTGTAAAACTAACTTTGTTTTAATGCACCAACATTTGTGTCCGTGTAAATTTTTGTTAATGCACCAACACTTGTGTCGGTGTAAACCATCAAAATGTTTGTACAAAATTGTGGTGTACAAATGGGGTATATGTTTTGGTGTAAGTGTAGCATGGTCCTTTCAAGTACAATGATTAAATTGAATGTTTTTGTTTAGTACATGAACTCCATACTTTTAACCCCAAAATTGCATATATTCTCCGCTAATGTAACTTGCTTTTCTCAACAAATATACAGAAATATGTGCCCCAAATCAACACCCATAGACACATACTATATATATATATATATATATCAAAGAGCAAACATGGCTTCACACATTGTAGACAAATACTATAGGATACTCACAACCAATTGGCATCACATCCATCTCTACCATCATTACTTGCTATGAAAAAACAAACGTACCCCAAGCATGAGCCTAGAAATTCATCTAATCTTGGAGTCGCTTCCCTTGTTGCTACGAAAGGTTGGCAATGAAAAAAATGACTTCGGAGCTGTAAAAAACCAAATAGAAACCGTTACCGTGGGAGGAATGCTTAGTTGAGACTAGGGGAAAATAATAATTCCAAACTTAGGATGAGGTCCTTCGACATCTATACTATGCATGTATTAAGGACAATGGATATAAAGTATTTTCATAATAAAATGTGACACCTTTTAGTGAGCTCCCGGATAAATGATCATCTGTCAGCTTGAAGTTAGCAGGAGGGGCTGGAATAGCACTCTGCAAGGATTGACCTGCAAGATGATTTTTTTTAATAAACCCATGAAGGCTCTACATCAAACGGTGAGAAGGCAAATTTTAATACAGGAAATGTGGATATATTGTGAGCCACATATTCATTTCCTTACAATGAAAATCGAAATGTGACTTTGATTTTGGGACAGTCGATAATTCAGTGACTTTGTTTAAGGGACGGAGGGAGTACTATATATATATGTGTGTGTGTGTGTGTGTATATATATATATGTATATACACACACACACATATATATACATATATATATGTGTGTGTGTGTGTGTATATATATATAGACACAAAATATTTGCAGCACATATTGCGGGGTAGTATAATTTTATGGCAAAACAATGCTCTGAATAATTTAGCCTTATAACAATCATGTGTGAAATGCATATGTTACCTTCTCCGCCTAAAAACTCGTGTTCAATGAAATTATCATCAGAAGGATGCCCTCGAGAAAAGCCCATTCTGGATTTCCTCAAGTCATCACATGAATGATTGGAAGGATCTCGTCCATCTTCAGTATCATCATCACCTTCAGATGTAGTGGCAGAAAATTTGTCAACCAAGCTTTCCATCCCACGGGGTTTCCTTCCAAATTTTAGTAGTCTCTTAAACCCCCGGGTCACATCCTTGCATGACTGACTCTGGGAAGAACTAACAGCCAGTATGGGTTTCTGAGCACTTCCCCACTTTTTCCTCCTAGTTCTAGAAGCATCATCAACCTCTGGTTGGCTTAATGACTGAGATCTGCATGAGGTTGGACTTCCCACTGAGGAATAATCCACAGAGCCATCAATATCTGGCAATTCATGAGGATAAGAATGCGAGTTCCAAGACACTGGACTTTCTCCTGGTGAATTTTCCACGTGTTCAGTAGAGTTTAGTTTAGATGGAGCAATAGTAGCCAATTCAGCTACCATATAAGGGTCAATATGAGCAAAAGATCTCACGAGATCACCATTTTCAGACCCAAAATCTGTTGAAACCTCAGATTCTTGACAACTCTGTCTCAAACCCACATTTTCTAATTCTTCATCGCCTTCATGCCTGACTGCATTGATTATTGGATCCTCGGGTTCAAAGATCGCATCTTCATACTCTTCTTCATCGCTGTTGAAGGTCTCAGGTGCGATAGAGTCTTTCTGCATCGAAAAATTGACTCTTGAACTAATATCTGTGCTTTTACTCTTCTTATGGAAAGGTTTTGAGTCCAGCTTCTTTGTATAATTATTATTGACTCTATCTTTGTGGTCCTTTAATGGTGTCAGAACAACATCTTCAGAATTCAAAAAATCTGCCTCTTTGAAATCCCCCACATTTGCAGAGTTTTTTCTTAAAGGTTTTGATCGTCGAGATTTATCTTCTTTGATGAATACCTCTTCTCTAGTGCTTCTGCCATGAGAAGAACTTCTAGAATGTAAACGTGTTGCTTTAGTAGATGTAGATGAAGGTTTTGCATTCTCTTTTCTCATGTCTGGTGAGAAATTTGGGACAGACTGTGCAAGAGGATTTTCAGAGATAGATTTTTTCCTACCCAGGTTGCTATTAGTAGTCTTTACGGCAGATCNAATCCCCCACATTTGCAGAGTTTTTTCTTAAAGGTTTTGATCGTCGAGATTTATCTTCTTTGATGAATACCTCTTCTCTAGTGCTTCTGCCATGAGAAGAACTTCTAGAATGTAAACGTGTTGCTTTAGTAGATGTAGATGAAGGTTTTGCATTCTCTTTTCTCATGTCTGGTGAGAAATTTGGGACAGACTGTGCAAGAGGATTTTCAGAGATAGATTTTTTCCTACCCAGGTTGCTATTAGTAGTCTTTACGGCAGATCTTGCCGGAACAGTTGCTGCTGAGATGCGAGGAGATGATAATGAAGATGAACTTTTAGAAGGTAATACTTTCTTTGCTTGAGCACTCCTACACGCATCTTCAAAAGAAAAATCATGTCTCACATTGAAGTAACTTTCTTCCACGTACTGCTTCGCATCGGGATATTTTTTCACACCTTCACTTTCACTTTGCTCAAAATTTAAATGTTGCTGTCAAAGGGAACTATTTTACGGTTGGTGAAACATTATAAATAAAAGTATAAACGTCAATCAAGTCCTTAAATAGGAATACGAGTTATTTATTATCTACTATGGTACTACACTTGTCCCAGAGGAGAGTCATATGTCAGTTGTCACCAAGGTGCAACTTTTAATTTTAGTAAGGTACAACTATTGGAAGTAATCAATTCAAGCTATATACTTTAAGTTATGTGCTAATTTTTTTTTAAAAAAGTAATATATATAACTTGTGTTGGACATATTCTGAAAAAATACATGCAATATAGCAAAATCATCTTCTTTAGTTGAAATTGGACTATTTTTTTAAGAGGGGGGGGGATAATTTTCAAGAACTGTTTTAGATGGAACACAAAGTTAGGATGATACCTTCTCTCTCTGCATTAGTGCCCTGCTATTAAATGACCTGAGTCTCTCAGTCCGTCTGCGGATACTGGAAACTGAATCATCTTTATATGCGGATCCCGTAAACTTAGCTCTCATCTCTACTCTGCTCTTTTCAAAGATTTCCTGCATTGCATTTAGCCTGGCTTCCTTCTCAGCTCCCTTCAAATTCCACTCTTGCCTTAATTTTGCATCCCTTACTTGTGTATATCTCTCGTAGAATTTTCCTCTAGAACTTTCTGAAAAACTAAGTTCAGAGAAGTTCTCATTTAGACCATCCATGTGAGGATGTTTGTCAGATATTTTCATAACAGGAGAAATCTCATATCTGCCCATGTCACTTGAACTCCTAGCAGGTTCATCCAACATGGATTTATCTGGAAAGATGATCGAAGCATTATCCATTACAGTATTCCTACTTGAGTGTGACTGGTTTTGGATCTCTGCAGCCCTGTTTCTCCTATAAAAATTTAACTGATGATCTACGGGAACACGCTGTTTATGCTCAGCAAATAGTTTCTCAAGCTCATTTGCTTTGAGCTTCAAATCATTGTTGAGTTCCTGGTGGTTTCCTTTTGATTGATGTAACTTCTGAGCCAGCTCTTTTGGGAGTTCAGAAATTGAACCATAGCCCTCCTGAGCCTCCTTGCCATGTTTGGAAGAGAAGGCCGTTTCCTCACTTCTAAAAACAGAAGTCGTCTGTTTTGTGACATTTGCTTGCTTCTTAAACTTCATCATTGAGTATTCTGTATCACCAAATGTTGATGAACTACCACCCACTTTCTCAAATTCCCCTGACGATTTACATAAGGACTGAGTACGTGAAGAAACACCATGTTCAATCCCTTCATTGCAAGGAGCCAACATAGTTTCTGTTTTATCCCTTGTACCAGAGCCACTTTCTGACAACCCAGAGACCTTTATAGTTCTTTGACTGGCCATGGACAGTAAATGCAAAGATGATGAATCATCTAATTGGGTTCTTTCTTTTTGGCATTTATTAATAAGTGCAGAGCAATTTTTATCACCAGAGAGCCCAATATTGCTGCTATTCTCACTGGCATAGGCTCCAAACCGCTCTGTTGATGACGAGTTCTCATCCTTACTTGTTTTGTCCAAAGGCAAAGTGCTAAACAGTCCCGGTTTCATTGCTTCTTCTTTTAAACTGTTGTCACCAGTTAGATGATGCTTCAAACCATCACTTTCAACATAGCTGGACAACTTTGTATTAATATTACTGAGTTTAGAATGCTGTTCCTCGTTACTTAAACTTGCAGCCATATCAGTCGAACCTGATTGCCCATAACCTTCAGATTTGGACTGAGAAACAGGGGCAGATGATGGGGTGCACAGTGGACTCTCACCAATTTCCCTTTCACCGCTCAAATCAATGCTCATGTCACTGACCCCACTCCATCTCCTTAACACAGCCTTCTTCTCAACTCGGGGCTGGGCAGGCGATACAACATCAGTTGAGAGTCTCCGACTATCAGATTTTACCACAACAACTGGCTTCTTCACCACATTTTCCTTCTGCTTGCTCTCGAACATGCTGATACGCTCTTGAACACTGAGCCGTCTCATGGGCTGACTCGTGTGAGTTGACTCGGTGGGTAAAGCATTATCATCTTTTCTCTTCTCCTCTGGTTGGTGAAGATGTTGCATCGGAATGGGGTCAGAATCTTGGCAGGTAGAGTGGGATCTGGTGGCTTGAGTGTTTTGGGAAACCAGGTCATCATCAATGGACATATCCGAACCGCATGAGGATCGTACAACCCGATCGTCTGCTCCCATTTTCCACTGGTTGATTATTTCCCACCGTCTCTCACACAACGATATGAATTTGGAGCAAGCTTCACTGAAAAGTATATGTAGGCTTTAGTTTGTTTTTGTATTTATATTTATTACTCACTTTGTCTGTCCGTCCCAGAAAGAAAAAAATGTCATGTTTGACTTTTCACTGAGAGTGCTCTCGGAAACAGACTCTTTACCCTTTGGAGTAGAGGTAAGATATGCATAGCTCTCACCCCCATAGGACTTTAATCTCATGCAAGATATACTGGGTTTGTTTAGTTTGGAATCAAGAAAAAAACTCACATTATGAATGTTCCCTTATACCCCTGAAATGACGTTATACTATGAATTTACTTTAAAATGAAAGTTAACTTTTGAAACCGGACTCTCTTTTGGACAAAAAAAGAGCTCTTAAAATGTTATTCTTTTTTGAGGTGGATGGAGTATTAATTAATACATTTAAATCTATATAATCACAAAGCTACTACCGAGGAAATTATAGTAATGAAGTTACATCCTTTTGAATCACTATTCTGAATTTTTATACTACGAATGTTTCTTGTAGATTTACTCGGAAATAGTCAAGTTCACAAAGACGTGGAAAAATGAAGAATGAGTATGGCATTCTTACTTCAACTGACTGGTGCCAAACTGATTAGCAAACAATTTAAGTTCTAAAACAGTGTCCATGTCGAAACCAGCTGTGAACGCATGAGAGCACGCTGTCATCAAGTCCTGTTGAACTGCAGTAAGCCGCACATCAATGGCTCGCAATAGCTCCCTCCTGTGTATATAAATGTGCACTAATGTTATTAAATATCATGTCCAAATGAAGAATAATCATTCTTTTACACATGGAGGAGAGGATGTGCAATATTGCTGCAAAACAATATCAGAAAAAAAATGTTTCATACTGTAGAGTGTAGACTTTATTGGAAAGTTGTTATGCTGTGAACTTTTTCCCAAAAAGTCCATATTTTACACGCTTCTTCAGAAATAGCTAAGAATATTAAACTTGGAAATTTTTTTTCCTAAACTTATACATGTCGTACTCTTCTTCATCTTCTTCCTCCTCTTCAGGATCGTAATATTGAACATCTTCAAAGCACTCTTAACAATCACAAGAGCTTTACAGGAATGTGCATCACACTCTTGTTCTTCTTCTTTGGTATCACTTTGGATTTCTTCTGTATTTTTTTTATCTTTTTACTTATCTAAAACACACATGCAGACACACACACGCACACACGGAGTAGGAAAGAGGGGTATATTACTTCGTTGCATCAGCTGCTGCAGTGCCTCCAGAACCACCCTCACCTGTAACCAATGTAGAACTAGTAATATTGTCTCTCCACTTCAACAAAATGCCAGAACTACAACACACACACTCCTAAATCTGCCAGGAATCGTATCTGATGGGCATCTAAAAAGAAGCAATTTCATGGAAGTTACAGTTTTTCTTGTTTTTTTGCCCCACTTGAGGGTTCTGATGATGGAAATCCTCTTCAAGGAGATTGCTTAATGCATTGCACTAACCGCAAGCTAGATTTCAAGTCATTGTCAACATATTCTAGTTGGTACTCAGTAATATTTATGAGCATGCAATGATATGGTACCAAATGGGACTATGGGGATGAAGTTGTATACATGTTATAAATGAAATAAATATTAGCATTGTTATGTTTCTCATTCCCACGTGTATAGGTGCATTTAATGATCCATAGTGTTTGGCAAGTACAAGTTGAACGATAAAAATGTTATAGCACTGGGGTAAAAATTGATTTGTAGTTATTTGATTCACTTAATGAGAATCCACTCATAATCAGTGTGAGAAGCTGTGATTGAGGTCAAATAGATTGTATATGTGTACGGAAAAGCATACCCAAACCAGAAAGCTTGCCATTCATTCCCTGATTGCAGTTAAAGAAAAAAAACGAGTGAGACCCAGTGCAAGCTACTAATGCCAATAATATGATTTGAACACAATCTTATTGGTGAAAGATTATGCTACCTGCGAGTATATTCTCTGAGCTGATTCAAGTTGAGACATTTCAGCATCAAAGTTATTTACAACCTCCAAAACCTCTGGTGTGCTAACAAATCGTACAAACCTGGAAAGAAACAGAAACCAGCTACTTAGAAAACAATTCCATCTATTACCTCTATTCTAGAAGCTTCTCAAGGGTGCCCTTACCTTTCAAGTGTCCCCTTTCGGAACCATAAGTGAGCATCTTTAAGCCCTCCAACGTCAAGCTTAATAGACTGCATTGCTGAGGCAACTTGTTTTTCTGCGACTTTTAAATACGTCACAAATGACTTGAAAACCCCTGAAGCTAGCTTCTCTGTCTTTCCATTTGTGCTCACAAACAAGTCACATCTACAGATTTTAAAATATTAAAAAAAAAAGCTTTCACTCCAGTGTCACACTTCCTTGTAAATGCATCTTAAAACTAAACCAAATGAATGAATAAAATGGGGAAAAGTCCTTACCGTGTACGCTTTGGTGACAGTTGGAGCAACACACAATCAAGAGGAGTGTCGGGTTCCATTTTTCTCCTCCGTGGATGAATAACAAGGAAATGCAGAAGAACTCTTAACCCTCCAGCCTAAGAATTTCGTAGAACACCAAAATCAAACCAGAGCAACTTCAAGAATCTATGAACTTGACGAGTTCATTTAGCAACGAGAGGGAGAGAATCATTGATTGTACTACTAAAGGTGTGAGTATCTTACAGATCAAAAACAGACTGAAAAACAGAAACATTGACCCAAACAATAATTCAACAGCTCAAAACAGAGTATACATGACAGATTGAAGACCTGCCACTCCAATCAGATCCAAACACTTCTTCGGATCTATAATCATTTGAATCAGCATTCAAATTGAACACAATCAAATACGCAATTTGAAACATCCGAAAGAAATAGCGAGCTCAAGCCAAGCTCAAACTGTATCAGAACACAATCAAATACGCAATCGGCGCGAAAATTGAAAAAACCCTAGAAAACCCGGATCACCGCCCACCTAGAAATCGAAACAATCGAAGGAATCGAATGCTCAGACCTTTTGACGATATGAATGCAGAGAAAGATCGCCGCTAACCCTCGCTGGATCGTCAGATTCACACTAGCCCGCGGAATTCTAAGTTTGTTCAGCTGCCGACCCAAACAGAAAACGCCTTAAAACCCCACATTCATAGCTGTGCTCGATGGTGATGGCGATGGCATTGATGATGACGGTTGATTGCTTTACTCATCATCATCATCATCATACATTCATCATCTCTCAAATCTCACACACACTCTTTCTCTCTCTCTCTCTCTAGAATGTAGACAGAGAGAGGGAAGTGATAACTAAGCAAAGTGTTGAATTTGATTAGTTTAATTAAGACAAAAGTAATGATTTTTTCTTGTAGTTTGATTAGCTTAAGACAAGTGATTTTTCATTCTTTTGATGTTTTGGGAAAATCTTTAAATTTTGACTGGGGAGAAAAGACAAAAGAGACGTACCTTTCACTTTTGTAGAGCTGGAGCTTTCTTCTTCAAGAAATTTCCTTCATCATATTCATATTCATATTCATGGAAGAAGTACTGTAAATGGGATCTTTGGGAGAATTTTCAAATTTATTGCTTTCGCTCCATTTGTTTTCTTGTCCCCAAATTTAATACGAGTACATTTTAGATACATTGACTAGACTAGGACATTGACTAAAATTTACACCATATACTCAGTATGATTTATGGTTGATTTATTGATGTGTCCCATGACATTAGAAATTAATGTTACAGGATGACTTGGGAGTGTTCTAATGCCCCATTCGTCAAATTGACTCGATAAACCCCCTCCTCGCCTCGCCCCAACACGCCCCCCTCACCCTTCAATTGCACCCCTAAGTTAATTTTGACTGGGGTGTAATTGAGGGGGTGAGGAATGTGTTCTTGTCGGGGCGGGATGGAGGATTATCAGGGAGTTAGGGGGTGTAGAACCGTTAATTTTACGAATGTAACATTGATCTCCAATATCATGGGATCTAAGGGGTTGATACTCCAAGGGAGAAGGTAAAAGAAGTGCTAAAATAAAATATAGAGTGAAAAAAGCAATTGCCAAAGTGTATTTTTACAAGTTGATTGTAGATAAAAAAACACTAAAAACGTATTACATACAAAATATGCTTAGAGTAAGTATTAAAAAGTGAAAGTGTAAATAAAGAAATTAGCAAGTACTCCGTACTTCTTTCATAATAGAAATCCCATCACATATGTTGCATTAGCTAGACAAGCACTAACCCATTTTGGTATTTTGGTGTTTTAATTATTCCATGCTTTCAATAATTTATAGTTGCATATCATTTTTAGTAATTACTGAATACATTAGATAAGCCATCACATATGTTGCAAAAGTGTTGATGTTATTTTTAAAAATGTAAATTGTACTACAGTATCTTTTATTTTAACGGAGTATGGCAAAAAATAAATTAAATTATTTTAAAAAAAGAAATTTTACATTATTCAAAACAGGACGATACTTTAAAAGTACTTCAACTTATGATTGATGAGAGTCGACAACCTTATGCAATCTACACATACAACAATTTTTCTAAGAATAAAAAGCATTCATGTCGACTAATTTCCAATAATATATGTTTTACATAATAAGTGTAGAGGAGAACTAATTCCCAATAAATAAATTAAAAACAGTAACAATCAAAGTTAATAACAGTAACTATTTTCTGCCGTGCCTCTTCCGGCCGCTCCTCGCCTCCCGGCCTTCTTGCCGTGTCCACCCGCCTCCCCCTGTCTTCACGTTTTTTAACCAAATCAAAATCGTTACTAGATATATTTACTATAAGGCCCCGTTTGGTACACGGAATTCAAAATATGTAATTAGAATTGAAGACTTCAATTCCAATTCTGTGGTTTTGTAATACAAAAATTATGTGAATTTGGAATTGATAGGGTAAAAATGAATTGGAATTTGTAGAATTCAATTCTATGGAATTGAATCCAATAGAATTTCAATTCCAATTCCGTCAATTCCGTATACCAAACGGACCTTAATGGTAATCATTTTATACATAAATAAAGACTAAGAGTTGGACTTTTTGTATAAAGAAAGGTTTATTTGTAAGCCTACGAAAGATGTAAGAAGATTCACATTTTACATGTACACTTTAAAATCACAAAAATACAATTCTTCAGCTAAACCTTCTATATTAATTCAATTTTATACATAAATAGAAAAGAGACAAATCACAAATTAGCTCTAATTTAGTCACACCTTAATGAAAAAAACTGAATTTTTTATCAAAGTATAATATGAAAACTCAAAACAAACAGTTAGAAAAGAGCAAAGAAAACATATTGCAACATGGAAAAAAAAGAGGAAGAGAAGAAGCCAACTAACCCCGATGCAAAAATCGGCAGAACTTCTCTTGTTTGAGACATTATGGTTGCTGTTGTTCTTGAAATAACTACTGGTGTTGTTGCAAGATGATGCTGAGGAAGAAGAAGAAGGAAAGGATTTTGTCTCGACGAAGAAACCTCCGGGGCTGCTCTGGAACATCTCCTCAAACATCACCTGCAATTCCTCGAAACTCTCCCCCTCCGGTTTTTCCTGATGATCGATTGAATATATTTTCAATTCTATTTGCTCTAAAGTTAGTGCAAAAAAAAATACAGCCTAAAAAACTTTTAATCATTTTGATTTTCACGAAATTTATAGTATGTTGAAAAATAGAAAATGAATGTTTAAAATTTATCTAGATGAAAGATAAATCTTGGGATAATTGATAAAATAATAATAGCAAAAAATACTGTATGTTTTGTTGTCTTCGTGAATACAAAGACTATCCCCTCTTTAAATACAAACATGAAATATCATATAAAAATAAAGTTCTACTCTTATCATAATTTCATTCTTACCAAACTACCAAAACCAAATATTGAAAATGAATCATAACAATAATAAGGATAATATATTCCATAACACTCCCACTCAAGTTGGAGGATGGAAACACATACACAATCCTGAGAAAGATAAGGGCAGATGAGCCTAAAAACAGAGAGCTCTGGCTATGTTTAGGAAATGACAATGTTTTCCTTCAACCCAGCCATTTTGTTACAGGGTTCCAACACAAAATGATTCAAACAAAATTCCATAGGTGTCAAAATAGGATTTTATGCAAGTAAATTCAATCTCACTATCACTACAAGGTCTTTGGATTTGTAAATCAAACTGGGAATGAATCATGAAAAAATTTGCAAAAAAAATATTGGGGGTTTTGTCTTCATATACTCCAATACCATGATAAAAGCATAATAGGGTAAAGTTCTACTCTTACCATAATTCTTTCTTACCATAACAAGGAATACTACTAAAACTAAATGCAACAACATTATCATTATCCCAATGCCTTAATGGCTTCCGCCCATTGCGAAGCAGGGGGTTGGATGTACGCAATCTGACCCCTATGTTTAAAACATAGAGCGGTTGTTTCTAGATGACCCATGATGAGGGTCGAAAATTACATTGACTAACTACTACTTCACAATTGCAAGAAGCGCAGACAGTTCAAAGAGTCAATTTACTTTATTTCATCATACTCCAAAGCCAAAAAATATTGAATCTTTAGCTCATAGGGGAATGGAAATTAAAACTAAATATGGAAAGTAAATCATAACAATAATAAAAATAATATATTCAATAACAATAACAAATGCATAAGTGTTTTTTGAAATGTCGAAAAAAATAAATTTTTTAATTAAGTTTATTTTAAAGCTTCTTTATTGTAATTGACTAAATTTATTTTCATTTTAATTAATTTCTACTCACGCTGGATTTCATGTCGTTCATCATAGCAGCCATTTCATCAAGAAAACCACCCATTCCCTGCAACATCAATAATATTTCATGATAGAATTTATAATTAAATAGGGATTCACTTGATTGGATTAGAAGATACTAGAACCAATTCACATTCGAAAAAAATTGAATTCGATGTATATTTTTAACCAATTATTTTCTCCCTTTGGGTTCACCAAACATTTTCTCAAATTCTGTTTATCCACCATATAACTTGTTTTTAAATGCCAAAAAATCTTTTCTATTTATTATTACCCATTTTTTGGCCACGCTAGGCTGAGCAATGCTAGGTTCACAAATATAATAATCAAAAAATTCACATAACTTATCATTTATGGTTTATATTTCTTTTTTAAAATTATTTTAAACTATTTTATTTTATTTATTGAAACTTGCAAATAGTAAGTTTGTAAGATTTATGATCATTTTGTTTGTGAACCAAGCATTTCTCTTTTTTTAACACAGTGAGTTTTAGACCAACTAATCAATCCGTTTTGAGCTTAATAGAAAATGGATTTTAGTAGAGTGAAATTATAATGAGAAGGGGTAATGTTAATTTTTAAACCATTACTTTGGTGTAAGATTGTGACATCAATTCAATTGGCGCCCCTACAATGCTCCGATCCCAAGGTTCCTACCCCCTACAGCCCCTAGTAAACTTTCAACCAGGCCCAAACCTAAAGCACCCTCACACTCCCTTCAAACTGCCCCGCCCAAATTTTATTGACATTTGGAGTCAAATTTTTTACCCAATTTTGGACGTTGCAATTGAAAGGGTACAGAGGTGCGTTATGGACGAGCCAAACTAGGGATTACCCAGAATTAGAGAGTAGGAATTGCAAAATTTCATATCAAAGCATCATAGGGTGCTAATTGAGTTGGTGTCAATTAATGATGTAAGATTACTCTTTCTCAATCATAATATGTATGAGTGGAAGTGATTACATTTTCATCATCTTCATCGTCAAAGTCGTAAACTCCGACATCGTATAAAAACCTTTTGTTCGTGTCTGATAGCACTGCAAAGAAAGTAATTAAAGTTTGACAGACCAGAAAAACTTTTGGGGAAGAAACAGAAAGGAAGTATATATATGGAGCACGCAAGCATTGATAGGGATGAAATTACCAGAATAGGCTTGTTGAATGGCTTGAAATTTCTTCTTCGCCTCTTCCACACTCTTCGAGTTCCCCCTCCCTGAACAACGATCCGGATGCCATTTCTGTTTTTTTTTTTTTTGAAATTAAACAGTTTTCATGATTATAAGATGCATTTGATAATTCACAATAATTTGTTTATTAAATATAGCAAGCGAATAAATATGTTTAAAAAAAAGAGCATACAATTAATGGCAAAGTTTGAGAGATTATTTTTCTGAATGAATTATAACTCTGCCAATACACGAATGTAAATAACTAATTGGATCGTTGTTTATAGAAGTTGAAGTGTGGACAAGATTCAGTTTTGGAACTTTAGTTCTTACTTTTGGGAATTGGAATTAGAATAGCCGAGACGACTCTGGTTAGGGATCCATTTTTAACATTTTTTTTTGTTTTAAACTTAGAATGTGTTCACCTTAACTTATTTTTAATACTATTACTTATTCTTATTTGAGTCACACCAGATAAGAAACAACTTTAAATATAATATAATCAAATCTAATCAGAATTAATTTAAGAACATCATAACCATTCAGATTAGGTGGAAAGAACAAACTCTACTCTCAATTTATTTTAGATCAATTCACATTCTGTAGATCAGAATAAAACTTAACTGAAATACTAAAATAAAAACCACTTTGTTTAATCTCCTAAATAAGAGTATAGTGAAAATGCGATTAATATAATAATGTTGTGTGATGAAAATTTTTTGACAATGTAATTGGACATTATAATCAATCAATTGGGAGTAGACCACCGATCAACATGGAAAACGGGCAACCGTTACAGGCAGCGAATCAAGCCACCGATCAACACCGTAAGAATGACAAGACTCTGCTCGTTTTCATACTCTTCTCGTTTCACAAAAGACTCCTGCTCTATTTTTTTTAATCATTCCATAAAATACTTCGACACCCACCTGTCTAAAATATTTCTAAAATAATTTCTACTCGTAATAAACTACTCTCTCGATCTTAAAAATCTTTTCATGACTTTTTTTGGTTAAACACTGTCTAAACAAAACAACACACGAAATATAAAAATTTGATATATCAAAACTATATCTTAAGACGAAACCAATTGTTTTTAATTTATATTATAACTAAATATACTTTTCTCATAATCAATCAATGTCACTATTTAATCAAAAAAGTCAAAAATAAAAGGTTTTTAGAACGGGAGGGAGTATAGAGTTTATTTTAGATACTCCGTATTAAAGTGTTTAATTGGGTGCGGGAAAATTTAGGACAGAAATATTTTGTGAAACAAAGAGAATACTACTTTCCCTCCCTCTTAAAAGAATGGACTGGATATTTGATTCAATTCTAGACATGTTCATACAAAAACTGAAAATTGAAAAAACAAAAAACAGAGCAAGAGAGAGAGAGAGAGAGAGAGACCAGGGCAAGTTTCTTGTAAGCAGATCTGAGTTCGGCCACGCTGCATTCCTTGTTCAATCCCAGCACTCCGTACAGATCTTCTTCTTCTTCTCCATTCCTCCTTTTCTCTTCTTCTCCTCTTTCCATTTTATTTTCTCTCTCTTTCCCGCCTTTTTTTGGGGTGTCGACGAATTATAACACGATCAATCACCAATACATATTGCAATTAACAGGCTCGGAAAAAAAGCATTCGATTAATTTTTCCCCTATCTGAGCAGGGGATTAATAAGGTTCAAGAAGGCTCCAGATTGGGAACGTTCGTTATATATATATATATATATATATATATATATATTTATATATTTATATGCGAGTACAGGAAAAACTGGGATTTTTATTTATTTACATTTATATATTTGGGGGGGTGGGGTTGGGGACGACGATGGAGGATGTTTGATAAGGATGGACGGCGGAGATGGGAGGAGGAAGAAGATATTTTTGTGAAGCCTCTCTCCAGAATGTTCTTTTCTCACTGTTCACTTTAAATGCCTAAAGGTGCGGCGGGGCTGATCAATTAAAAAAATCAATGGGTGGGTGGTGGGTGATGTGAAAGTATCAAAAAATGTGGTTAATTGGTGAAAATTATGGAAAACAAAAACTAGTAAAGGTAAATATCTAATTCATGTCTGATCCAAAAAATTACTGGATATCCAAATTCCAGATATTCGATATTTCGGATCGAAACAATGGAATATCCTATTTATCTTTTTTGAATTTTATTTTTCCCAATAATTCTAAAAAAAATATTCAGAATGATTTTTTATTTGTTTAAATAAAAGGGATCATAAATTAGAATTGAATTTGAAGTCAATTGTATTTTATAAGTCATAATTACAAATAAGTAATTATTTGTGTTATAATAAGTCATAATTTTTTAAATGCATGAAAAAAAAATATGGAGTACCAACATAATTGAAAAATAAAACATAGAAAAAAAGACTATAGTAAAAAGGTTGAATTCAACTTAGATTTAAATATTTATAATGATGAAAATGAAAAAGGTTTAAGATGTCTAAGCTTTATTTTCATATTTATTTTTTTAAAATATGAACTTCAGATAATATCCAAAATCTTAAAATGTCATTCTATATCCGATCTAAAATATCCGAAAGCTAAAATATTGGATATGAATTTCATTTTTCTGATTGAATCGGTTCGGATCGTTGACAAATATTTCAGATTGATATTCTTTAACACCCCTACTCACAGACGCACGCAAACACTCAGTGCTTGTGTGTCTTCGTGTGTTTGTGAGAAGGTATGTCTGGGTTACACCCCCTTAAGATACCCCTAGCAAATCTTATAAAGGAAACAAAAAAATATGAGTTTTGATATCTCTAAGTGTCATAATCTTTTCTTGGAGTTTAGTAAAGATGTATAGATTTTAGATTTGATATTTTCAAATGATACAAACCCTTCACATGAAGGGTTTTGATATGTTGAATTTAGAAGATTTGAATATGAGAGTTTGGTATCATCATCAACCGTGAAGCATTGCCAACAACTGTTGTCATCGTCAACCATCTTCGTAGTCGACCATCCTCGCATTATCTCTAGTTATTTCTTGATTTCAAAACTCTTCAACTGATTTTATTTTCATATTTCATATCATTTTTTAAGGTTTTAGAATCTGTATCATATTATAATTTCAAAACTCACTAAATAGACTGTAAAATGCTTACACTTTGCATACCAAATAAATAAATAAATAGAGTGCTCCATCCATCCTCAAAATACACGATTTAATTTAATTTAATTAATAACTTGTTTTATCTAAAAAAAACTAGGGAGAACTTTGAAAATGTTTCATATCTAAAAAGAACTTTTAATGTTTTTATACCAAAATAAGTCTTATAATATAAAATATATATTAATATATAATACCAAAAAGATTAGTGAAATGCTTGGCTGCAGTGCCAAATTGTGGTGTTGCACAGTGCACACGACTCTATTTAGATAATAAAAATATGGGATGTCTTATTTAATACGGAGTATAAGTTTCATGTTTTGATTTTATCTTGGTAAAATTCTTTAAAAACTATGGCAAAAACTCTACAAAATGAAATTTTAGCATAATTGTGAAGTCTGTACCTGGTACTTACAGGAACACTGTTTTTAGTATAATTGCCTCCCAAAGCAAATAAGTCTTTAAAAACACAGCCTCACTCCTTTGTAAAATTTTGTGTTGGTTGTTGGACGAAAATAAAATATTTTCAACATTCTATCATTGTATATAAATATTCAAAAAAAATAAATGATAAACAAATGATAAATTATTATAAATATATAAACAATTACATACAAAGTATAATATATACTCACTCCCTACTAAAACTATCTTCCAATTACTATTTACACAGTAAAGTTTTATTTATTTTCTGTTCTTATTTTTACTAGTCATTTGATAAAATAGTATAGTCATTTCTTCTCTAATTTTGTAGAACTTTTAATATAATTTATAAATATATAAATTCATTTTTGAATTTTATACTTATAATCAAATAAATTGAATTGAAAATAATTTCAATCAAATTTAAGATGAAAATTTAATTTTACATGCTAACAAGAATCTCGTGAACCAAAGATTTCCTTGTTATCATATTAATGTTACATGCTAACTTTTAAAAAAAGACTGGCAACAAGAAGGGAAAACAAAAACTCAAAATTGGGAAAGCTTACATGAGGCGAATAGAGATATCTCAGAACAGAAGGGTGCAAGAACTCATAAGGATACCTTCTGCTTCTTCTTCTTGTCCTTACTTTTCTTTTCTCTACTTGGTTTGTCTTTAGGGCCTTCGTCTTCATCGTCTAGGAGATGCTCATACTCCTCAAGTGAAGCAAAAGGGGATGTTGTCTTACGTTTGAGTGGCTTCAGTTTCTTTTTCGGACGATCATGGCCGTCGTCCCCATCTGACACATCCGGTGGGATATTCACTGCATCATCATCATCATCAGCATCATCAACAACATCATCATCATCATCATTGATCAACTCATCGCCGCTTTCATCAGCGACTTTGTCCAAGTCATCATAATCGTACTCCTCAAGATCGGCATCGGTAGAGTCCAATATGTTGTCAAGTTCTTCATTGTCACTCTCATCTGCGGCAAAGTCTTCATCAGGATCACTGCCATACCCATCTAATAGCTCATCAGCCACGTCATCCTCGTCCTTGTTCTTCTTCTTCTTAGGTTTCTTTGAAGACTTCATCTTGTTCACATAGAACTTATGGAAAACAAGATCCTCTGGCGGAACATCTGTCTCGGCTAAAGACAGTATATCTTTCCCAAACAATTTGAAGTTCATCTCAGTCTGCAAATACAAACGAAGAAAGTATAATACGGAGTAATGTTTATGGATGGTGTGCTTACAAAAATCATGATTACCATATATACTCGTATGCCATAGTCTAAGGCCAAAGAGAGACCAACAGTGTTGATGACGAGATGGAATTAAAGCTATCCATAATAATCGTAGCAAACAATAGTAGTCTTACCTTCTTGACAGGTTGAATGTCGGAGGCACCATGCCACGTGCTTTGTTTTGGTTTCTTTTCCATGAATTTGTCCAAGAATGCAGTGAGGGAAAGATCATTAAGGGGATTCCCATTGTAAACAATGTTGGCCCCTGAGAGCAGTGTTCTTGCCATGGTAGCAACTGATGGATGGGCATGCGAAGCCAATACAATGAGCTCCCACCAGCTAACTCTATCTGCATTGCTATTAATGGGTAAACCCAAATTTTAGAAATACTTACCACTGACAATGGAACAGGGACCTTAATACCATTTTCTGATTTTTCAAATTTTACTAATGCATTAATCTACTTTAGTATGCATTGTTATTGACAAACATTCAACTCTGTGGTTTTTAACAACTGCTCAAAAACAGAATGATGTTGAAAGAACTGTTTTTGTCCACCTCCCCCCCCCCCGAAAAAGGATCGAATTTTAATTAAGTTTCGTTTTTAAAAAACCTGTAATTGAACAAGGGAAGGAGTTTTAGTCACTTACACTAGATAAGCTTGGAAACAAGTTACAGGGGGTATTGGTGTCGAAGCCACGTGCTTTGTTTTAGTTTTAGTTCGGCAAAGGTAAACAAACTTACCAGAAAGAAGGCTCTCGGTGCCGAATGTTGTAACCACCTGGAATCAAAAGACTTCCATTTGAAGTTTGGGCTTCAAATTTGTAAAGGTCGGAGCTTGGTGTAGATTTCATAGGTTCATCTAAACCATTTTTCAGAAACAAGTCATCTAGCTGACCATCATCTTTGGAGTCAAAATAGTCTTCATCGAGAGAGGAGCATTCTTCATCTATTTCATCATCTGAGTGAGTATCCTCAGTGTCAGTCGTTCTATTTGTTGTAGGACTTGCTTGATTTTCGTCTTCTTTAACATCTTCAAAATGTTCAAGATCGTCATCAACAAATTCTCTTTGGAGCATCATGTTCCTAGGATGATGATCATAAGCATTTTATCTTACAAGAACATCTTTGGATCAAGAATACTAACATGAATAACAAAATGGTAAAAGCAAAAGAATTAGTACCAAAGAGGCTTTTCTTTGAGGACTTCAGAGAGAAGGAAAAGACACCCACATGCATATTGTGGCGGCTGCTGTATAGAAACCTGTTTCAATATTAAGTTGTTGTTTAAAGTCTCAAAACAATACAAACAATACTTTGTGAATGTAAAATCCTTGGTTTCTTAGGGCATGTTCTTTTGGTTGGAAAACTTAACTTTCAACATTTTCTTACTCTTTCCAGTTTCTTCCAACTCATTACAGTTTCTTCCAACAACTACTTAAAAAATTAATTAAGTATTTTTCATATTTTTCTCATTAGTCTTATTATTGTTGTTGTCGTCGTCATAATCATCACCACCATTTTACTTAAAATAAAATAAAAATTTGAAGTAATATCACATTTTTCATAAAACAAATATTGTGTTTGTCCCCCGAAATAATACTAGTTACCATTACAAAAATAGTAATTTGTTAAATGATTTAGTTTATTATATCCGGAGTATTATCATTTGTAATTTTGTAATGTTCCATAATTATGTTTCTTTGTTGATCGCAATAACATTAGATTATTCATGTCAGATTTTTTGTTTAATTAAGATTAATAATAAAAATATTGCTCCTTTTTTCAATATTTTTGGTACATGGTTCAGTGGCATGCAAATTAAAAAATGAAAATTTGTTACAGGTTTTTAAAATAAAAAAAATAGGAAATAAAAATATGTACTATTGATATTGATTTAAAAAGTTAAAAAAAATAATAATGCATATGACTCACAAAAATATTACTACTCCGTATATATGTGGTTTGAAACAAAAACAGTTTAAAGTATAATTTATTTTTACAAAAAAAGGGAATTTCAAATATAATTCCTTATTTCAATATTTTTTCATTTGTTCCAACATTTTTTATTTTTTCCAACACTTTCCAACTTCTTTCAATTTCTTCCAACTCCTTCCAATGACTAGTATAAAGATTGCTCTTCATATAATGAAAACACAATATTAACAACTTGACTGACCTGTAACAAACGCTTTGCAAAAGCAGCAACACGCTTCAAATTTATATCATTTTTCATGGCCCTTAGAAGCAGGCCAAAAAACATTTCTTCCTGGAGCCAAAGCATGATAAAACAAGATAGATATTCATTCAATAGAAACTAGAAAGGGAAGAGTTTAGTCATTTGCCAATTTATAAAAGGTGCTTAATAATATAGATACGTAGCAAAAGGAGAGTTAAATACTTGAATATATCTAAGCAAACTTAGATAGAAATGCGACCTATATGTCAAATCTGAGAACATTGTTTACCTTTGAAGAATTCATAGCAGCTGGTAGTAGAAGCTTTGAGTACAAGGCGCGGTAAAATCTATCACTAATAACTTGATTTTTTGATGAGATCTTATCAAGTAACATTAACGCTTGAACCCCAACATTGAAGCTCTTAGAATGAACCTGTGAGTGTCAGCAATTTTTTTAGGATAAACTGCAATAAGGACTATCCTATCTGAATACACACTCAAGCAGCAAACACATGTGTCAGGATCAAGACAAGCATTTTGTATTTAATGCAAATTATGCAACGCAACGCATTTTGTATTTAAAGCAATAGAAAGGGAAGTGGGAGCTACCAGCTGAAACAATATAGGTGTCTGGATCTGAACGATCTCATCAGCTTCATTACTTGCAACATATGGGAAGGCTCTGTTGACACCCTATAAAAAATGCTAAGGTTACACAATTTTAAGGAAGCTGTTGTTTTATAATGTATGAAAACATATAACTCACCTTTTAAATTATGGTAGAGCATACAACCACTAATATAAGGTGCAATAGTAATCACAGACACTAATTAAATATGAAAACTGGAACCTTGATAGCAAATATAATGCACAGGAAGACAAAAATAAATGTTTGTTACTGACGGTTAAAAGGGCTGACAATATCCGTGAATCCATCTCAACATGCAATCCAGATGTATTGTCCAATTCACTATCTTTTACATTATCCTCCAATTTTTTTCCTGCATTCTCTTTGTTCTTCTTGTGTCCTTTATCCGCCTCAGAAATCAATACCTGGGACAGGATTTTGAAATGTATGTGAGAAAACCATACTGCTCTAGGAAGTTTACTTAAACGTGTTTGTTTATACTAATTAGCCAAATTTCAAAACCCAAAACTTAAATTAATTAGCCAATAAAAGAGCTTTTTCATCACCTTAAAAAGGGCAAAATATACTTCTATCAAACGTTTGGCTATCTTAGGCCCATCTCCATTGTTACTCAATCGAATTTGGCTTAGAAAGTTAACCTGTCAAATCAATCAGTTGCATTACAGGTAGGATTTTGACTGAGAAGAAATTGAACTGAAAATTGCTGACTCAGAAGAAGACAATCTCATGCAAGAGCACGCTGACTTAGAACAAGACAATCTTATGCAAGAACAAAAAGGCTAACACAAAGTGACATACGGCATGGTACTTGGCTCTCATTCCAAGATGAGGGCGAAAAAGAAAAGTATCTACTTCATTAATCACCACACCCTGCATGAGTACAAAAAACAATATAAAGACATTAAGCATTGAACAATTTCAGGTCATATAGAATCTCTTTCATTTTTAGATACACTTAAAACCATTTCTCCACTGATTTTTCCACAATGTATTACTCCCTCCATCCCATAAAAGGAGTCTTGATGGGACAACTTATTTTTATTTTTGTATGGTAACAACAAATGGAAATCCTCAATTATAACTATGTTTTACATTTATTTAATGTTTAACTAAAATCATCATATCATTTACTCCCTTTGTCCCAAAATTGGTTACATTTTTTTGAGACCGCCTCTAGATAACTTTTGTTTGTTTGCATATTTTCATTGATTATTTGATAAAGTAAAATATTCTTGTAACAGTATCAACAAAGAAGCAGTATCAAATCTGAATAACAATTTGTTTTGTAACCTTTGTTAATCTCTTCGAGTAAGCTTTTGTTTTGTAGAACTTTCGACATAGCTTTTTAACATGTAATTTTATTAATTATTCTTATACCAATTTTTAAATAAACTGATTTTTAAAATGCAGGTTTTCCCTAGTAACTGTGAAATTGTAATCTAATTTGGGACAGAGGGAGTAACTTAATTGAGATGCTTTTGTCATTGAAAAAACATAGTTAAGACGGAAATTAGCTTTTTGTTCAAACATGTCTCTTTTTGTAATGATTTTGCTCATATGATCATCTTTTTCTTTATAAAGATCCATTCACACAATGATTGTTGGAATTTAATCTCTCTAAGGTCCAAGAACCCAACCCACATCTTTGGTCCGCCCACAGGGGGAAATACGAGGTAGATAAAGGAATATATGGAACAGTAAATAACATGAAAGATGGCAAATGGCACTTTATATCAATATCCGTGACCAAATGCAATAACCATGGTTTTATAAGGCGACTGAGGCGGTCGGTCTCGAGGCTTAAGCCTCAGTAGGGAGTAGGGATACCTGAGGCGTACGCCTCACAATGTTGATGCGGTCTTGTACTCTTGTTAGATTTATTCGGGTTTGTTCACATATTACATATAACCGAATGGGTAATGGGTCAATGTTCGAGTCGGTTAGTATGGAGTTGGTTAGTGTGTTTTCCTATTTAATTAATTTAAAAAAAACAGTTGGGTAGTTTCTGAAGGCGGTTATGGGTAGTTTCTAATGTTAATAGGTGTGTTGGTTTGTAATAGTTGTGTTGGTTAGTAAAAGTCATGTTGGTTTGTTCTCTATTTATATTTAGAGAACACAAAGAATCAAGTACAAGTTCACGACAATAAAATATTCTACTTTGCTTTGATCTGGTCTTGTCTAACAAAATACTAGCTCAAGTAATTAACAATCTCTCCTACCTTCATATTAGGATGCTCACCGAGGAGCTTTAGCAGGTGATAATCAGCATTAGATGCAGCTTTGCTATTAGGATCTCCAAGCTGTAAGCAAGCAAAGTTTCAAAACAAATTGTAATGTAGTTCCATAAGTTGTGATACTTGAGGTGAGTGAGGAAGGATTACTTTGTTTACTAGAGAAGTGAGCAGGCGGCGTTCTTGTTCGGATTTGCTCCTCAACAACACATAAATGGTCTTCACACACACAAAAAGGAGACTCTAAGTAAGCTTTCAAAGGAAGCAAAATAATAAATATGGAGTACTAAGTAACTTTGGTCTTAACTATTTGGCTGAAATGGGTCAGTGTGAGCATTTGGAAAAAAACATTTCAGCAATTCAGCCATATAACTTTTGCCAAATGGGCTCTATATTGTTTTAACACTATATTATATCAAATGGTAACTAGTCGTAGCTCTGCAAATTCAAAGTAGGATTCATTATTTTATGCTTATAAGAACAATTCATTACTTTACTGAAATATGTTGTTGAAAACAAAAGAGAAGTTTAGAATAAAAGTCAGGAGAAACTAGGCGGAAAAGTGAAGATTATGTAAATTGGATAAACACATGTATGCAACGGTCCAAAAATGAACTACATGACAATAAATAAAATGGAAATTGACAGCCTACCTTCAATGCCTTGTCCTTAAGGGCATCTAACACATCTTTTGAAGCTTCTTCGAGAGCAATAACAAACCTTTCATACCTGCATTACAAAATTAGGTTCATAACATAAAACTAAGAAATTAGAGGATTAATATAGTCAACAAAATAGAAAGAGAGTTGGTGATATTCTAACAAAATCACATGCAAAAATTAAAATTGTGAGATATATTGGAGTTACAAAACCATTAAAGAAGGCAAAAAAGAGCCGTTACCTAGATGAATCCCCCAGAAGTTCAAACATCATAGTAAAGTTTCAGTTTGAAATTAGTACAGCACTTGTTAGAGGATTGAAACAGAGAGGCATCATACCTTTGCTTCAAGCAATCCTCCCAATACCATAAGAGCAAAAGAGAGTGGCCGTCCTTTGTGTCAGGGACATGATTTAGAGGCCGCTGAAAGAGCGTCTTCAATTTGCGATCAGGTAAAAGACTATGAAAAATGTATTCGGTATCAAATTATGTATGATTCATCTTCAGGCAAAAAAAATACATGGATATTTAAGAGCATTTGACACGACGCAGAAACAACAAAAAAACAGGTTCTTTGACAATGAAATGATCACACACGAGAGAAAGGACTATGAAGTAGTATAGCAGCATTTCTGACCTGGAAACAAAGAGTTCTCTCAAAGAGTCATAACCTGTGAGTGCATGTCGCTTTCCAACTTTAGATGTGACCATTCCTGCACTCCATTGTTTATTCGATTAACCAAAATTTCATTTAGGATACTGTTTTATTATTCTAGTTTCTAAATCTGCCTAATTCTAAGTCAATGAAACTTGGTGACCCAAATATCCACCGAGGCAAGAAGGAACATGAACATGCATTGGAGTCATCAACTTAAAAACAATCTAACCCATATCCAATTGAAGATAATTTCATGATTCAAGATTGAGTTAATAGATAATGTTAGATACTACTAATATCATTTCCTTAGGGCTGGAGGAGAACTCCAACTTTAGCATTGGCAAGAATTGAGCTTTGGGGCCCAATGCATTTATCTTTTTCATATTAGTTGACTCTACAACCACAACATTTTCTTTAGCGAATTATTACCATCTTCTTTATAGTAATTCGAAATCAGAGCACATAGAAATTATGGGAATTCTTACCCAAAAGAGCATCCAGCGACCTCAAATTTGCAACAGGATTGTCAGCAATCATGATGGAAAAAGCAGACACCTTATCTGCAGCTGTCCCTGACCTCTGGGTGTTAGATAGCATTTTCGTATCTCCACTAGAGGACACATAGTCAGCTGCGAACTGAGCCATTAACCTCTCACCCAGCTCTTGTTTCCTCTGCACTAATGCCTTCCATTCTTCAACGCTCTTGAACTCAACCTTCTTCTTCCCAATCACCTTTTCCTCCAGTTCAGCAGCATCCTCGTACCACACTCCCAATGCACTGGTTTTCATGAGGGGAAGCTTCGGAAGGCCCTTGTATTTATCAAAACTCTTCGTCAAATTATTAACAGCATTGAAGTCTAACGGATTCTGCTTAGGTTGAGCCATCTTATTCTGCTTGAAATTCATGTTGTCATTGTTTCCCTTGACATTCTCCCTCTGTTTGTATGGCTTCTGGTTAGCTGGTGGCTTATTGATAGTTTTGGACGGGCCGGGCTTCCGGAAATCGGAGTCATCGAAGCCGGAAGTGGCAGACGGAAAGGAGGAGAGGCCGATGGATGAAGCAAACGAAGCGATTTCATTTTTCAGAACGTTGATGTCCTCTGCAGGTTTAGTTGACGATTTCTGCGATTTCTTTACCTTCTCCATTACAAACAGATTGCTGAAGAAGTTCCGAATGTTCGACGAAGGATGAAACAGTGAAGTCGGCGATGGAGAGAGTCGATTGGCGCCGACAATGGAGCTCGCCCAGTCTTGCCGTCCCGGGGATGAAAGTATGAAACGACGAAGAAGGAATAAGGGTTTTGGGCTATCGAATTTGGGCTCCTTATGTGGGCTCTTGTATGTAATCCTTCAAAACATGTTTTTTTATTGCTATAAAATAAAATACTCTCGACATTTCTTATTTACTCCGTAATAGATTGTTTTTTTTTAATATTAATAATTTTGTTATAGTAAATTTGTTAATTTAATTTAAGTATGCAATTTTCTAAAACAAATTACACCTATTTTTATATAAGTAGTAATTTGGTGATCATAAAGTTAACATCTAATAGGTGAACTTACTCATGTGAGTAATTTTAATTTTGTGAGCTCAAGTTTTAGAATATTCATCAACCGTGCAAAAGGTTAATATATTAAGCCTGCCAAAGTATTTGCCTTTTCATATAAATTGAATTAAACTAATTTCAATAAACCAAAATGTGAGGCCTATGATGAAATAATTTGAGTTTTGGTACTTCAAGCTCTGAATTCGATTTTATCAATCGTATCCAATTTAATATTTGGTGGGGTGAGACCCGAATGGATCGAAATCTTACCGGTTCTTAAGCAATCAACCTGAACATAGACTTACAATTACGTCTTACTAAATCTACTTCTTTTTGTTCAATCTGGTTTACGGGTTTTACTCGATATTGGTTCAACTTATTCATCTTGAGACTTTCTTCTTTGTCGCAACCCGTAAGTACATGTTCATGACATAGTATCATTGGGTTTGGATCAACCCAACCGGTTATGAGCGTTTGTTTTTTGAAATACTTAAATCTAAGTTAACAATTGCATTTTGCATATAATTTAATATATATATACACACACACACAAACACACACTAAAGCTATTATAATATTTTCTTTTGAAATTTAAAAATACACACAAGAATATCATAAACAATACGCTCTCCGTCCCAAAATGAATTACCCCTTTCGATCAACGTGCAAGCTCGCGTAACGTCTAAAATATTTTAGTTACAAATTGGTATTGAAATAAAAAAATAAAAATTATATATTTAAAAACTATATCAAAAGTTTTACAAAACACAATGTGACAAGAATATTTTAATTTATCAAATGATCAATAAAAACATGCAAACAAACAAAAGTTATCGAGAGCCCATAATAGTAAAGATGTAATTCATTTTGGGATAGAGGGAGCATACATTTGAAAATGTACAATTTTCAAAAACATTAAGATAACAATACAATATCATTAAAATCTCATTTAAAAAGAAAACTGTATTTAAAACTTCAAAACCGGATTTAAAAAGAAAAACTAATCTTATAAGGTTATTGGTATGACATTACATTTCATACTAAAGTATATAATTTTGAAAAAAACATAATTTAGTTGGTCAGCTTGGTTTGGGTTCAGTTGAGTTTTATTTTTATCAAGCATAGTCGCTCTATGTTTTAACATAGGGGGTCATAGTGCCTAGATACGACCCCATTACCACGTAATGTGACGAGATTTTTTGAAGCACTGTGTCAATGTTGTTCTTGTTGTTGTTGTATTTTGGACTCAGTCAAGTTAATAAGACCTTGTGCAAAATTCATTGTTTTGAGGCCGAGCCTTGAATAGAGAGTTGGTATATGGTACATACGGATGTACCTAGAAATAAATACATCCCGGTAGTACTCATTTTGAAATAAAGTAGTACTCATTCTCGTACAAATATGAACATTCATTTCGAAATAAGTAGTACTCATTCTGGCAAAGGTAGTACTCATTTTAAAATAAAGAAGTACTCATTTTTACATATTTGTCGAATATAATTATAATAAATAGCGTAGTGTTCATTCTTAAAAAAAAACAATACTCATTCTCAAATAAGGAAATGTTCGTTCTCAAATAAAGTATTGTTCAATTTTTTCACAATTAAAAAGTTCAGTACAATCATCAACTTCTTCCTCTATTTGATTCGTTCCTACTCATTTATACTCTTTGAGCATGGAGAATTTAAAACCGAGGTTTATTAATGTTTGTATTGAATAAGAATATGATAATTCTCATAAGTGCTGGTACTCCTTCTCAAATCTGCTGGTACTCATTGTCATATATAATAATTCTCATATATGTTTTGGACATTAGATAAAAAGTTTCCAAAATTTTCAAAAATACCATATAGTACCTAAAGGAAGATACAGCTGGATGTACCATATAATTTGCCTTCAATAGAATATAGGTTGAGTCAATTTATTCCTGGTCTAAATAACCCTGTCGCTTACTGCTTTGCCCAGATCAAGGAGAACTTCAATCTTCGCTACCACAGCATTCTTGTTTCAGAAGAAATCAATGCAGCTATCGCATAGGGGATAACTGGGGAAAAAAAAAATGTCGGATTCTGGGGGTGCCTTAGGTCACCCGCCGCCGGATTCTCCCACACTCGATTCATCAGAGCAAGTCTACATCTCTTCTTTGGCTCTCCTTAAGATGCTCAAACACGGTAACATATGGCTTCTTCCTCTTCTATTTGGATATTACTTTTCAATCAGGAGGGTAATTTAACCTCCTAGACCCTGCGTTGTTGTTGTTGATGTTGTTGTGAAGTCCGCGAATTGGGCGGTGTATTGCTTTCATGCTTTTTATGAGAATTAGAGCTTTGTGTTGACACTGAACAGGGAGAGCTGGTGTTCCGATGGAAGTTATGGGATTGATGTTGGGGGAATTTGTGGATGAGTACACTGTCCGGGTGGTCGACGTGTTTGCTATGCCACAGAGTGGGACTGGTGTGAGTGTTGAAGCCGTGGATCATGTCTTCCAGACCAATATGCTTGACATGCTTAAGCAAACGGGCAGGTATGGCTAGTTCTTTCACTATTTATTCTTGTATTGGTTCAACTGTCATGGTAAAAATATCTAAATTCCTTGAAATTCTGAAGTGCCTACTATGTAAAGTAAAATCTGATCCAAAAGGGACTAATAGTTTCTTTTTATAAGTTTTGTGTATTAGACTCTCTGTGCGAAAATGATTTTTAAAAAGTAAATACACAAAATTAAACCCTTCTCTCTCTTTCACTTCACATTATGTGTGGTTTGTTAATTATGATGTGTGTGGTTATAACACATTGATATTCCACAATGAGATTGAGGTATCTCTGTACCTGTCCCTGCTTTAACAATAGTTCCCAATCAGGTTGAGACCCCTAGAATGGGCATTTGGTCTATATTTTTTTTTAGTCAGGTAATTGTGGTCTTTCTTCATGCTACTTTCATTTGTGGTTGTGCACCTGTGTCTTAAGCTGGGGTCTCTTGCAAACAACCTCTTTACTTTTCATGTAGGGTTAAAGTCTTTGTACACACATTATGTGGAATTCTTCTGGGACTGTTGTTTATGGTAAATTTTTGGTAGTAAGAGAGATACAGAATTAGAACAAGCAAATGTTAGCAGGGGAGCAATTGGAATAAAGGGTAGTGAAATGTGAGTATTTTTCGCTAACCCGTTTATTCAATTGCTCACACTAAAGAGAATTTTATTGTATTCTAAGTTTTTATGGGAAGTAGGGAGGTGATGGTGCTGAGATAGGAACGTAGAACACTCAGTTATTATAGAGACTGAGCTGATTAGCTGAAATACTTTTTTGTTTTTACAATCAACCTGTAATAACTCTTAACATTTGAGGGATAATCATCTCTTGCTAATATATCTGTGAATGGTCCCCTTCTCTTTTACTTTCTATTGTATTTTGGAAATGGTGCGGTTTTAATATTTAGCAACACGTACGGTCTAAACCTTTGTTGTGGTGCTGCAGGCCAGAGATGGTTGTTGGTTGGTATCATTCACATCCTGGTTTTGGCTGTTGGCTATCAGGCGTGGACATCAATACTCAACAGGTGCCTGCATTTTTACATGCATACATACATATTTCAGGTTAACTCGTCGTATGGGACAGAGGACTTGCTGTTGAATGTGCACAATATTTTTTTTTTGGGTTTATAATATTACAATGTGCAGAGTTTTGAAGCTTTGAACCAACGAGCGGTTGCCGTGGTGGTTGATCCGATACAAAGTGTTAAAGGGAAGGTTGTGATTGATGCCTTCCGTTTAATCAGCCCACAAACGATGATGCTTGGACAAGAGCCGCGTCAGTCAACATCAAACTTAGGGCATCTAAACAAACCCTCTATTCAAGTGAGTGCTAAATACAGTAATATATATATCTATATATTACTCTGAAGGCAGTAAATATATACATGAAAGTGTGGTGAATTGTCTTTTTACGGATGTGATGGGTATTTGGGCCATGCAGGCCTTGATTCATGGGCTGAATCGGCACTATTACTCCATAGCAATCAATTACAGAAAGAACGAACTTGAAGAGAAGATGCTACTGAATCTTCACAAGAAGAAATGGACAGATGGGTTGACACTGCAGCGATTTGATTCCCACTCCAAAACCAATGAGGAAACTGTCCAAGTAACAATAAACTGTTCCATTTTTTTCCCAAAACTATTTTGTCTGTAGGAAACCTGTCATGATAAACTGTGCCAAGTTCCCCATGATACCGAATTAGTTTCCCGGTTCCAAACGGACCCCAAAGAAACTGAGAAAATCTTAGCTTCTTTTCCTTGGGTGGTTTTTCAATCATGAAATATAAGCCCTCAAAAAACTACCCGCGCGCATATCTAGCTGTTTAGTGGTTACAAAACCCTCACTTGTGTTCTCTTATGATGACAATCTTCCTGTGGCAGGAAATGCTAAACTTGGCAATCAAATATAACAAAGCGGTGCAGGAAGAGGACGAGTTGCCTCCCGAAAAGCTGGCCATTGCAAACGTGGGAAGACAAGACGCGAAGAAGCATCTAGAAGAGCACGTTTCTAACTTGATGTCTTCCAACATCATTCAAACTCTTGGAACCATGCTTGACACTGTCGTCTTCTAGAAGTTCTATGCGTCTTCTAGAAGCTCTATGCTTTACCCTTGTCTGCAGAGAGCACATACGTTTGGTTATTTTCTCTTTTATACTAACATTTTTCCATTTTCCATGTTTGCGTGCACCCTTATATGCGCTCTTCGGTTTAATTTAAGTGGTTTGTTGCGGTTTAAGATATTTGGTTGAGATTATTTTTTATTCAATTTATTTAGGAATTTAAAAATAAAAATTATTCACTCCGTATTTAAAAGTTACATAAATAATTCTACGAGTCAAGGGGTGATTATTTTTAATTTTGTACTCCATATAAATATCATACTCCGTTTCGTTTATACGGAGTACTTTGTACTTAAAACATATTTATATTCTCTCCTCACAAACCCAAAAAAATCGCCTCAATTTAATTTTATTTGTCAAATTTTACGAACTTTGATTACATATTGTAGAAATAATGTATTTACTTAAAATGTAAATTTAATATAATTGAGTTTATTTTAAAATGTAATTTTGATATATCAAATTTCTCTAAATAATTTTTTCTTAAAAATTCTCTATTCTAAAAAAACACTTACTCCGTGGGAGATAGACTGGGCCGATTAATTTTGGGCAAGTTGCTATTATTTGGGCGGGAGCTAAAGCGGGCATTAAACACAAAATCGATAAAGTTACCATGATTTGGGTCAGAACGTAGGCCCAAGAAACACGGAGGAGAATCAGAAGATAAGAGCGATTATTAGGGCTTCATATAAGAACGGCGATACGGCGCTAAAATTTAACGGCCGTGTTTTTCTGGCTTTTCCTTCTTCTGGTTAAACCCTCGGCGCTGTGAAGGCGGAGCAAGGATGGCGACGACGGCGGCGGAGACGCAGGGAGTATTGTCAACGAAGGAGGCCGACATTCGGATGATGTTGGCCGCCGATGTCCATCTCGGCACCAAAAACTGTGACTTTCAGATGGAGCGTTACGTCTTCAAACGCCGGAAAGACGGTCTGATTCCTTCTCTGTTGCATTCTGTGAATTGAATTCTGAGTGTGATTTTCATCCGTCTTCTTCGTTACATACGACATTTTCGGAGATTCCAGAATAGTTTGGAATTTGATTGAATGTCTTTTATTTCATACAGTTTTAATCAATTGATTCATTTCAGAGTGTAATTGAACTTACTGATCAACCATTTTTGAGCTCTTTATATAGTCTTTCTGTCCAATTTATTTTAATTCCTAACAATTCGTTAATTCATTTGGAGTTTTTTGTAAATAATTTATTTGAACTACCTTCTAGCTTGTCACTCCCGTTTATATTTGTTGGGGTAGCTTCATTTTGTACTTAATTGCTTGTTATATCACTGCATTATATAATGCAATGCAGTAAGAAATATTATTCATATTCTACCAATTTAGTATGGCTAAAAATATAAATTTGTATACGGAGTAATTACTAGGGTGTAAATTTAGTCACTTATATGTGATTCTTGCTTGATATCAGGCATTCACATAATTAACATCATGAAGACATGGGAAAAGCTCTATCTTGCGGCTAGGGTCATTGTTGCCATTCAGAATCCAAAGGACATAATTGTCCAATCGGCCAGGTCTTATGGCCAGAGAGCTGTTTTGAAGTTTGCTCAGTATACTGGAGCTCAAGCTATTGCTGGGCGTCACACTCCGGGAACATTTACCAACCAGATGCAAACTTCTTACAGTGAGCCTCGCCTTCTTATCCTCACTGATCCCAGAACTGATCATCAGGTTTACTCTCCTGTCACTTTTATATCTAAAGTAGTCCTTGTTAGGGAAAATTCTTGTCTTTGGTGCACCTAAACTCATTTATGCTAATGTGTTTTTTTATTGCAAAATGACAGCCAATCAAAGAAGCTGCTCTTGGGAATATTCCTACAATTGCTTTCTGTGACACTGATTCACCAATGCGCTATGTTGATATTGGCATCCCAGCAAACAACAAAGGTAAGCACAGCATTGGTGTTCTGTTCTGGCTCTTGGCAAGGATGGTTCTGCAGATGCGTGGCAGTATTGCTCCTGGTCACAATTGGGATGTGATGGTAATAGCAACCTTTGTGTTATATTGACCTTTAATAGCTTTCTACATGCTTTGTTTCAATGAAATGCTCCTGTTTTGTTCTCTTTTAATTGTTCCTTAATGGAAAAAATGTATTCTCAAACATCTTCTCCCCATATCAGTGATCACAAGAGTTCAAGAGCGCATGAGAATATAAATTTTCACAGTTGCATTTTTCCATTCCAAAAGTTTTGTACACCTTTGTTTTTAAGAAACATGTTTCCAACATTACAGCAGAAATGGAACTAAGCTTTTTGCTTATTTTTGGCAAGAAAACTTCTAGTGGCCCAAAAGTCCCTTGTCCACAGGAGTGGCATTTTTCCCTTCAAACCACTCACCTTTTGGATAAATGTTGTACCCTGTAACATTAACATTTGTTTTTGGAGTAATTTTGTACTACTTTGATGGCTCTACTCAGTATTTCTTAATTTGTTTGTTTGAACAATCAAACACTACATTTAAATGAGAGCAAGGTGGGGGCATGTGTTTAACCATTCCAACTTGGTACTCTGGCAGGTGGATCTTTTCTTCTTTAGGGAGGAAAAAGACAAGGAAAAAGAGGATCCTGAAGCTCCCGCCGCCCAAGATTATGACTACTCGAGTGCTGCGCATGGCGGTGAGTGGACAACTAACCAGATTGCAGATTCCCAATGGAATCCTGACCTAGCCAGTGTTGCTCCGGCCGTGGATAGTTGGCCTGCAGGCAATGGTAAGTTGACAAGGACTGCCAGTTGCTCCCTCAGTTTTAAAACAATTGTTAAATATGGCTATCTATATACTCTTTCCCTCCCTATTTTGATTACAAAATGGGAATTACGAGATAAAATTCTACGATTTTTGAAACCATTTTATTTACAAATTGGTACATCAATAAGAAATAAAAATTACATATTGCGTAGTAAAAAACTACGTCAAAAGTTCTACTCCAAAACTAAGAGTTGACAAGAATATTTTATTTTATCAAATAATTAGTGAAAACACATAAATGAGCAAAAGTTATCGAGACGAGAGAAAATATAATTGTAATCAAAATTGGGACAGGGGGAGTACATTAAAAGTTGAATGAATGTGAACATATGTTATGTCCAGATTCATTGATCTCAATATATGTTCTGTGTTAATCTTTTGTGCGATCTCTCCAGCCTCTACATGGGAAACTGCCGACGCCCCGATTGCGGTGCCTCAGGGCGTCGTTGGCGAAGTCGCTGCCGCCTGATGGGATTAAAGCCTACTGTTCCTTCAAGAGCTTTTCGCAGGTCTGCCGGGTTGGTGGGTGCGGTGTTTATTTTACAGTCTTTGTAGGTAGCTTTGCAAAGGAAATTTTGAATAGTTATTTTAATTATTGTGCGAATGAACTTCACTTCCGATCTACCCGATCCCTGCTGGAATGACCGGATCGGTATCTATATTACATTTTGTGAGCCGTTTATACCACCATTTTTTGTTTCTGTTTGGCAGTGTAGTTTTACCTGCGGTGAGAGAGACAACCCAATTTATAGCACTACTCTTTCGGTTCAAAATTGAAAATATATCAACATAAATCTTCAGAAATAGATTCTTTTATGCATTTACATTACGAACTATGCTCGTGTATTTAACGTAAAACACACATGTATAGTGTTATATTGCCACAGTGTAAACTATTATTTAGAAAATAAAAATATAGAATTTTTATTTTAGTATTTTTCTATGTTTTAATTCTATTTAGGGTGATTTATTCTTCAAAATATTTTCTTACTCCCTCCGTCCCATTTTAAATTGCCTGTTTGTCTTTTTTCTCTGTCCCAAAATAAGTTGCCTGTTAGTTGTTTTCGTAAACTTTTAAAAATAAAATATCTAAACTACTACTAAAATAAGTCACACTTCTTCACCTTATCTTCTCATTCATCATCACACCTCCTAAAAAGTAATGTTAATTTCAGAAAATCAACTCTATTTTTTATTTTCCTTAAATATGTCCAAAAGTCAAAACAGGCGATTTAAATTGGGACGGAGGGAGTATTATTTTAAGATAAACTTTTCATATTTCAAAAGAAATGGAGGACAGTTAATATTGATTTTCTCATTTCTTTAAATTGTGTATTTTGGTTTACAATATTTGATTGAAAACATTTTTAATTTATTATGTATATAAAATTTAAATTTTAAAAAGTCACATTTAAAGCTATAGAAAACAAGCAATGATACGATTATTTTATTTTGAAGCAAACAACAAGAACTTTCATTAAATCAGGTTCAATACAAAATCAGGAGCATTATCCCAATTTCTAAGATAAGTATCTGCTCAAGATTATGGACAACTAAATTTTAATTATAAAAAATGAAAACAATAATTACAAAATTAGTAAAAGTTTGACTTTGTAAATATTAATTATGTAATTAAAATTAGGTTGAAGAGAATATAATACACTAACTTGTATATTACTCTTCTGTCTACTTTGATTTCAATTTTTTAAATTGAATTGTTATATAAATTTATTATTAATATGTTAATTTTGAATATAATTTTGAAATAATAAATTTTTATATGAATAAAATTATTAATGGTCAAACAATCATTTTATAATTTTAACTATTAAATTGTTTTCTCGAATAAGCCAATTGTTTTTCTCAACTACTCTAATTAGGCATTATTTTTTTGCAATCTCGCATGTTCATGTAAAACAAATTGAAAAAGTAACACGGAGTATTTCATACCAAAATATTTGTCCAATTTTTATTTTTTACGGTCAATCAAGATCCAACTTTTGATCTAAAATATAATAAACATTACATTTTATAGTATTTAAATAAAATATTATTTTTAAAATATTTAACAAGATAAATCTAATAGATGAATTTTGTATCAATATCTATTACTCTATTTACACTTCATTTAATTAATAATAAAAATTCATCAATTTTAATTCTAAAAAGTTAAATTTGAAGAATTATTGTTAAACTGAAGGAGTATAAGATTTTTTTTTTTAAATTCTAGTTTTCCACTCTCTACCGTACACAACCAGGTGGCCGCCCCCATTCTTCACACTCTGTGTGTGCGCCGAGACAAGGAAACGGGAAAGAACAATTCCGGCCACCAGATTCCGGCCGTCTCCCGGCGTCTCTCCATCTAAGCAACTTCTCAACTTTCCTCTTCGATTCTCAAGGTAATTTGACTTAGTATTTATCCTCAAACTCGCAGACAATATTTCATATTTTGTGCTATGATTTTGGATTACTCTTCGTCACTTCATGCCTCCTTCATCATATGGTTTCATTACATTTTAGATTGGTTCATGTATTTATTTGATTGTTTTAGGTTAACTGTTTATAATTATTACCAATCCGATTATTTTTAGAATATTTACTCTATTTTTTGTAAAATGTGAATGGTTAGGTCAATGCATCAATGTAGTATATTCTTTTAGTTTTAGTCCTGAGATATATTTTACATGAATACACTGTTTATGTACTGTTATAGTGATTAAATTATTAATCATTCGTTCACTTTTTTGATTAGTTATATAAATGATTTATTAGAAAATTTTGGATGCAAAGATATTATAAATAACCACCAAGATTTAAAGAAATTGGATCGAGTGGGAGTGGTACCAATTGAGTTCATATGATACTCCATATTCAAATCCACTTTTTGAACAAGTCATTGCTGAACTGAAACTCTTTTGAATTAAAAGTGATGTGAAGGAGGCATTGAAATATTTAGCTTTGATGTAAGTATTTTAGTGTGGCATACCACGATAATGGTGGCGACTAATAAGCAGAGAGATTCAAAGACTAGCTATGTCTTATGTACTCTAAAGTGTACAGACTGTTGTGAATTACTCGTATTAAATTGCTGTGTCTAATACTTCTTTTGCTTTCTAATATGTATTATCTTATGAACTTCGCAGTTTGATATTGTTTATGTTGGGAGCGTTTCATGGTGAGATTCTTGTATTCTATTAGCTGTGTAAGGTGAAGTTTATTCCTGTGTTTAGTATTCAAACCACGTAATATTGTGTTTGAGTACATGATATCCGGTACAAGCAATATAACTGTGTTTTAGCAGATAGCATTGGCTCAGTTCTGTGGGGCATGCACCTGCGCTTTTCGGCTTGCACTTTTGGAAAAAAAAGTTTTCTTAGTTCGACTTACGGCTTTTGAAACTAAGCTCTAAATCCCAAATGTCATGTTCTTTCCCTCATCACCTCAAATGTTTAAGAGATAAACAAATACTCCCTCCGTCCCTCTATATTCGTCCAGTATTCCTTTTTGGGTCGTCCCATTATATTTGTTCACTTTCTATATCTAGTTAACAAATTTAAATGAATTTCCAACTTTACCCTTATCACTAATTCCTATCACCTCATTTAGTGCCCTCACATCACCTCATTTACTACCCCACCCAATTTACACTCCCCCCACATTTTTCGTTGCTGTTTCGTAAATCTTAGATCTAGACGGGATTCGAATCTGGTTCACTCTCCATTTATGAATTTGAATACTTAATCCCTGAAACTGAGTTTGATGAAGAGATCAGCTTTGATGATGATGGTTTGACCGTCTTCAATCCAGGGTTCCAAGTTGTGCCGAACAGCTTCTGACGGCCTCCGATCTGATCACTAGAACAAGGGTGGAGCCTGGGGGGACTGCTGCCGGGGACGGCAGCATCTTTAAGGCGTTGATGATGATCAATTTTGTGAAGATCCGGAGGCTTGATGCGGTGCTTAACGGCCAAATTGCTGTTCATGGATTGTCAAGGCCCTTTCCGCACATCGATTGACATCCGATGGCCTAGTGCACGAACACCACACCATTGTTTTTCTTTTTTTTTCTTTTTTTACTTTAAGGGCATTAAAGACATTTGATAACTTTCAACCTCCCTCCTTGGTATTTGTGCCACTTTGAAAGTGGACAAATAAAGAGGGACGGAGGGAGTAAATAATATCCAATCCTAAAAAGCCTCTTATTTAAATATTCAAGTAGATACCATAACGTCCTATTTCCAGAAATGTAGGTGGAATGGTTGAATCCTTCCTATCTGGTGACATTGTGCATGCAAAAATCTTCAGCTTTGAATTGTAACCAATTTTCCAACACACGGGAATTTCATTGTTCATATTAACAACACCAATTTTTACTTCACGTCTGTCTTCCTTGTGATGAAATGAACTTGGTTTCCTCTTACTGTTTGATCAGATATGGACAATGCATCTGGCTCATTTGCACAAACAGAGGATCAGTTCTTTCTTCTCTACTTGATAATGGGTACTTACTTTGGACCTGATCTTAAGGAAGAAGGGCCTAAGAAATCTGCTTTGCGAAGGATGTCTGAAGCCTGTGCACCATATACATCTAATCAACTAGCTGGCACATGCATTAGGACTGCTGAAATAGAGAGACTTTATTACTACATCCTCAGAGGAGCAAATCAGTCTGTCATTCTGCCCCTACCTTTATTTTACCAGTTCTTTCATGGAATTCTTCATACGCCTGTACATGGCTATGCTGCATCTTACCCCAAATTCAGCGATCTTTTCCCTCCTGGATTGCATCACCTTGTACGTGCTAATAATGGGTATAATGTTATTGAAAATATTGTATTTGTCAATGATCCTGACGTGAGCTACATCACTCCCAAGTGCTTGGAAAGGTACAAAAGGCTTACAGGTCTACAGAGTTTTCTCTTGGATAGAGATTGTATATTGGGTCTTTTTGAGCTCGGAAACCTCCCACTTCATGCCTTCGCCACGGGTCCTGTCAGTACTGATAGACACTATGGGACACCTGCTTATAATGGATCACTTAGAGTTACACCTAACGATAGTAGCATGCAATCCGCTCATAATGGGTCACTTAGAGGTACACCTTTTACATGTACTGATACTGCTCCATTACCTTTAAAGACCAATTCTGGTGACATTGGCCATGCTATGCTCGTCCTACCAAAACATCCTTCTGAGGAAGATTGGAGTGACATTGTTGCTGCCGCCAAGGGGGGATATGCAATAACTGGAAGTGCAGCAAGTGGGCAAATAGGATCAGTTCTTGGACCCCTTGATATTGGAGAGTGTGAGGATGCTTACTTATTTCGTATATCGCTTCCTGGAGTAAAAAGAGATGAAAGTAAGTAATAATCCAATCTAAACTGAGTCAATCACTTGATGTCACATGCATGGTAGGTTGAATTCATTGATTCATTCACCAGTTGTTATTCCCATTTTGTTGGGTTTGTGTATAAACAGACTCGACAGTCTGGTCCGGTCCAGTTTTAAAAACTATGCTCACATCTCACTTCTATTTTTCATGATTGAAACTTTTCTCATTGGTTATGCTACCAATTAACTGAAACCGCAGGAGAATTTAGCTGTGAAGTTGAGAATGATGGTAAGGTAATAATTAAGGGAGTGACTACCAGCGGTGAAAAAACTGTTCACAAGTACACCCAAGTATTTGAGATGCAATCTCAGAACCTTTGCCCGTCTGGATATTTCTCTCTGTCGTTCAAACTGCCAGGTCCTGTGAATCCTCAACAGTTTTCTGGTACATTTGGTACGGATGCTATTCTCGAAGGAATTGTTTTGAAGGCGGAACAGAACAAAATGTAGGACCAGGTAACGGAACAGAACAAAATGTAGGACCAGGTAATTAACATTTTCTGGTGGTATCAATTGAGTTGTAACATGGGTGTCATAGTAATTTATCTCTAAGTTCCAGAGCATAGTACTCCCCCCATCCATAACTTTCTTCCCACTTTCCTTTTTGGTCCGGCTTTATAGTCTTGTCACATTTTGTTTTATGGCAAAAAAATTTGTCTTAAATGTCAAACTTCCCTTCTACTTTTGTGATGAGTACCTATTTAATCTCTACTTTTATTTACACTATTCACGTTATAACCCTCACTTTATCATGTCTTCATTATTCATCTACAATATTCCCTCTTTTTTTAACCCAAGGACAAATGTGAAAGTCGATGTCTTTTTCATCTCTCATTATTAATATGTGTGCCGGGTCAAACAGGAAAGAAATTGTTGGTTGGAGAGAGTAATACTGTAATAGAGTATGATGTCTGGTGTCACATCCCATTGAACTACAAATTACTCTGTAATATTTTCTTTAGGGAAGAGCACTGGTGGTTTTTACTGCTTATTGTCAATGCCCTATTGCTAATCTCAAGTCACCTCCATGCAGGGTCCATGCCTGAAATTCTCAAGTTTTTGGTGGTGTGCAATAATCTTATTTAACAGCCCTTGCAAATCAACAAGATAAGTTTCTTTTTTATTCCTCCAGCTTGATAACCCCAAACTGTATAGGCTGCACCTTTGAATTTTTCCACCGCTCCTCCCCGCCAAGTAGCCAGCCGGCCCCCATGCTCGCCGTATCTTGCTGTGAAACTAATATGTTCTAATACGCATAGTGTAAGCTTCCCTCTCAACTTCATTCATAATTTTTTGACTGTGTAATAGAAGTGTTGATGGAATGATGAGTTAAATATTTTGACTTTTTATGCAAAATTTCTTGCCGATGGCCTGTTTCCAATATTGATCCTACCCTCGTGAGATCTAATTGTGTTGTTTTTGTTTGGCCTGTTACCAATATTTCATGCACCGTAATGGCATTCATATTACTCCCTCCGTCCCAAATTAGAATTTTCCTTACAATGCTTGACTTGAGAGTTTAATTGGTTAGTGCAAGAGACATGGGCTTTGATAATCTTCCCATATCAATTTTTTTGGTGTTTGGTGAAGTTTAAAAAAAAATTGGATATGATATCTTCAGATTTCACAAATCCTCCAAATGAAGAGTTCTAATTTCTCTCAAATTTTAGAGATATTGATATGAGAGTTTGACATCTCTACCGACTGTCGACAACCTCCTGCCATCGGCTATCATTATCAATGTCAACTGGTCATCCTCATTTATCACTAATTAAATCATGATTTTAAATCTTTCTAAATAATTTTATTTCAAATTCGAAAGCAATATTATTTCTTTTGATTTCAGAACTCATATTATGTTATACTTCTAAAACTCACCAAATGAGGTCCAATTATTTTTAACTTAATTTATTTGAAAATTAGTGTTGAATTAAAAAAATAAATTAATATATTGTGAAACCATATCGAGAGATGATATATTTATATTATTTTATCAAATGATTATCAAAAATAAACATGTTAATGATATACAAATATACACATAATACGGTCATATGGAGTATACAATTTCGGTCGAAAGAAGTGGTACATTGTTAAATTCTTCTTTGGCGCATTTTTAGAAACTTATGTAAGAATTGAAGTATGGGTAACAAAAAAAATGAATTTTAGTGTTAAACATAGTGTTTCTTTGCATATATTTTTCTCCTATTTTAGAGTTGTCTTTCTCATTATTCACTAATAAGAATTGGCTTTTTTCTTTTTTTTTTTCATTTCAACAATGGGAGAAAATATATTCTTTTATTTTCCCTCTCTCCAATTGCCAAATAAAACATAATTGCCGCAAGCCCTCTTTACCCTCAGCTCTCACGGTCGAAGTAGCAATCGCGTTAGTTGTTGGGTCAGTTCAGAATATTTGGAGGTCCACCGCAAAAATTAAAATTATGCCTCCACAATTTGTAGTACATATATGTGATTACTTGTATTTTCACATTTTTTTTAAATTAAAGAAATGTTTCTGTATAAGAGTAAAAAAGTTTGAAAATATCAAAATATGAGATCTATGTCTTTTAAGACTAAAATAAAAGTAGAATGATTATATAGTATAAGAATACGCATTGACAATATGATGAAAAAATGATGTTATTATAATATGCCAATGTACATATTTTTTTTATTTTTCATCATTCTTTAAATTCTCCATAAAAATCAGAGCAGTGAAGTTTTTTAGGATAGAGGGAGTATTATATTTTCCGAGGAAACAAATGATCTCAAATTTAGAACAAATAGTGACTGCAAGAAACAACATATGCTCTTTCACAACAGATTACATAGTCAACCTATATATACATATGTAAACATAGGTTGACTATATTTACTTGCACCCCGGAGGAAAAAACATTCGTGGAAGTGAATAAGGGAGACTAATGTAGAAAAAAAATCTTTGGATATATACATGTTTTTTGGTAACGTTCAAACAATTATCATCCAACACTGGTGCAGAGCCCCAGAAAGAATATGAAAGGATATTTACAATGGTGTATTTCCTTTGTCCTATCTGACTAAACCCAAAATCTCATAATATTATTTCTCACCTTTTCTTTTTTTTTTCTTTTCGTTTTTCCTAATCCTGATAGCCGGTAAGTTTTATTGTGTGACCAAACCGCATCCTTCGGATGGGTCGACATGTATATGTTATGGGATTACAACATTATATGGGCAATGCAAACCTGTGTGGGAAACCCCTCCCAATTTCCAACTTCAATGGAAAAGCATGTCTCCAAACGTGACCCAGTGCACAAATTTATCAGAAAATTCACCCAGTCTTAGGTTTTCTTGAGCCGCGTCGTAGTTGATGAAATCTCCGTTCGTCTGTTGGATCAATTTGATTAGAAGAAGAAGATCAAACCCATATGGGAAGAGAGCAACTCATATTGTAAAAAATTAAGGAGACGAAAACAAGGTTTTAGACCCTCTCGATTTTATAGAGTTTGAGAGAGAGAGAGAGAGGGATTAAAATAGCATCTGGACCACTTAGGGAACCCTATAGTGCTCTGTTCGAACCCCAAAGTGGTTCCTATCCCCCTAACCCCCACAAACCTCCCTTCACACACTTGGGAGGCTAGGGTTGTGGTTAAGGGGTAGAAACCACTTTGCGCTCTTAGAACGGAACATCATAAGCCCTTCAAATAGACCGGTGTCATATTATGACACTGGCTCTTGGGGTAAAAAAAAAACCTCAGTCTTAAACGTAGGGATGAAAAAAACCAAGAGGAATATATTATAAGATCTCAAGCAAAAAAATTAAAATTGTGTTTGCAGGGGCGAAAAAACTAACTCAAACAAAAAATAAAGGATCTATCAATTCATTCATTACCTTAAGATTGAACCCAGAATCATAAGCTGAAAGGCATGTTTCTGCTTTGGAAACACATGCCACGCCATCTGACGATCGGCCACTCGATGGGGAACCTATGACTAACGATCTGCAGGAACAAAATACAAGTGTGATTATCCTCCAACTGTGAAAGCTTATCAAAAACTGCTGCAGGAGAATGTTTTACCTCTCATATGTCTCTTCTTCACATGAATTCCCAGACGAAGAAAGCCACTCAACATCTAAAAAATTTGAGAAGTTGGAATCTGTGCGCTCAAGTGACTGCTCATCTTGTGTTTCCATGAAAAGCACCTTGCCAGACATAGTGGGGGTATACCTGTATATGAAGCAAAGTGAACTATTTTAATGTATTGCTCAAAGGTAAATGAAGACATTCATATAGCTCATTTTAACTATCAATGCCAATAATCCAATGGAGAACTTGACTCGGGATTTGGCATTCATTTAATTCACATATTATGCTAGCCATTGTTTCCACGTAAAGTCGAACCCTAAAAGGACAATTCTCTCTTTTGATAATGTTGGAATTTGTAGAAAATTGTTTTTAGAATCTTAAGACGCATGGTGTAGCCGTGTTGGTTTAAGATTGATGTAACACTGTACCCACAAGGGTAGCCAAAATTTTCCGGGCAAGAGTTCACGGAACCAAGGAGGTAGCTGCTTCAGCGTTTCAGAGAAGAGATTAATAGGAACTTGCCACTAAATTGGCTGTGAAATGCCAAATTCCTCCATCTTAAAAAGACTCATGTTTAACTGAGGGAAATCTTTTTTTATTTTTAGTCAACTCAATCAAGGTACAAGCTTTTACGAGTTAATAACTTATACATGGTCACTTATTTAAAAAATTGTTTGGAGTTATTTACTAAGACCCTCTCCCGCTTCTGTTTGGTTTTATACAAACTGTAATTCAAAATGGAAGCTGACTTTTAAACCGGACTCTTTGGGAGACATAAAAGGTTCACGAAATGGGACTTTTTTGGGGGTGAGGAGGGGGGATGATGTAGAATATTTTAACACATCTTCAAAAGCAAGCTATAGTTGTGCACTAACTAATAACAATAGAAGTTCAGTACAACAAAAGCAATGTGAACCACTTTAATGTGCAGGATACGACCAATTATATTAAGCATAATGAATCTTTTACTTCACGGACTAAAGTATATGATTCCAATTGTTAGTAATTCATCTAGCATCTACAAATAAAGACGTGTAACCTGGAAAATGACATAGTGCTTTCACTAGTTGAGATTTCTGGTGTAGACTCTGGCACTCCATTATTATTGACCTCCTTTGTACCGGGAATTGAAGGCTTGCAGTCTTCTCTGTGTTCAACCTCAGCATCTTCCGCAGGTAAGTCACTTGGACAGATAATATTTCCATCTGAGAACGACCGTTTGATTCTTGACCTACACACAGAACATGATACATATTAGTGCCTACAGAGATCAGACTTACTACCTCCATTTTCGCTCAAGAAAAAAAAGACTTTGGTTAAATTTTAACTTCTAAGGCCTACAAGGGTGTTGGTAGACCTGGCAAAATTTGACCCGACCCGTTACTAATCCGAAACCCGACCCGAAATAAGCGGGTTTTGAACATTGAGTTTGCAACTCGAACCCGAAATGACCTGAACCCGAAGACCCGTTAAATTTTCGGGTCAGAACGGGTCGGGTTGGGTTTGACCCGATGGGTTATGCACTTAATGGTTTATTTTTGTTAGTTATTTAGTTTTATATAGTCATTTAAAATATGATATACCCATTAGGCTACTCAAAAGGCATAAAACCTAATCTAAATGTAGTAAAATTCCACTCTCTCTCTCTCCCTTCTCTCTCTCTCTCTTTATGTATGTATGTATGTATGTATGTATATATATATATATATATATTTATTTATTTAAATTTTTTTTTTTTATAATGAACGGTCGGTTACAAAGCAGGCGGCCCGAGGCCCGTTAACCTCGTGACTACCACGGGGCCCGTTAACACCCGTATATATATATATATATATATATATATATATATATATATATATATATATATATATTCTTTTGTTTTGGTATGGAGCAAGAATCTCAATTTTTTATAACGTATATATATTTTTGGGTATGTTGAAAGAATCTTCAATTTTTTTGATCTAGTGCAATTTTTTTGGTATGCTGCAAAAAGGTTATTTTTTTGGGTATATTTCAATTCTCTTTTGGTATGTTGCAAATAGAACTGCAAACTTTTATGATTTCGTTTTTGTTTTGAATAATGCTCAGATCACATGATCTCTAAATAGCAAAATTTTTAATTTTTAAATACGTCTCTTAACCCGTTGGGTCAACCCGAACCCGATAACTCTGGGTCATGAACAAACACTCTTAGACCCGAATCCGAAGCGACTTGAACCCGAAATAACCCGAACCCGATTATACCGAACCTGAACCCGACCTGACCGACCGTTTTGCCAGGTTTAGGTGTTGGTCACAAATCATGAATTCAACTTATATTTTAAAAATATATTAGCTGTTTAACCCACTATAATATGATACTTCTATATGACACTGACAAATTACACTAAATATTAACTTCATTTGATCAAAGAGGATGAGTGTTTGTGTGTGCGGCCAGCCGGACATAATAGATATAAGGGCATCTTCTAGAAACAGCTTCTCTACCCTTTTGGGTAAGAGTAAGGTCTGCATGCATCCACCCCCAGATGCCATTTGTGGGATTTACTAGGTTGTTGTTGTTGTACTTTTTGTACATCTAAAAAGCATAAAGCTAACATATTTTTAAACCATGTGCCACTTTACAAATCCAACATTGTAGAACTTTCCTATATTAATTACTCCCTCCATCCCTATGTAAACTTCACACTATCCTTTAACATCTGTCCCATTCCATCCCAAAATAACCTCCCACTTCAAAACAATTCTCTTTCTTCTAACCAAATTCCGACCATATTTTACACTTTTCAACCATCTCATTGATATGTACCCAGTCAATGTGGGAGATAACTGGGGACAGGGAGTATTGGGGGTGATAATTATCAAAAAGAGATACCTGATGTTGTGAATAGATACACCGTGCTTTCCAACATTATAATGCTGATCAGAGTCTAATTCCCATAATGCTGGTTTACCCTCCTGTGGCTGGAAATGCCCCAAGAACCTGTGGCAGATTAATAATTGCAAACAGGACATTATGATGGCTGTGGATTTGATTTACACATAATACTACTTGTAACAGCACATACACGTTAATGGCATCTTGTTTCTCAGCATCCATATAAGCATTGCTGTAGTACCGCTGAAGCGTTCTAAAAAACTCTTGTGACTGTGTCGCTGCTTTCCATTGACCCCTTCTTTCAGAAAATATCTGTTCAGATATTCAAAATAATAGGATTGAAAAAAGACAACCACTTTGGTATCCAAATATAAAGAAAGCAAAAGTTCAACACAGGGTAAAATTAACAGAACCAATTTGGAGGACACCATTTCCATTTTGGTATGAACAAAACATTTAACAGAAACTTAGAAACTTAAAGAATAACCAATAAAAAGATGAAATCTGAAAAATTGGAGAAATGACTTGTTGAAAATGTGGCAATTGTCATTACATCTTTGAAGTGCAGAATTCTTAAATGCAAATAAGGTCACTCACCTTGTTGTGTGCAGCTGACCCTCCATATTGTAGCGCAAGAGTGTCACCCATTGCTTCATATATCTTCATTAAAGAATCAGCCAAAGGAGAATCCAAATCTATGTTCTCCACACCTATAAGGCCCAAAGCATGCAGCTGATGGCCCATAGCAACGAGCCCATATACAAATTGAGCAACATTAGTACGATCTAGACAATCAATGCAGTTTGTTCTTAGGACCCCTCTTTGGAAGGTTGGGCACTTGGTAGATTGAATTCCATCCAAATCGTAATTCCTGCAATTACCACTTTTCAAGCTATTAGTGTTGTGACAACATTATGAAGATCTTCTCGGTGCCATCTTGAATGTCTTTGTTACTACGTCGCATTGGTTCATTATAGAGACAAGCAAACTTTAATTAAAGAAACAGAGGGGGAATAGGGTAACCATGCCACTGTTTTGTAACAATTATTAAAGCAATGATGAGCATCTCCACGAAGTAGACACGTAAGCATGCTTTGTAATCTACGTTGACAGTTCATTTAAGCAAAATCTTCCAATCTATAACTCAATATTGCTTCAAGATGAAATTAGAATTCACAAGATAAAAGAGTTATCTAACCATCCATAGCCAGTCAATTGTCAGTATTTTCAACTGTCAATCGAAAGTTGTGGAAATCTATCTTCTTTGAAACCTCCAGTTTGACTTTTTTTAGCCAGATTGCCAAATTGGCTTAACTTTGATTATCAATTAAATAAATATTGCATTCCATAATAATACAATAAATAATTCAATTAAAGTCATTTGCATGATAAATATAATAAACATTGTTTTTGTATTAATATACAATACTATATTTAATTAATTGATGATCAAAATTTGTCCAGTTTGAATGCAAAAAGTCAAACACTCAAACTGGATGAGTATTCTGGAGTCTGGGGCAGAGGTAATAACAAATCACAACATTAACCTGCCCAGTGTATTCCCAAAACAAATTAAAAATAAATTGAATAATCTACAGCAACGCAGTTTATAATCAGCGTAAATGCATGATTACCCTAATGATAAGAGAAGTATTAATGAATTGTGAAGTATAAAATAAAGACATCTAATATGTTAAACTTACCTAGCACACGGGAAATTTAGCAATTCTGCTGTCCTTGAAGATGGACTAACATGACAATAGAAGAACCCAGTTAATTCCAATGCATTAGCAGCCACTTTTCCTAAAGCCATCAACACATTTGTAGCTTTACTGTTGAAAAAAAGAAAAGAAACAATTCTCACAAATGATACTTCAGAGTAAAAATATACTGCAAAATAGAAAAGGAGAACAGAGCCCACTTTTTTGTGAATTTATTTAGGTCCCAGTGAAGAAACTTCAAGTGGTTTTCCTCAGAGAGCTTTTTATTGATGCAATCAATAGCATTAGCAAATTCTGCACGCAAAATTGATTCCCTGGGCTTCTTCTCACGGGTCTGTGTTGTTGCAATGTGGCATAAAGCACAGAGGTCAGAAGTGTTTAAGAAGGGTATAATGAAAAACTAATCTTTAGGTCAATGCTAAAATTTACCTTAATAAGATTCAATATGATAATTGGATTCCCATATCTCTTGACAAGGTTCTCAAAGTGAAGCTGAGTGGCCTCATACCGAGGGTCCTTCCTTGACACTTTAAACATATAGGGTTGTTGGACTGTGGTGAGTAGACACAATAATGATGGTGTTCAAGTATTTTTAAAACTTACATATAATATCAGGCTTAATATTCAGTCTAGAAGTTTCCTGTGACCAGAAAAGAGGTATAGAACCACGGTTCTGCACAACAGAGCTAATTTGTAATGGACACCCTTCAGGAACATTTTCAACCACGATTTGTTCAGTCTCCACATCATTGGCCACCCGACCCTTCTCATTTACACCTCTCTTCAAATATCTAGGACAAAAGAGTAATGAAAAAGAAGAATTAAAGTTTAACATTTGTTACGTCCATTGAAGACTACCATGGACTAAGATATTCTTAATGTACTGAAAAGTGTTTTTATCAACACAGGGGGCACGGGGAACCAATTTGCGACTATTAGATACACACCTAGTTCCAGCATAGTGACGGGATCGTCTTGCAATAAGGATCAACTTGAAATCCTTCTCACAAATTGGAAGATTGACCTGGGACTATGATTATGTTAGTGGGGATTAAGGCAAACATAAGGCATAATAATTAAAGCAGAACAGTATGTTCCAAATAGATCACAATACAGTGAGAAAATACTAATAACAGAGTATGACACGAAAACATAACATGGGACCATGGGACCCTAATAAAAATTATCGACTTCGAAGAAGATAAAGATATAAAAAAATTGACCGAAATTCCCAAATCATCAATACCTCTTTAAAGAATCCATAAACTAATGCCACAGTCCACATAGTATTTTTGAGTTGATTGCGGATCCCACGAGTCAGAAACTCATTCCATACGAACATTGTTTCATAGAGGATAAGTCCTGACTCATGATTGCTCAAATTTTTCTGAAGGCTAAGCATAATAAGATATGAATAGCTGAAAAAGAAGTCCTTTGTGAGATCCACTGTACGTAAAAGTTTCTTGTACCTATCACATTGAAATCCAAGTAAATAATCATGTAAAATAAGAATCAAAGAGGACATCAATTAAAATAGTATCGAATATAAATCAAGTAGAGAGAAGCAAACAAATCCCCCCTGGAACCTTGGTGATACCTTGTCTCATACAACATGAAAAATTAACATTGGGAAACCAATGTGGTTGGCCCCTGTACACTTGCCAGAAAGAAACTTCCAAAGGTTCTATAAAAGAATTTTACAACAGAAGACTTGCATAACTGAAAGACTTGGTGTACTCTAAACTTGACCATCACATCAATGCTCCTCAGTAAGAGCTACAACATTGCTATACAAAAGGTTGTATCCACGAGTATAAAGATAACCAATTTACCACAACATCTGGGACTTCTTTAAAGATTGAAAATATATGAGCCACTGAGGGCACTGATTGAAACACATCACTATTGAAATACAACAAAAAAGACATTGCTATTTGCTAACATAACTAGAGTGCCTCCTCACAAGTACCACTAGCATTTCACTTTTACACGTAGAATTGGCATTAGACCTGTTCTCATTTCTAGAAAAAGCCATATTGGATAGCACAGTAGAAGTGGGAATCGGGATCATCTCGCTTTTTGTAATGGAATACACGGCATGACCACATATAGAGCCAATCTTCCTTCTTTTTGTGATAAGCAGCATGTAATAAGGTCCCAAAAATTTTACAAAACCTAAACAAGAATAAATATTAGTTGCTTTCCAAATGGTTTGATTCATTTGCAGAAAAAAGGCGACAGATTTTCATGTGGCATGACACTAGTCGTACCAATAATTCCGTAGCAAGTGGTAAGAAATTTAAGTCCGCCAGTTGCCTTGTTTCCTTCGTGTATTCTTTTCATGAGCTCATAGCATTCAACTTCGGAATATGTTGTGGAATCTTCATGAATATTTAGCTCGGATGGCTCTAATCTGTCAATCTTTAAGAGTCGCCAGCATGTTCTGGCCTTATCCCGCCCAATCATATAAAAGTTCTATTAAAAAACAAGGACTCACAGTTATTCTCTGTGTACTGGAATTGAAAGCAATACTCCAACCATAACTAGCATTCGTTGAAATGGTCGCGGCATTAACTAAATGAAGTTTTTAAACATACTATAACCAGACAAGGGAGTAGTAAAGACCAAAAGCTCAAGATCCTGAAAACGCATGTCATTGGAATACACCCTAGATCAGAACTTAGATCCCACACATTCAAATACACAAGAATTAACCAGTTGACCAAGCGCCACAATTACAAGTCAATCCTAAAATTCCAGTTTTAGGACGACTAACATAAAAGCAAACACTCATCCGTCAATAACAAGCATGATCATGCTGCTCGGAATCTCCTAGTTCAAACTCCAAAACTATGCATAAGAGAACAGCTAAAGATCCGTAAGGAAGGAATATCAAACTTCAAAACACTCAAGCAATTGCATACACATGATACCGAGTACATCTCAATATCAAAAGCGGAACATATACCGAGCGAGTCTCATAGAGTTGGAATTTCTGCAAATAGGTAGCACCACCGCAGTGGTGCTCTGCTCCCACCATGCTTAACTTCTCCGATCCCGGAGCCTCCGCTCAATAACACTTCAATTCCATATCATAAATCTACGAAGAGATCGCGCAACTCATCGTCTTCGCAAACACCTCCAGAAGAAGAAGAAAAAAGTCCTAATCTTACAATTCCATACACAGACTGCACATAACAATTATATCAACTTCAACCACTCTACAATCATATACAGACTAACATACATGCACATACAGATACAGAAACCTCGAAAACCAGAGAGAGGGAGAGAGAGATGAGCAGGAAGAAGAAGAAGGAGACAGGGGAGAGGTGAGATGCAGGGAGCTCTCGTGAGGACATCCACACAAAAATGTGGAATAATTGATTTGTTTATTTATTTATTTTCGTTTGTCCTTTTTTAAAAAAATTTACTTTTTCGTGTTTGAAAAAAAAAAGAAAATGGAAACGTAGTTATGATTTTACTCCTTTTGACAAAAAAAGAATATCGCACAGCTAGATACAGAGAGTTTAATACTCCGTACACCCAAATAAAATACGCCTAATATTATATGATTGGATACATGGTTTGGTGGCGTGTAATTTTGTGATTGGACCATTGGAATAATCTTTTCCTGTTTTGGTAACAATATTTCCATTAAGATACTGTTATTTTAAGGCTGTTATTTTTATCTTAAATATCCTCTCCGTCTCAAACGAAATGAAACTTAAAAATGTTGTCCTGTTATATTTGTCCTGTTACGCCAAACGAAATGAAAATTAAAAATTTTTTAAATTTATTTTATTTGAAAATTGATATAGAAATAAAAAATAAAATTTACAATTTTAGGAACTGTGTCAAAAATTCCCCAAAACAATAGGTGACATGCAATTTTATTTTATCAAAAATGTAAATAAACAAAAGTTTACGTAATTTCTAAATAGTGAACTATGACATTATTTTTGGAACGGAGAGAATAATATAGTGTTGTTTGATAGCAACATCAACATTCAACTTTAATAAATTAATTTGTGTTACCAAACGTTGGGCAAATACTTTCGGAGCACAACCTTCTGCAGCAGCTTTCGCAGACATAGGGGGTGTTTGTTTTTTCTGCAGGAAAAGGTCTGCAATCTGCGGACCACTACTGTAGACATCTGCAGGAGAAATAGTGGACCGAAGGTCTGCGGTCTGCAAGAAGAAGACTGTTTGTTTTTTAATGGCTGTAGATTGCTATATAAATTAATAGTAGTAGTGTACGGTGGTGGTGTATGGACGATTGTGGTGGTGGTGGAGGGTGGTGGTGAAGGGTGGTGGTGGACGTTGACGGCAGTGGTGGTGGACGGTGGTGGTGGTGGCGGTGGATGGTGGCGGTGGTGGTAAAAAAAGGGAGAAGATGTTAGAAGACATTGGTTAATGTCTTCTCCAAGAAGATGCCAGGAAGACCTTTTTGAGTGAAATGTCTTCCAAAAAACAAACAATCTGCAGAGCCCATCATCTGCGCGCGTCTGCGCGGCGCAGACAAAAGACGCCAGAAGGTCTTCTGGCAGAAAAACAAACACCCCCATAGAAGCTTCCGCAATGCTAAGCCTTTTTTTTTTGTGAATTACTTATAGAGTAAATTTCATAATTGGTCCATTATAATAGGGGGGTTTCCATATTTAGTCCACTATTATCAAATATTACCTCCGTAGTCCTTTTTTTAAGGGTACCTTTCCACAAATGGTCCTTTTTTTGATCTTCTGTCGTGTTGGTGTTAATTTAAAGGCTAAAAGTATAATTTGACATCAACATTATGTTTAGTGACGTGTTCTGATATTGGTTAAGCGGATAACACAAAAATAATGACTATGGTTGTGTGCTAGGGTTCTGACGAACGACCACATTTGTAGACTATGGTTGTAGTAGAAAGCGACTGTAATTCACAAACGACGCAAACGGAACAGCCTTTGAAATTGTGTGTGACAAAAAAGATATATTTTCATTGTGAAATTATACTTTTAGCTCTCAAATTAACACCAACATGATAGAAGATCAAAAAAAGGACTATTTGTGGAAAGATACCCATAAAAGAAGGACTATTTGGATAATATTTGATAATAGAGGACTAATTAGAGAAACCCCCTGTTATAAAGAACCAATAATAGAATTTACTCTTACTTATATAAATATTTACAGTACTAAGACATTTTTTTGTTATATTGATAGCTTCGTTATACACGATTGTCGTAGTTGAGCCTGAGGCCACACTAACAAAGCAATGAAGAGCGTGTTCTGTACGCGTGGGTTGAATTGATTATGGTTTTTGTAGTGTTGGGATGATCATCCGTGAGTACTGACTATGCTGCACAGTGGGACAGTTTCCCATTCCTAATGCAGGGTACTGTATGGATTGTGGCTTTATAAGTCTATGTTATACGGAGTACTTCGTAGCCGGTTTGGAAAATTCCGGGGCCTGGACTAAGACAGAAAAAAGTCCTTAAGACTTTATCCTTAATAACCTAATTAATTAAAGCTTGTAAACTAAAAATATTTAAATGACAAGGCTAGGCAACGTGTTCTTATAGAATACTCCCTAACCTGTATGTAACACTTCAAACTTATATTTAGTGTATTGAAACAAGAGAAAAAAAGAAAAAAATTAATTTTAATATATTAAAAAATAATTAATAAAAATTAATTTATTTTTATTGATGAAAATGATTATTTAGGTATTTTTTTTAAAAAATATTTTTTTAGATATAAGTATTTATATTAATTTTTAGATAAAACATACTCCGTAATTATTATCTATTTATTTATTGAACTATTTTTATAAGTTCATAAAACACGCAAACTAGATACTACTTGTATTTCTTTTTCTAAATAATTGAAAGTTTCATTGAAATCAACACAGTTCATATATATTCTATTGTGTGACTTACATAAAAACATGTTTAATAGCTTAAGTGGGTGGAGCATCTCCAAGCATACCAATTAATCATGTTCGGCATCCACCATAAAATATTGGGCTACAAAATTTCTATATACATAATATTTATAAAAAATGGCCCGCCTAAAATATTAGGCCCGGTCCAGTAGGGCTGCTTGGCCCACCCCTAGGCCGGCCATGATTAATAATACGGAGTAATAAATTACTTCGGATAATTAATTAAAGGGAACAACTCACAGTTGCCACGTATAACCATATTTTTTCTAACACTAATAACTCTGTTACAGTGTAATATTTGTTTATACATTCTGAACATATTAAAGCTCGTAGAGTTACTGTCCGCACTAACGATCGAACACGTGACATCTCATTTGGGAGAGTCATAACGGTATGATTGCATATTTTTCTCGGCCACTTCATTAGTTGACATTAATAGTATTAAGAAAATAATATTATTAATTCTACAAATTATAAAAAAGGTTAGTGATGTAAATGCTTCCGCATCAGCCATAACTATTCGCGCCTAAATATTCCTGCTCATTTTGTATATAGTAAAGATTATTACATGTAAAAATGAACATTCAAGCCATATTTTGTTAATTTTTGCTCAATTTGAAAAACTATGTCAAATATTATTATGGTTCTTCAAAAGGTACAAAACGTAATCTTAATTTAGTTTTTTAAAGTTGAGTCATTTAACCTTGAAATTTTATCACATGATTTTGAATGCAAAAATAAACATTCAAGTCATATATTGTCATTTTTTGATCCATTTGAAAAATTAACCTAAAGAGTGATGATATTCCCTAAGACTTGAAACCAAAAATTACTTGAAACCTAAGAATTGAGTTTTGCAATAAAGAAGAGAAATTTAGCCATGAATTATTAGGGAGTACTCCGTAGTACACAAGTAGTCACATGCTTGGTGAACTTTCAATACAAGTTTTATCAATTTTCGATCCATTTAACAAGTTAGCCCAAGAAGTTAGGGGCTTGAAATTAAAACTTAAAATTGAGTTTTGTGCTTTATGGCCCTAGTCATTTAACCCGAACTTGAGTTTCCGTGATTTGGAAAAAAAACAAACGAATCTGATAGTTATAACTTATGGAGTACAAACTAAGCACTTTCCGGAAAAAACATATTGTCAATATTGTGAAGTGAAAATAAATTTCCAGTTACGCTAAATGATATTTTTATAGATTTGTATGTTTAAATCAATCTTCATATCATAAATAAATTTAATAAAATAATTATATTATTACCAAATAAATTCAGATAACAAATTAGTTTCAAAGAATTATCACCAAAGTAATTCAGATAACAAATTAGTTTTAAAAAATACATTAACCATTTTCAATTCAATATATTTCAGCACTATAGTTCATGAATAACAATCTAAACAATTGGACGCTAACTAATATAATTAAATTAATGTTGTCTATGGAATTATAGATGTTTAATAAACCTATATAGACTTGTTTCAGTTGTTTGACAATTTAGATGTTGGAATTAACATTTTGAAAAGATTACCTAATGATGACATTTAATGTTAACATTTTTAAATCAATTAATATCATTAAAATTTTATCCAAAATGTTAACACAAATAAAAAAATTGTTCCAAAACAAGCCAATTTAATAGTGACTAAATTTCACCAACTACACATTTCCATGTTGCAGCTAACAATCCTTCTCTCACTTTTAGTGCAAAATTTAGACTTCCCAACCAAATTGAGGACAGCAACACGTGAATGAATTGACAAAGAACATTCAATGTATGCACCCATAAGATATATTTTTTTAATGATAAAAATAATTGCAAATCACAACGTAGATATACTTAGGGCTACGTTTGGCAAAATTAGTTCACATGATCATGATTTACGTGATTAGACTCCTTAAAAAACAAGAGTAATAATTAAGATATCATATTCGTGATCCTCCATAAAGTTGGAAAACAACATTTGAGTTTTAAATGACTAATTATAGAATGATTTTCAACCTAAAGACCACGATTTACTCACCATTCTAAAGAACCATTTATGAAAACTACTCAGAAACAAAAACAAGTTTTGAGATCACACTTAAGGAAATGAACTAAAAATGGAACTCAGTATTGATGAAAGACATGTTTAACTTGTTTAAAAAACCTACCCAAAGAAGCCTATTGAACGAGCTCTCATTACCAAACACAACTTGTTCAAAAAGCTTCATTAGCAAAAAAAGAAAGCTAGCCCATAAGCTTAGCTCAGAGTGCCAAACATAGCCTAATTATGAAATGAAGAACAGATTCATCAAATATGAGCAACATAAATCATAAATGACAGTAATTTGCAATTTGTATAAACACACACACATTAATAGCAATGTTCAAACATCATCAAAAGTTCTAATACTTTGGTTTATCATAATCCATACAGACATCATGAAAAGTTTAAACAACATGAAAAGTTTAAACAAGCATTGATTTAAAGAGTCTTGCGAGTTTTCATTAAAACACAGAACATATTTACTCCCCTATAATCACATGTAAACAGATAAAACCCTACAACCACACACGATGGTACACAGTAATCGAAAGCTTTACTCACATGAAGGCCTTATTGTTATTATTATTATTGAGGAGAAATGGCAGAGGGCAGGAGCAGAGGAGTCGCTGCTTCCTTAGAATCCATTGGTGTTCCCTGGTAATAAAGATGGCACATAGTCGAATGCCCACAGATCCAGCATAGCATTTCCATTAAGGAACAAATTGTCATCAACAGAAGTTCCCCAGTTCGCCTCAGAATACGATGGAGCCTCGAAGAACTTCATCTCAGCTTCAAGGGCAGATAGTTCATCATCATCACAGGGCAAATTCATTTTCTGTTCCGGTTTGGCCTCTGCAAATTGAGCTTCGTCAGCTTCCACCACGGCTGACAATACAGAGGATATTTCGGGAGTCGTTGGATTAGGGTCTACCCACCCTCCCAACTCAGGACACCCGAAGGAATTGCTACCTTCCTCAGAGTTGAAGTAGAGGTTGGGGGTATAACACATATTTCCTCTAGCAGGATAAGCATCCATGTTGAACTCATATGGTTTCTTGTCCTGGGAAGACGCCTGTTCATAGTAAGCATTATTGTCCAATATATTGTTCATGAGATACATGTCCGGCTGTGGGCCCACCTCCACAGGGCTAGCCTGCTTCCCAACAGTTTTTGATTTTTGAACATCAGACTTGAGAGGAAGGGGAGTTTCTTCGTCGGGGAAATTAACCTTCGCCTTTTTGCCCCTGATTTTTCTGGCCTCTATATCGTACGCTTTTGCAGCTTCTTCTGCAGTGTTGAAAGTCCCAAGCCAGACGCGAACACCTTTCATCGGATCACGAATCTCAGCAGCCCATTTTCCCCATGGGCGTTGTCTGATTCCCCTGTACTGGTTTTTCCTCTTCCTCTTCGATGTTTTTTCAGCATCATTAGTTGAAACCGAGTCGGAGGAGCCTTCATGAATAAAGGGTTACATATCTTTTTGTGCCTACTTTCAGCTCAAAGATCTATCGTTTTTTACCCACAGAAAACTTCAATCTTTGTTTGCAGAATATGACTTCAATGATTGTACTAAATGATTCAGAACTACAGATGCACAGACATAGCACATGTACGAAATAGAAATTTTGAGCAAAATATTATGCAAAAAAAAATAACCGAAGAAAGTATCAGTTCATATCTGAGAGCTTGAGGACCTTAAATCGTTGAAATTTACTGTCAAACAAAAGGTAATAACAGAAAAATAGCAAAATATTTTCAGTTATTTGCAATATTTGAAGAAATTTTAACCCTGATTCTATTACAAACGCTCCATATAAACTATTATAAAACCCTAATCAAGAGGAATCTGGGAAATATGCGATGAAGTCATATATTAACCGGAGAAGAATTTGACCGTGCAATGAAACGGAGAAGAAGACTTACCAGTGGGGAGTACGGATGGCTTTGAAGCCGGGAGAGCAATCGGCTTGACATTCACATCCTCGACCTCGCCGGCAGAGTAATCCTTGAAATGCTGGAAATCGGCCTCGAACTCTTGGTCAACGTCGAAGAAATCGGCGCGCAGGGGCTTGGAGTAGACGCTTCCAGAAGAAGAGTTCTTCTTCTTCTTCTTGCCGTTGCGGCTCAGATCGGAGGATTCCCATAGCAGATCGGCGATGAGCCGGCGCGAGGACCGGCTGGACGGTAACGAATCGGAGATTATAGCACCGCCACACATGATCTTCTTGCCTGAAAATCCAAAGAAAACTCTCTTCTTCTTTTTTTTCTTTTTCTACTTTTTTTTTTTGTGGCAGATAGAAAGATTGGGAGAAAGTATTTTTATTGGGAAATGTTACGGCTTTTGGCAAATGTGAATTCAGAAATTGGCGTTTTATATAACCTCAAGAAATGCATACTCCGCACCAAAACTGGAAATGTACTTAATAACAGTGACGTCTCATTAGCAAAATTACAAACAAATTCAAAACTCAAATATCCTTAAGATTAGCGGAGATATTGTTATTTTGAAGCACTTCTGATGTTCTATTCATAAAATTGACGCTTTCTATCCTCTTTCTAACCCATATCTTAGACTCCCCACTCTACCCCTCCCCTACACCCCCACCTCAACCCTGCCGTAAGCCCCCCACAAAATGTGGGTAGGGTGGGGGTGCAGGGGAGGGTGTAGAGTGGGGGTTTAGGGGTGGGTTATGGGGTAAGAACCGTCAATTTTACAAACGGAGCACTGGAAGTGCTCCAAAATGACAGTGACAACGGAGCGTCACCATACTCCGGTGTCACTACAAATCCACTGTTACAAAAATCATATATTTAAATCATCAATAATAAAATTAAAATAAAAGTAATCAGTTGCCTAAATATAGGTATCGTGGTATCGATATACTAAGACTTAGAAAATCAATATACTAAGACTTAGAAAATCAACATGAATCTAAAGACCACATAGAAATTTACCCTTCTTTGTGGCATGTCTCCAGACACTCACTTGATTTTATCACCTATGGTGGTAATATTTGGTTGTTTTGTTATAATGTAACATTCAATTTTTTTTTTACATTTAAGTACAAACTAAAAAGCACATATGAGATGCTTTTAAATTGCATGTTGAAATTGCATATTTTTTCAAAAAAAAATAAATCTTAAATATTTTCTTAGTCTAAATTAACTACACTAAAAAATTCTGCGCGACAAAAGAAGTACTATTATTTGAAGCGAAAAAATAAATTATGTAAAAAGGAAAAACAATTTCTAAAGATTCAAGAGTGTGATTGACATTAGTAAAATTGAAATGACACATCCCTCCCTATGGTCGAGGGATATAGATCCCCACTTAACTTTCTTCTAACTCAACGTCACAATAATTTTTTCATTTACTTTCTCCCTCTTGCTGTGCCAAGTCACCATCCCACACCCTTTCCAGTCCTCATACAGTCTTCTCAACTTGATTAAGAATCAGGACAAGTTAACTGTGGTGGTTTTTTTTCTTCTATCTACTTCGATGAGGCCAGATATTCACGTTTATTTGGCTTTTTGGGGTAACTTGGAATAAAAAATAGGTTTTAAACTATTTATGTTTTTTTTGATAATGAAGTAACAATTAACAAATGCAACGTTTAACGCTCATCACGAGTTATTTAGAAACAGCCGCTCTATATTTTAACATAAGGGTCAGGTTGAGTACATCCGACCATCCTTTAATTTACCTCGCAATAGGCGAGAGCCTCTAAGGCACTGGAGTCATATCGTTGTTGTTTATTTACTCATTTAAATGATTTTTTAGAAATGATTTTTCGGCTAACTTTAGCTTATTTGAATAATCAAATGGTAAAATCATTGTCTGGCAAATGACTTTACATTTAGCTGTTCAATCCACAAAGAAAAAATTTGAAAAGCCAATAGGAGTAGCTTATAGACTTCGTTGTTAATAGAAAATAATTTATTTATACCTTTAAAAATAAAAAAATTAAAACTTAAAATAAAAAATTAAAATTAATAATAAAAATTACATTAAAAGTTTAAAATTAAAAAGATAAAATAAATGTATGCAATGAGAAAATAAAAAAAGAAAACTAATAAATCACCTTAAATATTAGAAAAAAGACTAAAATATGAGCTCTATGTTTTTATTTTCTAAATTAGAGTTCACATGCATTGTGATAGTGTGACACTTTACATGTACATTTTACCATACTTTTTGGTAATATATATGAGCATGACTGATACTGTAAATGTATTTTAACTCATATTTTGGGAATAAAAAGATAAAAATTCTATTTTAGTATATTTTTAATGTTTTACTCTTAATTTAGTCTTTTTCCTTAGAAAATTTTAAAAATAAAAAAATTATACAAAAAGATAGTATAGTTTTTTCCTTAAAAATTAGGTCTATTAAAATACAATATATGTTCATACGTTCACTATTGATACAAGTGGACTTCTTAGATACCACTCAAGTCATAGGAGAAACTAAAAAAATGACATTCTTGATGTCTTCTCAATACCACCATGATAGACCTTTTGGTTCCTTTACAATATCATGATTAAGGTTATGTTCTTTCATCTGATCTAATTAGTTCAGATTTAATTGAAATAAATTCTGATCAGGTTTTGTTTGATTTGATCTGAATATAGTTATATTTAAAATTATTTCTGATCTCATCTGGTCTGATCTGATTTTAATTAGAATAAATAAAAAAAATTAGTTGGGTGAGAACATGGACTAAGTTATAAAAAAAAGTATACATAAGTGTTTCGTTGGAGGGATTTTTTTCCAAAAATTTTTCCAAAAAGATATTTTTGCATAGAAAAATTATTTTTAGTGAATAGTGACTACCTTGTAATAGAATCAATAACACTAAAAAAAGGTGAGACATTGATAAAGCTAATTTTAACAATTTTTATGATGTGTCTATAGTATAATTTTTTTATGAATTAATGAAAAGAAAGAGAGTAAGGAATGATAAGAATGAACCTTGAAAATTGAAATATCCCAGACCCCACACCAAATAGAGTTTATAATGTCCGTAAAAAAATTAGGGTAAGAAATGGAATTAAATTTAAGATACCCCAAGGCCTAAACATCACAAATGACGATAATTATTGCGAAAGATTTTTGGGGTGACTTTTGCCCCAAATCATACGCCGTCATCATTTTGTAGGGTATGAATGGCGAAAAACATGTCGGCTGAATTGGTACTATTTGGGGTATATTTTTTGGGGGTCCGTAATTAGTGGAGACATTCTATTAAAGCTAGGAGGAGGAATTGGCCTAAGATTAGAACCTAATGTGATGAAAGATTAGAACCCAATGTCATGAAATGATTCGAATACGCTATAATGCTCTATTGGTAAGATTGAAAATTTCTGTCACTCTAACCCTTCAGGATACTCTCATCCCGCCTCAATCTGAACACACCTCCATCCATCCTCCGAACACACACTCCACTCCAGTAAAAAATCTAGTGTTTGAATTGATAGAGAATGGTGAGAAAAGAGAAGTTTTGACATTTGAAAAGTTTTCTCAACTTGGCGTATAAGGCTATGAGGGGTCATCACTAGGGCTGGTCCGAAGTAAATGAAGGCCCTGTGCAAATTAAAAATTATGGCTCTATATGACTTCATATTTGCAAATTTTAAGTTTTTGAGACTATTTATTTGTCTTAACTTTTCGAATTAAATTAAGAAAATTATATTAAATTTGTAGGACATACTAATACAATAAAATAAAATTTCAAAAATTTTACACATGATAAATCTAATAACTTGTGTTCATACTTATATTCAATATGAAGTACAATATTTATATTAATGATGATTAAAATTTGCCTAATTTGACTTTTTAAAAAAACTCAAACTATATGGATAATCTTTGATGAAACAAATATTAATTCTATACAGAGTATTTTTTACAATGAAAATGTAAAATAAAAAATCTAATTATGGAGTAAAAGTTTACATAAAAACATTTCTTTATATCTTTTTTTGAACATTCATTTCTTTATATCTTTTAATTCTATATAGATTAAGTTAATGATTAATTCTTTCAAAAAAAGTACTCCGTCATTTCTAATTAAAATGAAAAATAATACTAATAAACAATAGATTAAGACATTAAGTCAATGATTAATTCTTTCAAAAAAAAGTAATCTGTCATTTCATATCACTCCGTATTGTAATTAATAAACTTACGATTCTGTCTTTTTTCATTGGATTAAAAAATACTCCCTCCGTCCCAGAGTATTTGTCCACTTTTATTTCTACACACCATCCAATACACTTCTTTAATCCATTTTATCTTGTAATTTGTATATTAAAAAATTATAGAAATTATATATTAATAATCTATATGTTAAGACAAATCAAACAAGATCACACATGACTATATTTAGGCTTACACATTGAGAGAATTTGATGAGTCAAAGTGCTTAGATGAACAGTTCCAAAAGTCAAAAGTGGACGAATATAGCGGGACGAAGGGAGT